TATATATATATATATATATTAAGGAAGATAAAAGTGTTATTTTTCATCGGCATTTAATATTATTATTACTGATAATATCTACTAGTATCTATTCGATATAATTTTAATAGTATTTTCCTATATAAAAACGGGAAAGGAAGGGGGGGGGGAGAGAGGGGGATGATGATTAATCACGGATTAATCGTAAATTTGTCTCGCGTCTTGACGTCGTTATAAGGATAACATCGTGAAAACGTGATCGCCAACCAGGTATATACTTTGATGAAACTTTTCAGCGGTTGAAGGAGGAAACGAGGAGAGTGGGAGAAGAAGTAGCAAGAGATAAGAAACGAGATAACTACCTCGTCGTTTAATTGAGCTGATTTAAGTTAGTTCGTGTGAAAGAGAGAGAGAGAGAGAGAGAGGGAGAGGGAGAGAGACAGAAAGAGGTAGAGAGAGAGAGAGAGAGAGAGAATTGGTGCGTTTAACGCGATAAACTTTTTACAACATTAAAACTTAAGTTCTTTTCGAAAGTCTTATTTACTTCTTATTTCTCTTTTTTTTCTTTCTCTCTCTCTCTCTCTCTCTCTCTTTATTTCTCTTTCTCTTTTACGTTGACACCTTCTGTCATCCATATTGTAAAATATTCGAAAAGTATGTGATACGAGAGATGATAATAAATTATAAATTCGGAATATTATCGTTATCGAGTAAGAAGAAAAAGAAAACAGGTACCAGGGAGGAGGGGGAGGGATAAATGCGACTTCAAACGAATGGTTCTCATTTCCTTCCCCCTTCTCTCAAAAAAAAAGAGATAAAAAGAAACCAAGAAAAAAAAAAGAATAAACACGAGAAAAAAAAACAAACGATTTGTAAAGATTAAACAAGCCAAATAGTATTTAAAAAAAGCGTCGTCGAGAGTCGCTATTTGCTACGTCAAATTTACCATTCGTATTAAACATAGGGTTGTTAACTTTAAGAAAAATCGTTTATATATATATATGTTTGTGTATGTGTGTATGCATTTTTATATGCTCTCATGCATCTGTCTTTCAACTGAAAGAAAACTTGAACAGCACAGACATTTGTATTATGGCAATTAATTAAGTATGTATCTTTGCTGGCACGATATTCGAGTAATTTATTCAAGCGTGCGTGTTACATATACCTAACTTGAACACGCACATATATATATACACACACACACACATATATATATATATATAGGTATAGGAAGTAAAGAAAGAAAATTGCGATAGATATTTAGAAAGAGAGAATGAGAATGAGAAATAGAGAAAGAGAGAGAGTGAGAGAGAAAGTAGAATCGCGTTTCGAGGTCTCACTCGCTCGCGAAGTCCGACCCTTTTCAACCCTCTTCCCCCTTCTCTCTAAGCCAGCCTCCCTCTCTCGTTCCAACCCTTCTACACCCCCTCAGCCTCTCTCTCTCTCTTTCTCTCTCTCTCTCTCTCTCTCTCACTCTCTGCTGCTTTACAGCAGTTTAACCACCTGTTACGCCGAGACACGCGCCGAACTTCCGCGCTTTTCTTTTTCGCGAAACACGCGAGTTTCTGCCACCCTCGATGCGGTCTGCCACCTCTTTCTCTTTCTCTCACCCTCTATTGCTCTCTCTCTCTCTCTCAGTCACTTTTATTTCGCGACTTCGTATCCCTTTAGTCTCTCTCTCTCTCTCTCTCTCTCTTTGAGATTTTTTCACGAGCCTCTTTCTTCTTTAACCCCCCCCCACCATACCTGTTTCTTTGTTAAACAGAATAAAAAAATATTAAATCGTGTTGGTTTTGAGAAGTTTTTTTTTTTTACAATATGTGAGAGAGAAGGAGGAATTTGATTTTGTTATTTCTATTTTTTTCTTTATTTCTAACTCGTATTTACTGTTTCACGATTGGAAAAATTTTGATCGATTATTATCGTTCGATTGGAAACGTTAATTTCAGATTGATTTATTGTATACGTAATTTCTAACTTTTTTTCTTATCACAAAATTATAAGTTCATGTTGTGGGGTATCATTTTTTAAGGTATTTGTTTTCTTTTTATTTTATAAAACATTTCAATGTGTTTTATCACGCGAATAGTATATTTTTGAAATAATAATTTCGAGTGATTTATTTGTAAAATAAAATAAAAATTATTTCAAATCTCTGTCCGGTGATATTTATCGATTATTTCGTGAACATTATGAGCACGGATGATGGATCATCGAATGAAAATCCTGCTGAACCAAAAGCAATCGTTGTAACCGTGGCCGAAGCTGGACAACCAGAAAATCCTGACATTGTCGCTAATTCTGCGTTGGAATTAACTCAAGGTTTTATCAATTACAGTGATGTAATATTGATAAAGGGAAGAACGATAAACGAGAACAACGAAAATATTTTCTCTATCGATACGTGCAAGGTGCTGAAATAAACAAATAATGTGAATGAGACAATATTCTATTAAATAACGAACGTTTGCTTCGTGTTTCTTTCGTTCGTACCTTCGATAAATCTTATCAACTACTTCTTTGCGTAACCTTTACGAGACAAGACGAGAGAAAATAAATAACAATGCGAGCGCATATTTTTCAGAAGATAAATCGAGCAAGGAAAAAACGCAAGACTCGAACCACCTGACGAAAGAGGAAGAAGATAAACCCGAAGTTACTTTTGCACCGGAACACACGAGTATTTCTTATGAAGCTGAAGAAGGTATATATATATATATAAACATGTAATTACGACAGTGGGTTAAGTCAAGAAATTGAAAAAATCGATTTTACGATTATTTTTTATAATATATTTCGCGATTAGAAATTCAATAATTTCATTTAACATTGGGGTAATCACGTAATCTGTGATACTTAATTATTATTAAAATATAACTTTAATGTTTTTCATAAGACACACATTCCGTTATATCCCTCCTACTCGAAGAATACTTAACGTCAAGTTTTTTCATCCAATTACCTCGAATATTATCAACCCAAGCTATGACACCCGTTGAATTAAAAGACAAATTCACTCAGACTTTCTTCAAAGCCATGACAAAATTGTCAAATCGTCGATTCGTCGAAATAATAAACATACAAGTTGATCACGAGGATCCTACTTTGGTATTCTTTTGTCCATCATATGAATTGTTAACGAGTTTTCATGATAACGTAAACAATATTATTAATTAGTTCAAGCTGCAATGTTATACATTCGTATAAGATCCTAAAAAATCAATTACATTATATATTATTATATTACATACGTGAGTTAATTGAAAAATTTTTGAGCCTAACATAGGATACTATTTTATTTTCAGTCAAATCAATTTTTATTTTTTTTACCTATAAATAAATGTTTTTTTTTTGTTCAGGCTCAGAACTTTTCAACCCACCCTAGTACATTTGAACTACTTATATGATTTTACACATAGAAATTTGTAAGAAATATAAATATATATATATATGTATATATATGTAATAAATAAATCGCATACTTACACACAAACACACACACACACACACATGTGTATATAAAATAATAAATATTTAATATTATGCGAAAATTTCTGCACATAGACAATACAATGCTGCTATCTGTCGGATCGAATGAAAACTACTTGGAAATACAGTCACAGTGATAACCGTATTCTTCGGTATTTCCCAGAATTTTCATTTCGTTATAATAATCAAGTTAAAATGTTAATTCATTATTTAAAAATACAATATATTATATTAATATACATGTGATAAAAATATATTAATAGAAAAATACCTTTATATATAGTTACGTAGAAATCTATGGTCTAAACAAATGCGCCATTTTCTATAACTCTCCCTCTCTCTCGCTCTCTCTCTCTCTCTCTCATGTGAATCTATTTTTTATATATTATTTGATGTTTTATTTTACATATTTTAATATATATCAAATATTAATTATTATAATATATAATAATTCAAAATAAAATTGTATATATATATATTGCAGTTTCATAGAGAAAATTATATTTCCCATAACCAGAAAATAATGTAATAAGAAAAGATACATAATAATCGTTCTACATATTTTTCCATATACATACTTATATTTTAAATTTCTTTCGATTATTTTAATGTTCTTATTCTTTCCATGGCTTAATAATCGAGCAATGATTTCTTCTTAATATTTACATATTTATACCAAAAAAGAAAATAATCACCTTCGTCGACTCTTACATCACCGACACCTAAAATAAAACTGATTATTATTGATCACCATTACTTTCATAGAAAATAATAAACAGTAATGGCATCAATTTGATCGATATCTTTTATATATAATAATGATCAAACTATAAAATCGGTCAAGTATAACCCTTAGGAACGCTGACAAGGAACCTTAACAGCAGAAAAATATGAATAAGTGTTCTTAATTGCACACTATTTGTTTGTCCGTTTTTCTCCAGTCTTTCTAGCTCCAATATGATACTGGTTTTTTTTTTAATCTTTTTCCTGTTCTAAGACAAACATTTTTAACGAGTATACTCCATTAATTAATAATTAAAACAAAATATCTATATTTGATTTCTAATTGTTGTTTGTGTTTTTAAATGTATATAGAATTTAATAACACATTCACATTGTGTTAACTAGTTGCTATTAAAAGTTACTAAGAAATAAGAAAGTTTAAAATATATTGAAATTCTAATAAGATTGCTAAGCCGATATCGGTAAGAGTAGTGCTCTACCTTTATCCTACCGACCGACATCTGATGGTAACTTACTACAGAATTACGACAGCATAAAAAACCTACTACAGAAAGAAGCTAATATGTGCAACTTATAGCTCACTAATAGCACATTATTAATACATAATTGTTTACCTTAATTATTAATTATTTCACAAGTTATTGATAATTAAAATGGTGTTAATTTTATCCCACCACGTGAATTAAGACAACATAGACAAACAAATAGTGTGCAATTAAGAACACTTATTCATTTTGTTTCTGCTGTTAAGGTTCCTTGTCAGCGTTCCTACGGTCAACTATTATCATACCTTTAGTTGTGAGCCATTGATCACCAGGTGGTGAGGTGGGATCCGGTAATGTTGGTAGTTGATAGAGCATCCAATAACAAGAAGTTATCCGATTTTCTTGAATACCATTCAACGTATGGATATAGTATCCATATACAGGATGCACTGTTGCAATGAACAGAAAATGAGTTGACATCTCAGCAGCTGAAATCATTACTTCAAAGAAAGTTTCGTTCTTCGTTGCAGAAACCGTTAAATTGTATGTTTCGTCAACTTTATCTCCGACCCAAAGGGTATATGAAACATTAACCATAATTGGTACTGAGCTACAATTGATAATAGTATTCGTATTACTGTTGCTACTTTCGCTTGTCGTCGTTGTTATTGTCTGAATATGATTTTCTGAGGTCACCAAATCTACAAATCATAGTTTATTATTTGTTTCGTCAAAGATAATTTTTCTTTCTAGATTATATTTTAAATTATTTCCAATAATTATTATAAATTTTAATATTTTTTTTAGTCAAAGAGTTATAGTGAATAGAATAGAAAAGATTTACTATCATTTGTTAAAAGATTAGATGGAAAATTATTGGTTACATTTTATAAATCAAAAATACAAATATTTGTGACTTACTGTTACAAGAAACGAAAATAAATAGCCAAACGAAGAAAATAATTACAGCTGCCATGTTGATTCTACTCGACATTCTTCTTTGACTATGGTTACTTTAAATTTATCGAAAAACCGCTTTATTTTGATATAAACTGAAAATAAAATTAATTTAAATTCTAAATCATGTTCACATATAAAATTCTATATGCCTAGGTTTTACTAGATTTTTTCAAATGACTCTAAGTTAAACGTATTATCAATGTAATCGAATGATTGATTGATCCAGTAATTCTTATCTAATCTAATTTTATCTGATCAGAAGATCGAAAACAACATAACATTGTCACAAAAAAAGAAACATTCAATAAAAGAGACATGTCATACATACAATATAAACAATTCGTTACATTCCTTTCGCTCTAAAAATATTGTATTTGAAAATTTTCATTATATTATCTAAATTATTGTCAATGGAAACGTTATTATAAAATTCACTACGAACTTTCTTCAAAGGAATAACGAAACTGTAAGCAATAACGAAATTGTAGGTTCGTCATGAAAGATCGCATGCAAATTTATCACGTGAACCCTCCTTTTGGTCAGATTACTAATCAATTTACGTAAACATTATAATAACATAGATCATTAGTTCAAGCTTTAATGATAAATTCGAGTAAGATCGTGAAAAATTACTTACAAATTATATTATACTATGCTACATACATTCGAGCTACTTTTATTATTTTGTAAAATATAAAAAAAATTTTTGATATAATATAATATAATAATTATAAAATTAGTATATTATACACATATGTAAAAATGTGCACATAAAAAAATTTGATAAATAATCAAATGCTGCTATCTATAAGATCGAATGAAAACTACTTGGCATAGCATCTACATCGATAACTTATCTTTGATATTTCGCAAAATCTTCATTTTATTATAATATTCAACATCAAATGTGTGCATGCATTAATATATAGAATATAATATTATAATTATTAATATATGTCACAAAAATATGTTATTTTGTTATCAATAGGAACATACCTTTGTTTAAGTAGACACCTATGCTAAGAACCATTCAATGCACCATTTCCTTGTACTCTTTTTTTTCTTTTCTTTTTTTTCTCTTTCTCTCTTTTTCTCTTACATATGAATTTATTCTTTATTGACTTCAAACAACAAATCATATGATACAACGTATGCGAATGAAATGATTATTTAATTTTTCCTTAATTTAATAACCCATATTATCAATAAGCAATCTAATACCTTATTTTGTGTTTTTATTAATTCCTCTTCATAATACGAGTGTTACTAAATAATTGATACTTTTTGCAAGAACAGGAAACAGGCCATCTTTTCTTTTTTCTTTTGCTAGTAAATATACATATATATATATAACATATATATATACATATATGTATATATATATATATATATATATGTATATATAATTTGATTTTTTTTACACGTATGAGTATCGGATTTATTAAATATTAATTAATACGATATATCATAATACAATATGGTTGTGCATTGCAGTTTCATAGAAAACGGTATTCTTCGTAGCTTAAATAACGAGTCGCGTAGTTTCTCCTTGATATATGTATATGGTCCGGTAATGTTGGAACGTACTTCATCTTTAGATTAATACCGGACCCGATAAACAGTCACTAGAACGGAGTTTAAGAAATCACTGCCAATCCTTTCTTACCGTTCTTGGAGGGCGAGGGGTTTGTCCTTGAAACTACGAGCGGCTGGGCACGAATACGTGCTTAGGTGAATATGCTTTACGGTTTAGCAATGGCAGTGAGTACTATCTGCTCTCGCTCTAGTAATCCGAAATATCAGTTTCGCACTATTTCTCTCTCTCTCTCTTATTCTCTCTCTCTCTCTCTCTCTCTCTCTCTCTCTCTCTCTCTCTCTCTCTCTTTCTTTCTCTCAAATACATTCATACAGACGAGAACAGATGCATGAACATTCATACAGACGAGAACAGATGCATGAACATTCATACTAAATATCTTCCATAAGCATACATTCTATATTTCTCTTTTTATTTATCGCTGATCTCTTCTATTTTATCGAATCCTTCTTATTCGATAATCAGTCTCTTGTACACAGTTCATAGCTTCTTGTACCAAAAGAGATAATGTTCTCCCTCGCTGACTTGGAGATCATCGACACCTGATAATAAACAGAAAAAAAAAGAAAAAACAGAGATTCATTAATATTATTAAAGAAATCTAATAAAAAATGGTTAACAAAATTATTGTCAATTAGTCAATTTCATTAAGATAATAATGATGAAATTATAATATCGATCAAGTATCACCTCCAGGTGCAACCAATTGATTTCCAGGTGGCGAGGAAGGATCCGGTAATGTTGGTAATCGATAGAGTAACCAATAATGATAAGACATCGGTTCTTCCTTATAACCAGCCAACGTATGCACATAGTGTCCATTTGGCCATTCCGATGCAGCGAATTGAAAATGCGGTGACATATCAGCAGCTAAAAGCATCACGCCATAGAAGGTCTCGTTCTTCGGTGCAGAAACCGTTAAATCGTAGGTTTCGTTGACGTTACTTCCGACCCAAAGTGTATATGAAACGTTAACCATGATCGGTACCGAGGTACCAGTTATAATGGTATCTGTATTACTGATGTTACTTCCGCTTGTCGTTGCTGCTAACGTCTGACTGTGATTCTCTAAGGTCGCCAAATCTGCAACTCATAGTTTTAACGAGACATATCTTACTTGTTCGTCAAAATTATGAAATTATTTTCAATAATTATTAAAACAATATTATATATATATATATATTAATTTTAAGATTAAATATTATATCAAGGTGTTAGTAATTAATAAAAGAAAAAATTTACTATTGCTCGTTGTAAGTCTAGGTGGAGAACTATCGGTCAAACCCTGTCCACAATCAAGAGCACGAATACTAGCTAGCCCACGTGGTGAAACACCAAGAAGTGCCTCGGCAGTAGCACGAATATCACCGTTGAAGGAACCATCCGGACGTTGTTGACTCATCAACCATGCCAATGCCGCTGATCTATTCCAATTGTCCGTAGGTTCGTTCTCGACTTCTTCTAAAGCTTGCATGACTAATGCTGTTGTATGAAGATCACCAAAGCTACCGTCTAACCTTTGCTGTTGAGCCAAACCGATTGATGGCTTTCGAACGAAATGATGTAAATTTCTATGTCTATGATCTTGTACGATACATCTCAGTGCCAGTATTACCATAGCCACGGTATCTATAAGAGTAATTAATTATTCGTTTCTAAGGATTCATTTTTGAAATCATTCATTTCAATGTTAATCACGTTCTTTAACTCACCAACATTATGGTCTTGTGAAGCATTAGCAATATCCAACAAACGTCGTATCTGTCGTTTACGTACGTGAGCTTGAGCACTGCACGCAGCCAATGTGGTAAGTGCGAATTCATAATCGGTCGGTGGCTCGTGATGTTGCAATGTTCCGATCAAATCGTGTCCATGAAATTGTCTTGGATCCATGCACATAGCATTCAAAGCCAAAGTATAACGAGCCAAACGAACTGGAGAGAAACCAACTTCCCTATGTCTGAAGATTATTAAAATGTAACATTCGAATAGAAGGTAATAAATATTTACAAAAAAAAAAAATAAATCATTCTATAATTTCTCTTTTATAAAATATTACCTCCAAAGTAAAAGAACTATTTCCAATTCCATTTCCTTGGAACTCAATTGCAATTCTAATGGAGCTGGTAATGCCACGTTATCGTTACGTGAAAGATTACCCAAACGAAGAACCAAAATCACCCTGTGAGTATCGTTACCCCATCCAGCATCTTTGTCTCGTTGACTCCATAGCCAAGCAGTAGCACGTTCCAAAATGGTTTCTGCTTCAGCATCCGTAGAAGATGTTTCCATATCCGATGGTGTAAGTTCGGTGTTACTTCCTAAACAATAAAGGGATCTTTGTGATGACGATAAATCATGAAAACAATTATTGTAAGAGACTTACCATGGCAAGGAACAAAAATGCACAACCAAGCGAGGAATAAAATCACAGCAGCCATGCTAGCTCTACCCCACATTGTCCTTTATCGAGGATTACTTCGAATTTATCGATATCGCCTGTTTTATATACAAAAAGGTTTATATTAAAAATGAATCATATAAAATCGTGTGTTAATATTCAATTTTAATACGCTTATTATTATATTTATATCTCTCTCAAAATAATATTAGAAATATAAAAGCTAATCGTATTATATTTTATCGAACGATAGATCCTATAGATCTGATTTAATTTAATTTAATCCAATCGAATGATCTAAAACAACATATCATGTTCCCAGGAAACATGTTAATAAAACCATGTCATACATATATATATATACACGCGTACCACGATGGTTCCTAGGTTCGTTCGTTCGGTGAGCCTACTCTAAACGGTGTTTGAGCTTTAGTACATAAACTTCGTACACATACACGTAGTAACTATAAATCGCGTTTGCTGGATAACCCAGCAAGTAGAACACGAGACACGTCAAACGTTGGTTCGTCCATGGAACATGGGACCGAGCACGATATTGCGTAGGATCGATATCATGGCGCCTGTCGCCCTCCAAGTCAACGTGCACACACACATACACATACACACACACAGACAACTAGTTTGTCGCACACAAAGATGCACACAGCAATGCGCGCTCAGATACACACAGCTTGGTAACCGTGGCCAGGTATATATGCTTTCCCTCCCCTTCTCTACCCCACCCCCAACCCCTATTTCGCCCTTTCTCTTCTCTCTTGTCTATTCTATCCACCCTTATCTTTCTTTCTCTTTATCTCTCTATCTATCTCTCTCTCTCTCTCTTGCTTTCTCTTTTGCTACGCTTCATTGTCTGTACCTAGCATACCTTGCATCCTCTATTGTACTGAAGAGATCGTGCGCTACCATTCTACGCTATCGAACTTCATAGTTAGCTATATTGCTTCGGTGTTAGTCAGGGTATTAACCGAATATGTTTTTTCCTATTCTTATTATTATCCTTTTACATGCTAAAATATATAGAATGAATTTTTCTTTTTATGTTTATTTATCTTCTTCTTGCTATTTCTCGACCCTTTTTATTTTATATCCATTCCCTTAGGCTACATCAATGAATAGGTAAGGCTATAAAAAAAAAAAAGGAAAGGAAAGAAAGAAAAAAAATAAAAAGGGGAAAGGCAAACGCACGAGTGACTTTTCGCAGCTAACCGCGATAAGGTAATGATCGGTGTTACTAACCGTGAACCCTTTAAGGGACTTTCAATGGCTCTTACTTTACGCTTTACTCACAGACTGGAAAAAGTCCTTTTTTCGGTCATTCAACCTTTATATTATATAGTATACCATATCCCTTTGACTACACGTAGATATTATTAATATTCGAAGAATTCTATCTTATGAATTTTTCATCCATTAACGTGTGCTCTTCTTGACAATAAAAGAATGGCCCCGTTGGTAAGATCGTTCGATAATATACAAGTTTCTTTTTTTCTTTTTATGTTTTTATTCTTTGTGTAACACTTTAGAAAAAAGTTTATTTAAAAACTTATATATATATACGGAAATATACGCGTGTGCTATAAGCGTTAGAATATAATGGAATATTTTCATGGAATAATTAATAGTTCTTATCTAACATCGGGGTTGAGTTTTACCTTGTAACACATAAATCCAAATGAAAGATTATTTTTTTTTCTATTTATTTATTTCTTTTTTTAATAATCAATTAATTTCTCTTTATAGATTCATTATATTATTATGTGTTTATTTTCAAATGAAATAATTGTATATCGCGTTTGGTGATATTTTAATCATTATAGACGAGGCCATCGAGATAACAAGCACGGTGTCCGCTAGTAGTAACGATCGAATTTTGTCAGCCCCTCAGAGCCTCACTCACAAGTGTTAAGTAGTCAAGTTTTAGACGAGTACGACCGACCCTTCGTAAGAGATAACGAAATTTCTCTTTCTAATGTAATTAATCTACACACAGAGTGTCACTTTATACTCTTGTATAATTATTTCACTAGATGTCATCGACCGAATTTAATTAACAATGTTTTTTTCTTATTTCGAAACAACGATTCGTTATATCAATCTACAATAATGTTACTTTTTTTTTTTTTATAAATAATATATATTACATATGTATTATTTTATAAAGATATTAAAGAGATATTTTATAAGAGAATAAACGTAAATATATTAATTGTTCTCATTTATATTATATACAATACATATCTCAAGAGTTTTTGCAATTAAAATTCTTTCGAAAACTTTATGAAAAATAATAATAATAAAAAAAAGAAAAAAACTCATTATTATATAATAGAAACGGGCTAATGGATTTTCATGTAATCGTAATCAATATCCTATTAACTCTCGTTAAGAATCGTGCTCGAAAGAACTGATCGAATTTGAATAAACGGCGCGTGATTTAAAATGAATCGATATTCGCATTACCTTGAACTTCTATAATAGATTTTTTTCTTTTTTTTTTCTAACCGATTATAAACTTAAAGAACATTTTACGGATGATACTAAATTATGGGCATCCATATAAAATATTTTATGACATTAATCTTCGCGTAGAAATTTCTCTCATCGATATATCATACAATATATTTAATGCTTGTACTAAGAAAATAAAAAGCTCATATGGCAGTACGGTCAAGTTTAATCGATAAATGTGTTAAGAAAAGAAACGAATTGATTTTCTTTGAAAATTTATTTAATTACGAGATCGAACGAGAAGATTAAAACACAAAGAAAGAAGAATAAAGAGATAAAAAAAAAAAAAGAAACTCGTGATCAAATAAATCCTGAAAAAATTCCCTTACCTATTACCCCTCCCCAACCTCTTCCCCCCAAAAAAAAGAAGTCAAACAAATTGTCAATTTAAATCGAATTAAATTATTATTTCTCGTTGTATTAACACAGATTTATATTTTTAACTTACCGTTCGTGTAGGAAGAGAATTACCCGGGCTGATGACCCTCTCAAATTCTTTTTCACGACTTGGCACGATCTTTACTCTCGATCTTAATCGAGAGAATCGAGAAAAAGGAAAACAAAAAAAGAGAAGAAGAGTTTTTTGTTTTTTTTTAATAAAAATCAACCGAATCGTTTCAACGGTAATATCGACGAGGACGAGGACAAAGAGGAGGAGAACAACGACGACGACGACGACGACAACGACGACGAGGACGACGACGAGAAGAACACGATGACTATGACTATCAAACCAGCACGATGCGCCTGCCTCGTGAATGCGCAATGCAGAGCAAAGCCAGGAACGAAGAGCTGCGCGCCGTGAGGGGCCTCGAAGAACGGCTCTTTAACTACCACCACCATCCACTACCATCACTACTAACCACTACCATCGCATAATCACCCTACTACCCTCCCTCACCCTTTCCCACTACCACCACCACCACCACCACCCTCTCTATCTTTCTGTACTTCCAATCTCGAGGCTTACATATACTTACACGCGTACATATATACGTATATGCATTACAATGTTATACACTAGCACGTGCAAACGCAACACTCACCCCCTCTCTCCAACCCCCTCTATTTCACTCCCACTACTTTTTCCACCTTTCGGCAACACGCTCTCTTTCGCGCAGCGACACTCCCCACCATAGATGAGAGAATAAGAAAAGTGAGAGAGAGAGAGAGAGAGAGTAGTCAACCCTCCACAACTGGACTACTGTATGTATATATATATATATATAATATATAATGTGTATATCTATGTAGTATCTATATACAGGGTGAGAGCCATGTAACGTGGAACAATTGAAAGTTTCTTGCGCTGAAAATTTGCAGTATTGGTAGACTTTGAAAGTTTCTTTCTTCAGCTTGTATATAATATGTATGTACATATCTATATATATATATATATATATATGTCTACTATATGTGTATGTGTACATGACAGAAGGTAGAACTTGTATCAACGTTAATTGAATTTCTTACTTCAGAATATCCATTGTTAATTGGACCCCACTTTGGAATGAGTTTTTTTTTATTATATAGGATAGGAAAATGGATAGATAACGGTATAATTTTTAAAGGAATTTTTGGAAGAAAAAATTTGATAAATTTCTATATAACTAAAGGTGGGGTGGCAGTATTACACTGCACACACCCTGTATACATGTATATATATATATATCCATTTCTATCTATTTTTCCAGCCATCTTCGTTGAGTTCTTTCTCTTTTTCTCTTTACTACCCCTTCTTACTTCACCCCCATCGGTCCTCAAAACTCAGGCCTCTCTACTCGACCATCCTCCCTCGACGAGCTTTTTTTTTTTCTTTTTTCTTTCTCTCTCTCTCTCTTGTTTTTTCTTTCTTTCTTTCTTTCTTTCTTTTTCTTTTCGATATTTTTTGTTTTATTCCACGAGTTTTCCCTGCCACGAGTCTACCGAGGGTGCGTTGCTTCTTTTTTGTTTTCCCGACTTTCACCCACCCTCTCTGTCTACCAACGCGCCACCTCAACAGCCACCCCCTCCCCCCTTCCCCACCCCCTTAGTCTCTCTTTCTGAATCAGCCAGCTTAGAATCTCCCGGTGAATCAGCGTGAGACTGAACTTCCCTTCTCCTCTCTTGCACCCCATTCCCTTTCCTTCCCATCTTCCTTTCCTTTTTCTCCTATTACCTAGCTTTCTCTCGAATCGACGACAAGCCACGTTTTACCATCGACTCGTTCTAAAATTTCATTTCAACCGTCGCCATTCTAAATAAAAGATTTTCTTTTTTTCACGATTTCACGAATTAACGTTTTAATTGAAAATTTCAAAGCTCCGTACACGTATTTGATAATTGCGACACAATGGATTATTATATCTAAAAATTGAAAGAACAAGAAAAGCATTTACTTTTATGATTTGTTTGATAATATAAATGAATTTTGTTCATTTATATAATAAATTGTAAAGTATAAATTATTTCAATTTGTTGACATTTTATCGTTAGTTCTCTTTCGAAATTAACGGAACGATAATAAATGGATTTTATGGTTACACTATATATGTAATAATTGTTATTAGTATTTGAAACCACAGACATGAATATAAATATTGTACACCTGTCGTAGCAATAAATAAAACAATAAATGATTAAATTACGTGTGTACAGTTAGATTTAATTAAAGTATATTTATATTAAATTTTGTTGTGTATTAGAAATGTATATATATATATAAGTAATTGTTTTTTTAATATTTAAACAAATGTATATACGTTTAAACAATCCTAAATATTAATAGAGTACATTAAACTGTTCGATATATCTTAAAAAATTGTTAATTAATCGAAAAAAATGTATAGTATAGTCTAAAAGCACGGAGTATAAGTTCAACGTACCATCCTCCTCGAGATCCACCGTTAGACTGGCTCATTATCATCTGTGAAAGTTCTTTTATTGATTGTTGTTTATATGACTTTACAAAGGTTGCATATGCATAACGAAAATAAAATTCGTAATGGATCGTGATGATTGATTACAATACACCTACAAGGCACCTTTTTAAATCGTTTTTATATTTTTACAGGTATCACAAGAAAGTAATCCAAAATTTGTAGAAAATTAATTTTACTTTTTTGTTTTCATTTAAATAAATCTACTAACAATAAGAAAAATTGTTCTATTTTATTTTACGCCATCTAAATATCGTTTTGTTTTTTTTTGTTTTTTCGAATGAAATTTATAACGCAAGAAAACTATCTAAATAAAATCGATATATATCGCATCATTTATACGAACAAATCAATATGAAAGACAGATGATCTTCGTATAATAAAATCTAACGAAGGAAGGAACTTGTTTGAAATCCAAATAAATGGCTCAAAGAGAAAACGATTTCGAGATAGATGATGAGGAACAAAAGTTACTATATTTGCTTTTTTCTTATATATATATAACCCCACACCACCCCCATTAAATTTTATTAGATTAATTATAATATGTAATTAATCATTATTTTCTTAGCTCCAATATTAAAGAATTCTGGATAAACACTGGTAACTTTTTTCGACTTTATTGGCGGTCGATCTTTGCTATAATTTGGTTTATATTTCTAACAACTATTCTATGTATTTACGATTGTCAGGTATTTCGAATATTTCTCAATTAATTTTCCCAAATCAAGTATGATAGTTAAGCTAACTAAAAAAGAAAAAAAATATGTATTCTTTTTTTTGTCCAGGAGGTCAGATGTGCATTCGTGGTTTTATTAATGTCAGGATATTGGGTGACCGAGGCTATTCCTGTACCTATTACATCTATGATGCCGGTTGTTCTCTTTCCAATCTTTGGAATAATGACTACACTCGAGACCGTGTATTGCTATATGAACGATGCCATAATGATTTTCATGGGTGGCTTGATCCTTGCGTTTGCGACGGAACATTGCAACCTGCATATGAGAATAGCTCTCATGGTCATGAACATGCTTGGATGTAGCCACACAAAACTTCTAGGTGGTCTCTGTACCGTAACCACTTTTATATCCATGTGGATCGCTAATGCTGCTACCACGGCGATGATGGTGCCCATTGTATTTGCCGTTCTCTACGAATTGGAAAGGGTTCTCTTTCTCTCTTTTTTTTTTAAATTAATATTATTCTCGAAATTTTGTTATATATCATCGAATTAATTTTATATTACGATTACGTGTTAACAAAGTTTTTAAACGGTATCAAATATCTAATGTATTTCCCTTAGATTTCTCGTTAACTCTATATTATTTTAATTGTTACTTTTTGTTATTGTTAATATTGGCACAGCAAGGACTAGGAAAAGTATTCCACGTTAAAATAGATCCAGAGGAACCCGATGCCGATCCGTACGTATAAAACTATCTTTAAATTGAATTTATATTTCTCTTTCTCTTTCTCTCTCTCTCTCTCTCTCTCTCTTTGGTATGATATTAAGAAGGAACGGTTGGTTGGTTGCTTCGAATATTCTAAAATAAATGAAATTCTTTTTCAGTGAATTGAAACCAACGAACGTGACGAAAGCTTATTTTTTCGCGGCAGCATACGCTTCAACGTTCGGGGGAACTGGAACTTTGGTCGGTACACCAACGAATCTTGTCTTCAAAGGAATCTTCGAATACACATTTCCCGAAGCAGATCCAATCACTTTCGGCGATTGGACTGTCGCTTGTTTTCCTCAAATGGCTCTCAATTCCTTCGTTTTATGGTTGCATCTTCGAATAGTTTATCTCGGTTTTCTAAGACCAAAGAGTAAGGATGCCGAAGCTGCGAGAATTGGTCCGGAAGGCGAGAAAGTAGCTAATCGAGTGAGCTTTACTTTATTTCAAAAATAAAATCTTAATCGTTTCCTATTAAGGGGGAAAAGAAAAAAAAAGATATCACTTACATTCGAGATTGTGTTTCATGGCGTACAGTGCAATTTTTAAACTCAATATAACAGAAAACGCGATATTCTTAGGTGATCAAAGAAAAACTGAAACAAATAGGTCCCATGTCCTTCCACGAGATCGCTGTATCGATACTATTTTTAACGTGTATAGTTCTATGGATATTCAGAGCTCCTGGATTTATTACAGGCTGGGCAGACCTTCTATCAGACGTGTAAGAATTGTTTGTAAAGAAATATCAAAGAATTTTATTATTTGTTGTTTTTTAATCGAACAGGGAGATCAAGGATTCGACACCTGCTCTTCTCATTTGCTTGTTGATGTTTTACATCCCTAGAGATCCCCATTTTATATACTTTTGGAGCCGAGATCGTGAGCCTATATATATATTTATAATACCCGTCAGGTTATATCACAACATTATGTATTGAAAGACAATTAATTAGTTTTGTTTAAATAGGTGAGAAAAGGCCATGGGGTCCTTCCGAAGGTTTAATAACTTGGAACCTGATTAAACGAAAGATGCCGTGGAGATTGGTTTTTCTTCTAGGTGGTGGATTTGCCATTTCAAAGGCTAGCAATCAATCCTGTCTGGCTGTGAGACTAGGTCGATTCTTGTTACCGTTACAAACTTTACACCCTCTGCCGTTATTGGCAGTCGTTTTGTTATTCGTTGGTACTCTAACGGAAGTGACCTCAAACGTAGGAACTGGAAATATTGTTATACCGATAATAGCACACATGGTTAATTTTATTATATATTCGACCATTATGTAATTATTGGTTTATCCGAAAAATTTGTGCCAATATTTCGATATACATATCCATGTGTCAATAAATCAACAAGAAAATTTATTTGACGATTTATAATATAAACGATCATTAAATTCATCGTTTTAAATGTTTACTAATATATATATTTTTAAATATATTATGTATATAAATGGGCATGAACCTTTTCGGGTAACCCATTACTATGAAAAATCAATTACAACGGTATGAACAATACCGAAACGATAACGCACGTCGTATGACGTTATTGTTGCAGTCTTCCGCGATGAGGGTACATCCTCTTTATCTGATGATACCAGTGACAATAACGTGCTCCTATGCATTTCGATTACCAGTCAGCACTCCACCAAACGCAATTATATCGATCGCGGCTCACATGCGAACGCCAGTATTACTCGTCGGCGGATGTTTGCCCGCGATATATAGCTTGCTCATACAACTACTCATATTTCCACTTTGGGGATCCTACGTTTTTGGCATCGACAAATTCCCAGAATGGGCGGATAAAAAAGTCAATACAAGTATCAACGGACATTGCGAATAATTTCATTAATATTATATTCGAAATCATTAAATATGACAAAAACAAGACAGTATTGATGATTTTAATGCATCTAAAATTTCGTCGAAATTACTTTTTTATATAATATATTAAAAATGAAATTATAATAAAATTAATTCTTTTTTAATTTGTCGCTTGTCACAACACATGCCAAATACATCGGTGAAAGACCGAATATTTTGGTTTATTCTTATACATTAATATTTCGGACCTACACTAAGCGATCATGTGAATCTTAACATTCTCCTCCAATTTCTGTATTTCACGGTAACATATATACAGATTGTTTCAAAACACGTGCGCATAACTTCCAAATTTCTAACCAGTAGTGTTATTAGGTCGTCCTAATATTTTGCGTATAAAACTTACTGAGAAAAAGCAATAATTATTTGGGATTACCTGATATAACTTATTCATTATTTTTACAATTAATATATATAACATATGTTAATTATTATAGAAACATTTCTTTTCATTTTTTATTTATTCCTTTCATTTTCTTTACTTCTTCTTCTTCTTCTTCTTCTTCATCATCTCTTCTTCTTATTATTATTATTATTTAACTGAAGAATGAAAGTCAAACTACGAAACGGCGAAGATGGTAGATATAAGTTGGCTAAAGTACTGGAGGTATTTCGGACAATGAAAAGAGCGCAATCAGTACCGCCGCAGGCACTGCTCCCTGTCTTGCTTGAAGAGACGTCATTAAGGTCGAACCAAATGCTTCCATCGTCGTCTTCTCTCCATCAGATAGAAAGAAACGCGACCTTATCCAGCCCTTTTCAAGATTCTAGGCCGACTAAATTTAGATGTTTGAACTTTGGATGCATAGCACGTATGCCGACTAACTAATGAAAATTTCTTCGAGTTAATTCATTAAGCATAATATGATTCAAAGAATAAGAAGAAGAAACAAAAAGAAAAGAAAAAATAGAAATACGTATATATAATACATTACAATATGAAGTTATCTGTATAAATATATGAAAAATAAAATATACAATAATTTGCTATTTTGAGATAAAAGCTTGTTCATCGGTTCTTTAAAAATTTAGCTTCTTATATTAACAAATACATCACAAATAAATGGCCGAGGAAGATGACAGAGATGGGTCAGTAAACAAAAAATCTACCGAATCAAAAATAATCTTCAATGAAAATTTTACAAATTTTTAACCGTCTCTTATCGATATAGAGACACTGTCGTGGAGGACGTTAGTTATGGAAAAAGGACACTGCACTTCGTAAGAACTTATTGGAGAATCATTTTCGCTGTTCTTTGGCCTTTGATTCTATTACCATTTATAATTATTTACGATTGTCCGGTATTATTTTAATGTGAATACATGACATGTACGAAAATTCGTATAAAATGTCTTATCTTCTCAAATATAATTTCAACTCTAGGAAATCAGATGTGCTTACGTTATAATAATAATGGCTGGATATTGGATATCAGAAGTATTTCCCATGGCAGTCACTGCAATGTTACCTGTCGTTCTCTTCCCCTTTCTTGGTTTACTTAGTACAGCTGAAACATGTACCTGTTACATGAACGATACTATTATGGTCTTCATAGGTGGCTTGATACTCGCTGTAGCGATCGAACATTCCCAATTGCATCTCAGAATCGCCCTTGGTGTAATGAAAATGGTCGGTTGTAGTCATGCCCGACTACTTGGTGGTCTTTGTGTAGTCACTACCTTGATATCCATGTGGGTTTCGAACACAGCTGCGACGGCTATGATGTTACCTATTATCTTCGCCATCCTCCAAGAATTGGAAGAGGTCTGTGACTTCTTAATTTTATCATTGGTATATGTGCCAATGAATTTATTATCCTTGCTACTACTCTACAGGCTGGATTTGGTAAGGTGTTCCTAACGGAGCCTAACCCAGAAAATCCCAATGAACAGTAAGTAATATATTCACTTAACTTTTTAAAACCTTATCTTCCTTTTAACAAATATATACTCTTTCTTTCAGAATATTGAAACCCTCAAAGATTACAGTGGGTTATCTTTTATGTATCGCATATTCTTCCACTTTCGGTGGGACGGGAACTCTCGTTGGTACCGGAACGAATCTTACATTCAAAGGAATTTATGAGAGCACCTTCCCTTCTTCCAATGGTATCAATTTCACCGACTGGATGATAGCTTCCTTTCCACAAATGATCATCAATTCGTTTCTCACCTGGATCTACATCCGAATAGCATATTTGGGATACTTAAGACCAAAAAGTAAGGATGCTTTGGCAGCTACAATAGGCAAAGAAGGCGAAGAAATCGCGAACAATGTAAATCCAATTACAATTATGCAATTATGCAGTTAGTTATCAGAGAGAAATTAACGATAATATTAATTTATTTTTATAAAACATAACGTTCGCAGGTCGTTAGAACACGATATACAAATTTAGGTCCTGTGTCGTTTCACGAAATCGGAGTTGCTACATTATTTTTAATGTGTATTTTCTTATGGATATTTAGAAAACCTGGCTTTATGCGTGGATGGTCCGAAGTTATAACAGATATGTATGTATCTAATAGTATTCAATCGTTTATGCTAGTTTATTATTTGATTATCTTTACAGAGAAATAAAAGATTCTACACCAGTTATATTTGCTTCGATTCTTATGTTTTTCATACCAAAAGATCCTGCTTTCATTTATTCCTGGAGCAAAGATCGTAAGCATAATTTAAATTATTAAAAATATAGATACTCGTATATGTAATATAATCAATTGTACACCATGTAGCTGCCAAAAGACCGATCAAATCATCGGAGGGTTTGATAACTTGGAAAGTTATTGAAACTAAAATGCCATGGAGCTTGATATTTTTACTGGGTGGCGGTTTTGCTATTGCTAAAGGAAGTATTCATTCTTGCTTAACCCAAAAAGTCGGTCATATTCTTGAACCACTTCGACATTTACCATCTATTATTGTAATGGCATTCGTTTGTTTCTTCATCGGCATAATTACAGAATTTACGTCTAACGTGGGCATTGCCAATATAACATTACCAGTTATTGCTCAAATGGTACGATATTATCTTACATTTTATATCTCATCTTTGTGTTACATAAATTTTTATATTGACAGTCTATAGCCATGGAACTACATCCGATGTACTTAATGATACCAGCTACGTTTATGTGCTCATTTTCATTTCGACTACCAGTTGGTACTCCACCAAATGCTCTCATAACAGTCGCAGGTCATATTCCAACTAAATGGTTAATTCTCGGAGGATGTATGCCTTCTTTTTATAGTTTATTAGTTGTACTTATTTTATTTTCAACATGGGGAGCCTACATCTTCGATATCAATCAATTTCCTGCTTGGGCGGCAGATATTCGAGCAAACGAAGATAATAAATGTAGTTAATCTTTTTTATGTATTGGTAATATATATAAACGAAAACATATATATTAACTTTCAATAAAAATTAATAAATTTAACGCGGCAATTTGTTTAAAAATCATTAGATTTATATTACAATAATACATAATTCTTCTAAGTACTTTTGTACAATATGTGTTTAAATTTAAATTGGAAGTCATAAGTAAATGTACATATAAAAATGTATAAAGAAGTTCTAAGGTACTAGATATATGTTTAAAATCGGCATATATATATCGAATAATATTTTAAGGATTTATGTGCAACAAAAATACTAGGATTCTGTTGATTAAAATTATGTATCGTGCATCATTACCCTGTCCTATTCCCTTCCATCTTATTCTTAAAATATATTAAAATGAATGCACACATTATACTTAGTTCAATTGATAAGTCTATTTCAAGTAAAAATAAATTAATATAGAAATTTGTGATATGATTAATTGAAAATAGATAAACGAAAATATATTGAATCTAGAAAATATATAAGGGATTCTAAACATAGCTATTTTTATCTTGATCTATCAAATATAATTAAATTATACCCTCATAGAGGGTGATAAAAAGTACCTTTCATTAGGTAAAAAATGCTTTCAGGTTAGTAAATACAAGATTTACTTTAAGAATTATTTCCGATCAATTTCCATATTCATATTGTACTCATATACAATATATAGCCTTCGTATTCAAGACCTTATATGTGAACAAAATAAACATTCTCTCATTTTTCCCATATCTTGGAAATATAATATGCGCTTGTATCAGTATTAGTATTTTCCTCGCATAAAAAATAATGTTAAGTCGGTTGAGTTTTCAAACTTGGTGAATTAGGTTCACTTTTCTTAGGACTGGAATTAATTTCTTGTTGTTCCAATCTACGATGGCGTAACATAGTCGATAGAACACCATTAAAACTGGCAGTTTTCTTCTTCGCACTACCTTTAGGAGTACTTTCTCCTACTCTCCGTACTGGTAATCTGGGCGATGACATTTCATCCATAAAATCAAAGTCTGACTTTTCTTCGGGTCTACAAACAAAAAAGAAGAAAATTCATAAATTAAATTAACAGTTACAAACTAATAATAAGAATTTTGTTTTTATCAAACAAGAGATTATATTTAACTTACTTATATTCTTGAGAGCCATGTTCTTGCTGTCGATTACTAGAAGGAGATGGAGAAGGACCTCTTCTACCAGGACATTTCCATTCAAGCTCTAGTATACGATTAGTTTCTAATCCGTCGATTAAAGAAAGTATGTCTTCTGACTTCAACGTCCATTCGCTCTATATAAAGAAAATAAACAATTATATTCGATTCATTTGTACATAAGCTTGTAAAGACTTATAACACTGAACATATGAAAATTTAGATAACTGAATAATAGTAGCTAAGATTAACTTAAAAGCAATGTAAATATCTTACTTTAGAATCAACTTCATATTTTTCTTCATCTGAACATTCAACAGACCACTCTTCTTCGTTTCTTTCCATTATTATATACCATTAGGTTCTCACTATAATCGCGTAATTATTTTTGAAAAAAACTATTACTAAATTTGAACATTAAGGTTATGTTTTACATCCAAATCATTTATTCTTGATAATAAAAAGAATTTAACACGAGATAACACTCCGAAACACTGTTATGACACAAGTTTATAAAAAATGATAAAGACAAATTTATAATATTGCAGGTACTAACATTTGTTCATAAAAATTAACATAAACCTTTGCTCTTCAAGTAAACATTATGAATTTATACATTACACACACAATATTATTCAAAGCAACTGGTTGATTATTAAGAATAAATAAATGTTCGTATAAATATACTAGAAAAATACGTATATGTGTATAAATATATACGAAGCACGAATGTTGAGTTCGACGAATATTAAAATTCAAAACAACAAACTATAGATCGTACATACTTGCTGATAGTATCAAAAATTAAATGAAACAGAATGAATGGTAATACTTAAAAAGTGCTTAACAAACATTTGCTCGAGAGATGGCGCTGATTTTAAACGCGTCGATAAGAAAATCAACAAATGATTTATTTATTTAACGAATAAATATAAGATTTCAATCTTAATTTATGTGATTAAATTTATTGATTAAATTATATATTATTCGCATGTATACAATACCACAGCTATACGAGTTTATAACTCGTTCGTTGTTAATTAGATCAGAAATTTTCAAAGTATTTATGTTAATGGGGTATTAAAAAAAGACCGCGAAAAATAATTGTTTTCAAAAATCGGTACCAGCCCACCAAAATTTGAAAACATCCCAATTACATTATACAATAGTAATTTGAAATGATCAATCAATTGCTATATCTCTATATAATATATGAGTTTTGACTCGTAATTTCTTATTCAAACGGAATATAACTACAAATGAAGATTCATCGATGAATCTAACGAAATAGATAAGAACAATGAAAAAGTGACTTGACAATCAACAAATCTACGGTAAATTTAACGTTCTACGTAAACATAAGTGCGAAGAATATAAAAGAAAAAATCGAAATAAATCATGTCTGCATACACAGGCGTGGTAAATAACAAGAAGAAAAAAAAATACTTCATTAAAAATAAAGAAACTAATGAGATGTTTCGTACATGTTATATACACATGATACGCTCAATAGAAATAATATATCAAGTCGAGGGAACACCCCAACATATAATTACAGAAGATATATCAATCTATTTCATCGGAAATTGTATATAGATTGGTACGCGATCGAAGTTACTTTGTTTATTCAACTTAAGTGTGTACCTTTTTCGCGAGGTACGCCGCGTTTATTATTGTAATAATAATTTTTACCCCTGAACATTCGAAAGGTGATTAAAAGTAAGTATATAATATTAGATAAGCAAAAGCGTAAGAGCGCGCGTAAGCAAAATTTTCAAATTTTTTATATCGAATTGTAATTATACAAATAATTTAAAAAAAAAAAAAAAAAAGAAATAAAGAAGAAAAGAAAAAAAAATTGCAAACAAAATGATTAAAAGGAGATGATCGAATCGAATAAAACGTGAGAGAAAAATAAACACCTATAGTTAAGGAAACATTCAATGTGTTATTAACACGTACATACATACACTACATATATAACATAAAAAAAAAACTTTATGTACTTACTTTTACAAGAATTTTTATTCTATGTGCGTCCACCCACTAACACAAACATCGTATATAAATGTTTTCGAAGGATAGCCATCGCACTGAAGAGCCACTCGTTCAACAACAATAATTATCCGTTGACGATCTGACGCGAATGGATGGACACAACAAGCGATACAATAAAACTCGCAGTACGATATACGTAGAGGTTCGTTTCTCATCAGTAATCCTTACAGTAAAAAGACGTTCTTTCTAGTTCACACACGTTTTAAAAAAAAACGTATTTCGGTTATTGCAAATAATATCTAACAACGAACTATTATCTTTGAATAGTGGCGATGATCAAAATACAAACATAATTATTACTTTAATCGATATACTCAATGATATAATTCGATATTCTTGCTAAAAATTAAAAAAAAAAAAACATTTTTTTTTAAATAAACATGTATATTCTGATAAAAAAAGAATTTTATGATAATAGTATTTACGAAGAAAATATTTTACCGGGAGAACCTGCTAAACGTGAAGAAACCACTACAAATAATAGGATGCCCGTGCGATGGAACAAACGTGAAAGCAGTAAGTTGGTTTACTTAAAAAATTTCTAAATTTAAATGTAGCAGATCTAAAATAATCTAAGTTTTAGGGAAACGAGGAACCATTAAAGTGAGCGATATTAAAAATGATGGAATGGAGATCAACAAGCCAATAGTGAACAGCGATCTCTTTCAAGCTCTTTTTCCTGCTTACCACATCAGCAAGGTGTTTGGTTTATGTCCAGTTCGTTTTACGAAACAAGCACAAGACCGATATCAAGGTCGTTTGGAAATTATCGATGTAATTTACAGGTAAAATTGACATTTCTAGAATAATTTTCTAGACAAATCAATTTTCCTTTTTTCATTTTTCCTTAGCATATTTCTTTTTGGAGTTATCATGGGTGCAGAAGCTTGGGGTCTATGGCGAGAAATGAAAGATGGCTGGGAAAACAGTACAAGATTAAAATCTCGTTCAGCCGTTATACCAACTGCTAGCGATATACTTGGAGTAATAGTACAAGCTACTATTGCTATATTAGGTTCACCATTTCGTTGGAAAAACGGACAGACTATTCTTAATAATTTAGCTGAGGTAAATCGAAGGAATCTTTTATCATGAGATTTATCCATGAAGTTTATATATGTATGCTTTACATTATTTTCTCTTCTCCTTTTATTTCTCATTTCTTTTAATATATGAAAATTAGATCGACGAAATATTGGGTATCATTGCACCGAAGAAAACCCGAAGATACACCATTATTCTAGTTACTTGCGCTCTTACCTATATCACGATAATTTCGGGTCTCGACACATATTGGTGGAATCGCGATTCAAAGACTAATAAAAAAATGAAGAACAAAGGTGCGGTCAACTACTTGCCACTTTATATCATGTATATGATTATCATTGTATTGGAAGTCCAATATAGTATTATCACATACAACGTGGGTCAAAGATTTGTGAGGCTTAATAAGTGTCTCGAAGGTATAGTGAAGTCAGGCAAAGTGACCGATCATTTTAGGAAAGACCTTGGCTTGGGTGTGTACCAACTATAATTCTCTTCTTTCATTTTTTCGTGATAATAATTTAAAGATACTAATCATGTCGCGTAATTTAAAATAACGTAATCTACATATACGATAATAATATTTCTGTCGTAAATGCTAACACAGCTGGTGATTTTAAAAATCGAGAACAACCAACTTCGTACATTCGTATATCCAAAGCTATCGAGTGGTATCCAGTTGGATTTGGTAAGTTAAAATATATAAGTAACACTTGATTTTTAAATAACTCCGATGAGAGAGAGAAACAAAACTTACCATATTATATCCTTTTGTTTAGAAACGAAGAATTTTGCAAATAATATAGCTCAACTGGTGACGGTGCACTCGTCTCTATGCGACACGGTTTCTTTTATAAATAATTCATTTGGTCTTGTCATGCTAGTGGTTACACTCTCCTGCCTCTTACATCTGATTATTACACCCTATTTTCTAATAGTAGAGATCAGTGGAGGTCGTCAATGGTTGTACCTGATAATTCAATCTATGTGGAGTATCTTACACATCGCGAGAATGTTTATAATCATACAACCTACATATTATGCTGTCATTCAGGTGAAATGTTTTATTGTCCCGATCGATATTGTCTGAATTTTAACAACATAATGTTTAATTTATAACTTGAAAAAGTCCAACTCTTTTTTACAGGCAAAAAGGACGGCCATTCTCGTTAGCCAATTGCTTTCTTCTAATCCAAACGCGGAATGTAGAAAACACTTGGAAATATTTTCACTTCAATTACTGCATCGACCTTTGGACTTTTCTGCTTGTGGACTATTTTCCTTAGATAGATCTCTTTTCACTTCGGTGAGCGATACACAACATGGAAAAGTGAATATTGTTAGGCTTCTTTTCATTCGACTCTTCTTATTTTACGAATCCTGCACAACATAAAGATCTTATCGACATTCGCTCGTTATTCAATAATGTATGACTGTTGCCAATGTTTCAGATTGCCAGCGCGGTAACGACGTATCTCGTAATTCTCATACAATTTCAAAAGGAAGACAATACGAAAGATGATGTAGATAACATCTTGAAAAATGCTACACAAATTTTGAGAAATGCCTCGACTCTCCACAATCTCACAGCGATCAGACATAATGCATTTAATCAAACATAATTTTCTTGTAGTTTTGTTTCCTTTGTTTTTTTTTTTTTTTTTTTTTTCATTTTTTCATTCTTTTTTCATTTTTTTCAATTTTTTTTTTTACATACGTTAAGAGTAAATATTACATAAACAATAATTGACATCCTCGTTTAATTAATAAATTGAATAAACTTTTAACGTTCTCCAATAGAGTGAAATAAAGCTCAATGTACAATTCGGTGTCCATTTGCCAGGACAAGAAAATTGAAATAGGCATACGGTAATTATATAAATATAGGCATGCGGCAGTTATACAAATAGTTTATATAAATACAATATTCTGTCCACTTTTAATTTATGCACTGATATACACATATATAATATTTATCCATATTACAGTAGTTCATAGATTTAACCGCCTCGTCCGTTGTTTTGTAGAACTATTTATCTGCCGTTTTACCCACCTGTTATAATAATAATAAATGTAATGATGGATGAAATATATGTTTGGAATGTCCCCGTGTAATATAATACGTTTACGTTCATGTAAAAATGTTGTGTTCGAAAATCGCTAATTACAGTGGATCTATTGCCCGATAAATATATATATATATATGCACTCTGTATAAATGTATATTATATAGATTAACCGATATTTAATATTTTCCAAATTCTCTTCGCATCATCTTAAGATGAAAATGAAGAAGGATACATCTAAAAAAAAAAGTGTTGGCACTATACAAATGCGATGAGATACCACGATGACATTTAATATTCCAATTCTCATACACGGCGACAATATACAAATACAATTTCGTCGTAACTTTACCCGACTGCTAATTAATTACACAATAAAGAGATTATTAATTAGCAGTATATCCCGCCTATTGCCTAAAATTAGACATCAGTCACAGCCTGTCCAAAACATGCCTCACCTTCACTCACTCTCTTTCTTTCTCTCTCTCTTCCCCCCACTCTCTTGCTCTACTACCGTATTGATATACCTAAAAACGGAAAACTCGAAGAATTTCATTGAAAGAAGCCAAAAATTGTATATCGAGTTACTCATAATAAGGTATATACAGCTTCGTATACTGACTCTCTGTTTTTTTTACTGCTATACACTTTTCGTACAAATTATTATTCTAGCAATAAATATTAGATCACTTAAAGAATCCTAACGCGTCAGCAACGCGTATCTCATTTATGTATACGATACAAATTATGTATAAATCCGGTAGTAATGTGATTACCCATCGGAAACAGATAATGCTCGGCATTATTGAAATTGAGAAACCCAAACTGCATTTTCCAGTCGCGATATCAAACTAAACGCTCAATTTACCGTACCTGCTGTAATAGACGGTTGTGATTTTTGATGAGCAGCCTGCATTAAGTTGTCGCAGCAGGTATCTTTTGTCATAGAAATAGGTTTTGCCCTTTGGTAAGTCACCAACGTTTCTGAGTTAGATGATAAATCCGTTTCGTGATCTACTTTATTCTGATGTCGAGCACTGCACTGGCAAGGACTTGTATGATGATGAAGTCGGGAAAAGCAATCTTTACAAACTCTTACAGGATTATAAAGTTGTTCACTGGGTAACGGCGTTGAATTTTCCGAACAATCCGCACAGAATATCTTGCCGCAGCATCTACAATATAGATATTGTTCTTTCTCAATTTCTTTATTTAATTATCTTTATCGACTTATATTTCTTTTTCCTTTCTCATATTTTTCCTTTCATCCTCATACTTGTTGCGAATATTATTGCATACCTGCAATGATGTTTACGTCTACCAAGCCAAAATTCTGTGTTGCATCCCATGCAACGATTTACTGCATGATCTGGAACCCAAAGAGTTGGAGCTGGTACCAAATCCTCGACGGCCTCCCAAGACATATCCGATGGTAAGGATTCTCCGTGTTCTCCAGCACTGCCTACCGAATCTGGCAATGAACCCTGTAACCCAACAATTGGTTTCTTATCATTTTTAAAATATATTTAAACATCTTACTGCACTCTCTCAATATTTGAAACAGAAATATAAATTAAATATGCAATGCCTCATAACTATTGACCTGTTAGTAACATTCCGAAAAATGGATCGCAAGAAAACAAGTGTGACGTAAATAGCAGGATCAACACAATGACATTCAATAAATCTAAATCAATAATCGGATTGACAAAATGCAAGCTTCTTTCTTCAAAATCTTCAAATAAATGTTTACACGGTATATAATATTCAACAGGCGATCCATACAGTTAAAATTTCAGTAACATACTTTCTGTATAAAGAAATACCATACAAATTAAATAAGCCTGGAGCCACTTTAAACACTTAATCTTAATACTAGACTTACAATATCATCAATACGATCGGTATCTGCATTGTGGTTGCACACTTGCTTAATTAATGCTAGCCTTGTTGTATGTAATTCCTTTCGTAATGCTTCTTCCTTTAGCTAAAGAAACAGGCACACAGTAACTTTCATTACAATGTTCAAGAAGGGTGGTTTGAAAATAAGTCAACTAAAGAACTGATTTTTATAAAAATTTATGACCTTTTATTATATTTAAGTCAGTCATGGGCAACCAATATTCCCCGATATAAGTCATTAACACTTTGACTATCAAAAAATCCATAATCACGCCACAAACGATTTACGACTGGAGTCTAATTTTTCCTAAATAATTAAACTTATATCAAATTTTCTTCCTTTTCCAATTAAAATAAGATTAAATAATGAAGATTTCTTTTTTTTTTTAATCAACATATAATTAATAGTAAACGAAATCGTTTTTTCTTAAGAAAAAGATTGTTAAAACATTATGACCCTTGCAGAAACACATTCATCAATCGTAAATCAATAACGTGGTGGCAAATGTTAATTCACTTTCGCTGATAAAATTTCTAGAAAAAATATATTTTAATCGATTTATATAAAATGGAACAAATCAACATAAAATATAATAAAAATTTTGTTGTAAAGGTAGCTCATGTCTGGCTTAAGTCAATGACAAATGATTGTACATTAAAAATTGATCTTTTGTTTTCTTGCTCGTTTATGTACCTTGTGCTCGACGATAATCTGTTGTACTCGTAACTGAATATCACAATGAATGACAGGAAGACCATCGACATCATCCAGTCTATCAGGATTATCTAATATAGCATCCTGATGAGTTGGAGAAGCTGGACATATGCTACTTGGTGTTCTTGATATCAATGGAGCACTCGTATCACTGACATCACTACCTTCATTGTGATTACGATTACAGGAACAAGTACCTCGTCCCGCTGTACCAGTTTCAATCCACGGTGAAATACTATCTTGTCCTAAATTTGTTTGCAATCTGTAATTGATATACATAAATCAATATTCATATTACATTTTATACAATCATACTTCCACCAAAAAGTTAGAATTTTTTTTAAAACTTACGCTTCTTTCTCTCCATTGAGAACACTAACAAGTGAATCGTTATTAGGTATTAATGTATCTGTAGAACTATCCACTGATGGATTAGCAGGTGATTCGCTCGATGTTTGCACTGTAGTATACTGTTTGGTCTTAATATCAGTCTCTGATGGATCTGCTTCTAAAGTTTCAAATTTGCTATCATCTATGCTATTTACTATTTTTTCAGCCTCAACTTCCAAATTTAAAGAATCAAATTTTCTATAAAAAGAATTGTTATTAAAATAATTATATTATATATATATACATGAAATGTACCTATAAACAAATATCTATTTAAATTACCACTTACTTTTCCACAGAAATACTCGGATCGCTAAGTCTGCGGTGAAGGTAGGCTGCATGATCGGGGGTATGTATAAGATCCCCGTAAGAACGTGTTTTAGTCATTTGTCCTTGTGGTTCTTCACTTTCACCTCCTTCTATATCTATCATTGTAACTCTTTGTTTATCATCCCTAATACCAAGTGAGGATTCCATAGAACCTAAATATACTTCTGACCACAAAACAAGATCTCGTACATTACAACTTGGCCATAATACCTAAAAAAAATAAAAATTTTAATTACTAAACGAAATGGGCATGAAAGTATGTTAAAATACTTTTTACATATATAGATTTACAATATAAAAAAGAAACTATCATACTTGATTTTTTAAAGGTGAGTACAAATGATTAACGAACAAAGAAGAGTTAAGAAATCGCCATACTGAAAAAGTACGTTCTTGTATTCTTAACTGTAATCTCTCCTGTCTTGTGTTACATAAAAATGTACCAAAGAGTTGTGAATATGTATGCTGTGCTAATTTTACCTAGAGCATAAATTAAATATATTAACCTTCAGTATATATGTTTTACATATATACTATTTAGAGATACATATTATTACTTACAAGATATGCAGGAGACATTTGAAAACTACATTGAAATTGTTGAATTAACTGATGTACACAATCAAGCCATTGTAAAAATACTGGGCAACGTTCATTTGGGTCATCGCAACCGACTGTTTGTCCACAGCGATCAGCGAATTTATGTCCAAAGTCTAACCATTCTCTCTCACATAATATTTGAAATCCCTACATTTAAAAATTGTCCATGTATTCAATAATAAATATGGAAAGTATTATAAATCTTACCTCTATAGTACGGTAATAGGGATCTAATAATATCTGTGCTAAGGCAACAATCTGAGGTGTCCTATCCCAACCATCACTACAATGTACTAATACTGGTCGTCCATCTCGTTCTATAGCAGATGCAACCGTAACTGCAGCACGCAATAAACCTGACATATGTTGTAACCATCTAGTACCTTCCAATAAGCTCAACCAACTAAAATAATCCGTACAGTGTTAAATCATTAGAAAATAATCCACATTTATTTATTATTTAATTAACTCACTTTGGTTGATCAGCATCAGATGCACATAATTGTCTGACTGCATGAAAACTTTTCCTTATAGAATGTATATTTGCCAGATTCATGAACTGAATATCACAACTCGGATAATACTCAGGACATTCACAACCACCGCCTCGTGCTCTATTTGCTACAGCTGTCGTGTAGGATCTTGCATCCACAATTAGAACTTTCTATAAAACAATTTTTAGAAATGTATAGAATTTTATAAGACTTATATTCTTTTCTTTATCTTTATTTAACTAAGATTTATACTTACTTTTGTAACACTTGGAGTTATCGCATCATCTCCAACATCAGAATAGTTAATAGGTGAATCAACCATTGTAGATTCTCCTTTATCGTAGGAACATGCATCAGACAAAGCTTTTAAAAGATCCTCATCTTCGGAACTTCTCCAACCTAACCAGCCAACTTCTGGTTGACTGCTACGAGCTATTACCGCTCCATTGTTTACATGCCTTAAAATATTAATTTTTATTATAAAATACATTAAATTAAATTATATCGGAAATGGTTTTGGTTATTTTACCTCCACACAACTGCAGGAATTCGTCTGGAACTTCTGAATTTAGCAACAATTTCCAAAATTTCATCAGAAATGCAAGCAGGAACCAAAAGTTGTGGTGGGTAAGATGGGCACATTCTATAATCCTTGTTTATCGGACTTATACGCCATGTACCATGAAGATTAAATTTCAATCGTTCCACCTTCATAATTGCACAAAAATGTTATTATATTATGGTATCCACAAATATAACATTATATTAATTTATATTAGCAAATGTAACATCATATTAAATTAAATGCATTTACCTCTGAATTAAAAGTAGAGATATAAGAACTATTATCTTTCCCAAGCCTAGGATAGTCTTTACCCTCCTCTATAGACCATGCATAATACGCAAAAGAAAATATGTCTTCGATACTTTTACGTGGGTATGTTACTTTATGTAATCGTTTGAACCATTCCAGACAATGCTCGTTAGTGGAAAATGAACAGCTAAAACGTTATAAGAATATTGTCCTGTTGTAAACAGTTACATAAGTCTATGACAAGCAATACTAAATTGAGTTGTAACAGTAACATTACACGTTGATGTACAAATCAAGATATAGTATATTGAAACTCATATAAGTAAAACAATGTATAAACTATACCTCAATGACCGTGCATCTTTGCACCCAATATGCAAAAAGAATATTTCTTTTACTTCTAATTGTTCAATAAGGCCCAATGGTATATTGTAACAGGCTTGACTCTGTTGTAAGTAGAGTCTATAATTAGAAAGAGCCAAAACACCATCTGATATGCGTCCCAATGCTACCACTGATTCTCCACTTAAAAGAGTGAACGGTATAGTCAATGTTTGATCTTCACATTCGAAATGTGGATGTTTTGGAAATAACTCTGATGCATGCAGGTGACAAATTGATTGCAAACTGGTTGGCTCTTCGGAACTCTCCATTTCCACTCTACTTTCCAATCTATAATAAAAGGAAATACTTCTGTGAAATTGCTTTAAAATTATAATTTCACATTGTATTTTTGCACTTTTACTGATGCATTCAACATATATAAGTAAATATAATAACATTAAACTTACCTATTATGAATATTGATTCTGACAAATATCTGAATTTCTAATTAGTTTAAATTCTGCTTCCTGTAACAACCATTCGAAATATTTAGTAAAATAATCGATCAAATATAAGTATTGATAAAATGTTCGCATATTATTAATTGTAGATATAATTATAATGTATGCATTTAATTGCAATTTATGCAACTGTAACTTTTATACTCCTTCTCATGCATAATAAAATATCTGATTATCATTGTATATCATATGACTTGTTCGAACAAAATAATACAAACGTCATATTAAAGTAAAAAACGTAAATATATATACATATATTTACATATCAAACGAATTTTGAATATCTACTAAAAAAGCGTGCCTTTTCATATTACACATTATAAAATTGTTTATTTCAAACGATTAATTTCAGAAATGCATGCACCTTCTAGTCTACGGGTAAAAATATGCGTGTACGTGAGAAAGTTTCACGAGTTCTTGAGTATGTTATAAAGGAAAGTATCCATCGAACATAATAGCAATTGTATGTTTATTTATTGCATTCTCTAACGAAATAACGAACAGTATTAAAGAACGTTTCGATAAATCATTTAAAAAGAAAAAAATAAATTGGTTAAACCCGTTTTTTAAAAAGGAAAGCGTGCAAAAATATATACGTTGATTTGGTAAATGTCAAAACATTAAATGCGATGAAATCAGTCATCCTCTCGCAAAGACATCTTACTTTGGACTGCGAAGTTTCTCCGCAATTGATAGGGGGGAGAGGGGTGGACGATATTTGGAATTCCTGACGTCTCATACAAAATGCATCGACACTTATCTTAAATCATGAAGGATTATTAACATTTCTCGGCAAGAAACAACAGTATCCCGCATTACCCTTATGGAAAAAAGTAACGTGTGACCTCGCGATACACGTAGGATTGTCAGGCGCATGCAGTTATGGTATAAACGGCCGTGGAAAATCTCGCTAGCCCAACGCGATTAGTTTTCATTAGGGAGGTTCATGAAAATGGCCCACATAGTAGAAAACGATCTCCATCAACGGTATAACTATTTATTATAACGTGACGGAAAACAAACCGCGATTACGATAGATATAACGTCGAGTTTTTTTGGTAAAAATTATTTAACGAAATTCGTACGAGCGACGTGAAAGATGTAGTACTGACAGATCGGTCTATGTACACTTTAAGTTAAGTTCTCATGCAAGACTGATTACTTGCGATATGGAACAGATGTTTACAAGGTCGACGACAATGCATTGGATAAAGATGCACTTATGCGCACTCGCGTCATCGTCCAATCACATTTTCATTTGTAAACGCTTGTAACATTTTCTCCAATAGTTATACTCGATCATCTAACAACGATTATATTTGAATCGTAATCAAAATACAACGGACTTTGCTTCTTAAACATTTTTTTAATCGTGTATATAAACATTGTTATCACCTGACGTTTTCATTATTTCTTTCTCTTTGTTAATTACTTTATTTTATAAAAGTATCTGTGTATTTTATGAAGCTCAAAATTAGTTTCTCTTTTTCTTTGGATTGAAAATTTATTTAATTTTGCAAATAACAATTCACATCATTCAATTTGTATATTATTTCATAATCTTGTATCATAATTTAATATGTCACAGCATTGATAATTTTGTAAGGATCAAGAAAAATATATACATGTTTATTGGTTTATACAAATTAATCAACCACAAATTGCATCAGCAGTTATAGAAAAATGACGTGTAATTACCTTAATATTAATCATTATTTTTATTCAAAATTGTTATTTCATCTTTAATTTTAAATAATATATTTCCTAAGCATTTGCATCAAGTATACTATGTGACATTATGTAAATACATATTTCTATATCGATGATGTATCTTACATGGATTTGTATTGGTGCATTAAATGCATTTATTGATTATAATAAAATGAAAAATGATATGAATATTATTTTTCATCTATTAGAATGACTAATATGCTTTTCTATTCATGCTTAATTAGGGTATTAAAATATTCTTACTTAAACAAAAATTGCAAAGGAATTAATTACCTTTTGAAAATACAGAAAAGTTGATTTTATGTCGCAGACATAATATAAAAATGCTAGAGAAGTGTAGGTAACATACAGATTCTTTTAAAGCTACGAACAAAAATTATGTAGAACCTAACTAATTCCCATTCTGAATCTTCATCACGCTTTCCAGAAATTAGGATTTTGTTGTAATCTTCTTTCAAAGGTTTCATACCATCCTTGTACAGTAGACAATGGTACAAAATTTTCTGTAGGATTTGGAGTCATCTGTGCTTGAGTCACAGTAAAACTGGATGCATAATTTATAAAGCTTGTAAGCATCTTCTGTACAAATTCTACAAAAGAATTAGTTGCAGCTTCGGTAACAGTAGCTGCTTGCTGCTCTATCACATTCAATGGTTCAACAGAAATGCCTATTTGTGCTACGTGAGATATCTTGCCAACTCCAAATATTCCTAAATTACTATTTTCAAATTCATGATTTTTCTTTAGCGTAGATATTTTAAATATGGCAGACGGTTTAAGATTAGAAATAAATCCTAGAAACTGCCAGTTTGGTGGTGCATTTGAATCTGGCCAACTAAAATATACTGAAAGAAAATTAAATTTATTACGACCTATATGCATGATTGAATTGAAGAAGCATAATAAAGTATTATTGAAATCATTATTACCTGCACCACCCATTCCATCAGGGAATGGAATAGTGCCTGTAAGAAACACTACAATATGATTTATATTATCAGCATCGAGTACAGTGATTAAAAATTGATTTTCTCCAATTTGTTGAAAATCCGTCTGAACCTAAAAGATAAAGAACTATTTATAACAATAATTAAATATTTTCTTAATGTGTCAGAAATATTAGTAATCGATACAAAATCTAATTAACATTAAAAATTAACAAAATCTTCAAGTAGATGCAAATATTTCGATCAAAGGATATTAATGACTAGTATCGGAATAACGATAAGAATATTATCAATATGTGTAATTAAAAAATATACTTACTAGACGACCAGATACAATTATACCCAACATCGTGAGACTCTAATTATACCATTATATAAAATATTTAATTAATCACAATATTATAACAATATATTTGTCATTTAACGTACGTGTTTACAACGTTCTTGCACTTTCGAGAATAATGCAAACGCCGCTAAAATAGCTATATATGCCATAGAATATGTAATTTATAAGAAGGAATTTCTTGAAAACAAACTAAAATCGAACATATACTGCTCAGTTCACAAGATAGAAATCGTATACATTTTATTAACGATTTACAAAGCATTCGCTGAAAGTAAGATACAATGAAAACGCCCATTTGAACATTTTGTGAATAACCAATCAAATGTAATCCTTTTTAATTGTCCAGAAAAATAGTTGGTAATAGTTGATATAAAATCGTATTTAAATTATATCCAAATAATATTGCAGTAATCAAAATAGTTGCTACGCGAAGAACTAAACGAATAAATAGTTTTTTGTCAAAGTTTAAACAATTTTATCAAAGAAAATAAACGTTACAGTCATGGAACTATTTGGACAATAACAGATCAATAAAAAAGAAGATAATACTTCGATATAGCTGTTAACAAATGTAAACTAATTTATCATTTAATCAGATCAATAACAAAGAGAGAGATTATTTTTTATCTGCGCTTATAGGCATTCACATGAATATGACGAATAATTGACTTTCGATAAAAAGTCGAGCTTACATTTAAACTTCGTGGATTTTCAACAAATAGGAAGAAGATCAATTGGCCGCGCTTAAGTTGAAAAAGAAAAGTTAAGGAATAAAAAGAAAAAAAAGAAATCGTTTGGATTCTTTGTTTGTACAAAACATGCTGCGTACGTAAAGATCACACGATAAGAAAGTGGTATGACGTCGTATATACTCATACGTATGGCAATATATACACATGTCACATGATATAAGTATGTGTCATAATAACATATAATTTATAAACGATTGTATCATCTCAGTTCGGCTTCTTCGTCAGAAAATATTTTATCAAGATATTGCAACCTTTTATATACAATATTGTATTTGTCATCTCGTTATTATCATCATCATCGTTAAATACAATTCTCGATTCATCCCTTCGTTTAGTACGTTAGTATGGTTTTGCGCGTAATGTTAATAAAAATTTCTTTTCGAAATTCTTCGATAATGAAGAAATAATAATGATAATGTGAAAAGGAAATACTCCTTCAAAGCAAAACGATTCTTCCCTTCTTTAGAGCGAATTGAAATTCTTAAGACGCCCACTCTATTAGGACGGCGTAAAAGTAAGATTCGATCAACAAAGCGTAACAAGCGCTAGCGATACCATATTTGATCAAAAACCGCGTTCAACATTTCGCACATGGGACTCCCTTTTACTACGGAGGCAAACGGCGATTAAGATTCGATTTGAAAGGTTATCGGTGTGCGCCAAGGAGAGTGCTCAAAAGAGAGGCATGAGGAAAAGAGAAAGAAAATCAAACGTCATCTCTACCCCTTCCCTTTTCTTATGATCGACGCATATCATTTTCGAATCCTTGCCGCTTTACTTCTGAGGATAACTCTGATTGATTCAGAATAATGAATGATCAAATGAATGTATTGCTTCATACATATATATATATATATATATATATATATATATATATATATATATGTATATATAAAAGGCTCCTCGCTTATACGATATTTATATATGTGATGTGATCTCATGAGGAATGACACAAATGTAATTTGCAGGATGTAAAATTCGAAAAGCAACGTGCTGCCTCACTACCACCATCAACATCACATCACCATACCATACCACCACTTCCATCATCGCCACCTCCACCACCACCACCCAGTCTTATATTCCCCTACCATCAAAAGACTAGAAGCAAGTAGTACTAGATGTTCGTTGTGGAGGAGGTGGTAAAAGGGAGTGGGGCGAGGGTCTCATTGTTGGAAGTTTACGTCATTCCTTGAAAAACCAGTTGTTTTGAGTCGGTCGGTGCGCGCGGGTAAGAGAAAAATGTCGTCCACTCTTCGTATTTGATATTATATTTTTATTATTTATTCTAAAGTCATTTCTATTAACTTTTTCTATAACAAACGGAAATATTCTACAAGTTTAATGAACGATTGTGCTACATGGTAATATCGAAAGTAATATTTCTATATAAGACACACGCAGAGAAAGAGAGAAAGAAAGAGAAAGAGAGAGAGAGAGAGAGAGAAAGAGAGAGAGAGAGAGAGAGAGAAAGAGAGAGAGAAAAAGAGAGAGAGAGAGAGAGAGAGAGAGAGAGAGAGAGAGAGAGAGAGTGTATAGGCACGACTAATGTAGTTCACGTTAATGGTTAAGATCATTAGTAATATTTCTATAGAAAATCTTTAATTTATTTTTAAGTTGATTTAAAGATTTCATATAAATTTTTGTACTTTTTCAAATGCCCGCCATTTTGAAACCGGAAATTGGATTGAACCGAAATTACTTGTGAATCCTTGATTGTAAATACCTTAATCTTCTTTTTTTTTTTTTATTTATATATGCATTTATAAATGTTAAACGAATTAACCCAATTGTTCAGAACGATAGAGTAGATACATAAAGATAAAAGCAGCAGACACGCACGTTCATTTAAGATTTTGATATGAAATGTAAAGATCGAAAATGTTAATTGGATATCTTAAGTAATTTCGAAGATAATAGTTTGTTCAAAATTTGCTTTATATCGAGAGTATAAGAAAGAACTCTCTGTCTAAAAAAAATAAAAGAAAAGAACAGAAAATAAAAAAAAAAATAAAAAAAAAGGGGAAAAAAATGAAAGGGATAAAAGAAGCGGGAGCAAAACATGTCAAGCGCAGCACGATGCGCTTTACACGGTAGCGCCAGCTTCTGGTTCACTCGTTACTAACACTACTCTTTTGGCTCCTGTTTGACTGTTAAAAGATAGAAGAAGTGGTGTGTGTTGTGTTGGATAAACGCGTCGCGCTATAACGTGGGTATTTTATATAGTTAAGAACGTTGTCAGTCGATTTAACGAAGCTTTCTTGATAATATTGTTCGTTTGACGTCCAGCTCCCGCTGATATCCGGCGACACGGTCTTTCATTTTAAATATAACGGTGTATAAATAAGTATGAGCAATAGCAGGAATACGCGGAGCTCAACACGAACGTATACATTTTTCTGATACGCACGTTTGTGGACTATCGATCATCGCCCCGATATTTTTCTATTTTCATCGGAGATCCAAGATCAAGGGTGCATCATCAAATGCTCTCAACATTTATGACTTTTTCTTTGACGTTTACCGTATATGTTCTTTGTGCGTGGGTATGCAGTACCGAAACACCAAGGTTAGTGCGCTCTGTATGTGTGTGTGTCTGTGTGTATGTTTGTTTGTTTGTGTGCTGTTACTCTCGACCATCGCTTTTCTATCGAATGATCAGCAGGAGTGCTCAGCTACGATTTATCGTTTACTCTTTCTCTTTTTTCTTTTTTTCTTACACGATTTCTCTCCCTCTCTCTCTTTCTTTCTATCTACCTCTCTCCCTCCCTCCTTCCTTCCTTCATTTTCACAATCCGTCCAAAAGCGTCTTCTCCTACGCACCTTTTCAAATAATATTTCCAGCTGTAAACGCGTTAATTTGTATTCTTATTTGAGAATCCTATGAGAATCTAAATTTTCTTGTTTTCTTTTCTTTTTTATCATTAAATATATCAGTTTTGTGTTCCATTGATTTACGTGTTTGGTAATTTCACAATACTATTTTTCCATTAATTTAAACTTAATTTTTGATTTGTATTCTGTCATTTGTTGTAATAAGAAAGAAAGAATATCGCGGTTATTTATTTTATTATACAGAAACACTTGAATCCAAAGTCTGTCAGGAATTTGGAATATACCTTTGTTTTTGGAAGAACGTATTTGGATTAAAAGAGTTCTTTTAAACGATGAATACTTGTTGTGCACTGACCAAGGGCTGCTCAGTTTGCCACTTGACCCAGTTTTGTAAGTAATATTTAATACAGTCTATAAATGGTTTATTTGATGATAATAACATCGTGTTCTATATAGAAAATAATTTATCTGTCATGCATATTTCAGATAAAAAGAATATACACAATGCTGTTCTTCCCGAACTGGTTACAGCCGCAAGGCGTGCTGGACGATGTTGAGAATTGTTATGGGATCAGTACAGATTCCTGTATAATGTTTGAGGAGTTCTGCATATTTGCCGCAGAACTGGCACTTCTGTGCGAAAGAGGGTATTGTAAAATCTTTAAATATATTTACTGTTTTACGATATGTGTATATCTAAATATTTAATAACGTCGAATGGGTTTTACAACACAACAAAAATGAATATTAATTGTTTACGTATACACACAATAATAATTTTTATTTTGTAAAATCAATAATCTGTTAAAAATAAATCTTTGTTACAGGCAGAAAATATTGAACAGTTGGTTAAGATAGCTATGAGGATATTTTAATGATGATGAAACAACATAAGCTGTTTCTCATTGCAAGAGGATTTGATATTTGGAAGTATGTGCAATATTTAATTGAATTAGATAAATTCTGATAATAAGTAACAATGAAAAGTATCCTATTACCACACTCCAACACCACTTTTCCTATATTTATTAACTTTACATTGTTGTATTCAATGATTAAACAACAAAAATATCAAATCCTGCTGCAAAAAATGTATTATTGTTTGAGTGTGATAATATTGGATCACTGTATAATGCTTATAAAGACAAATTATTTATTTTGTTTCTATTTAATTATAGAACAGTCGTTCCTATGAGCACCTCTCATTTTTTACACTGTGATGGAAAGGATACTAATCACAAAATTGGTTCAAGTGAGTAGTGAATTTAAAAAATTGTCTTTAATACATGAAGACAAATATAAACTTAAATTATTTATTTTTCCAGAGAGAATGGCATATGAGGTATTTTTGGGTGGCTCTTGTAATCCAACCACCTGGAGGTCAGAGATAGCAATACCGACACTTCAAAGACTTGGAATTACTTACTATAATCCTGTAAGCTTTATTACTCTATTAGAGGATTCAGAATTTAATATAAAACTGTAGATGTTAATAGATGAAATATATTGTAGCAAGTATCACAATGGGGTCCAGAGCTTATAGCTCAGGAATATGAAGCAAAACAAACAGCACGTGTTCTGCTTTTTGTAATTGATAATCAAACTCGTAATAGTGCAGGAATTATAGAAGCAGCTCAATTGGCAGCAACTAGGAGTGAATCTCTGATTCTTGTAATTTATCCGTACCGGCAAGATCAGACTATACTCGGAGAAAGTGTTTCATCACAGTATGTAATATTAATTATTTCAAAGACAAAATAATATAGAAATATAAACGTATTTATATATTATAGGGAATACTATGATTTAATGAATGGATTGCTTGTACTTCAATATTTTATGGAAAGAAACAGGATACCTATATTCGAAAGTGTGTCGATTGCTCTAAATTGTACATCTAAGGTAACAAAAATAAAATCAAACAAAAAAGCATTAAAATATATGATGTGAATTTGTTTAGGTTTTGCGCGAACAAATAAACGTACAGGACTTACATGCTGATGATGGGGTGAGACCTATGAGAATCTCTCTAAGTCAAAATGGGTCCGATATAATGTAAATAAATATTGCAATTGTGAGGTTTTAATTGATAAAATATCAATATGAAAACAATATTTTAACGACCTATTCCATTTCTTTTTTACAGAATGTTAAGAGAGATTTTTAAATCTTTGGACATTAATGATAGTGGTACAATAAGTTTAAGAGAAGTTAGTACACATCTCCATATATTAACAAATCTAGGAATAAATGAATGGTACCTTATTATTTATGATATTTTCAGGCTTGGGTAGCCTTACAGACAAACACAAAATGTAATGTGTCAGTTTCAGATCTGCTCAATGCTGTAAATAAATCAGGTAATGTATATACGTAAATTTTATACATAAACATTTAAATAAAATATGTCACGAGCATTATATATTTTGATTTGCAAAAATATTTGTAATGTCTTGTAGAAACGTACAGAAGCGTGATCGATGGCTTTCCAGGGAAGGGGAGTGATCCAGCAGAATCGCGGATAAACTTCGAACAGTTTTACACTTTAGCCAGCGAAGCTTCATGGCGGATGAAGAACAATGGAGTTTCTTGTGAAAGTGAGATACCTTCAGTTTGGAGTATATTATGTAGGAAGGCCTCAAAATTTCTACGCAGAGCTATTGTACACCCTTTTACGCGTTTCCTAGGTATATTTATGATTTTCTCTGCAACTTCCCACTTAGTCTGACTCGTATTTCGCACATCTACCTTCAACAAATCTTATCGTGATCTCGACGTAGAAGTAGTTTATCTCGATCGTTTAATATAATTTAATTCATTATTGAAAAAGGACAGAGATATATTTATAAATGTACGTGTACACAAACTTTTTAGATTGGACTAACTCCTTAATACCAGAGTCTGAAAAGAGAGACCTGTATGTTGGAGTGGTCACTAAAGATCTGTATTGGTTAGAATCTTCTGCAGCTCCATTAATTGAGTGAGCATTTAAAATTTCATGAATATTTCTTATCAGAATATCCGTGACTTGCTTATAATTAATACATTTTTAAGGTCTATGGGTTTGACTCTATATCGACCAAGCCTGAATGAGTACAACGTAAGGGTATTGCCACATGAGTTACAAAGGATGAAAAATTCGCGGTTAATCCTATTAATTGTACCGCAGCACTCTCGTGGCATTGCCATAATGGCATTAGCAGCTCACATGATTGGAATACGTGCTAAGCTTGTCCTGTGCGTTCAAACTCTTCCTGAAGGTTGTATTATTTCTGGTGAAAAGGTGAGATCTCATAATTATTTAATATTATCGTATATTTTCTTATTAAATATTAAATTCTATAAATATATATTATATTCTGATAAAAATTTAGTTAACCGAACAAGCCACGAAAGACTATAATCGGGGAAGGATGTACCTGTCGGATTATGCAAAGCGCGAAGGTGTACCTGTTTTTCAGAATATCGCTGATGCACTGCAACATGCGATACAGCTAGTTCAAAGTCCCTGTTGACTTAACTCCTCTTCTTTTTTCTATTTTTTCGTACGAATAAGATCATAGATTCGACGATTAATTTATTTTTATTATACGATGTCCAACTACCATTTGAGATTTACGGGACAACGGGTGGAGACAATACAAATTGTTTATCATTCTTGTTTCTACAAATATTAACTAAAACTTATATTAGTATTACTGACATTTCAAGATAATAATAATAATTGTTAATATCTTATTATAGCGCGATTGTTTTTCGTATAAAGATATATTTTTTTTCTTACACTTTTATTATTGACTAATATATAATAGAATAACATATTGTGCGCACTACTGTAGGATCGCGAGTTTTTTTTACAATTAAAAAAGCTTTTTTTTTGTTTGTTTTATAAAACAAAGCAATATATAAATGAAAAAAAAAATATATATTTCTATAGAGTTCAAAATTAATATTTATTTTATATTTTATTTTTTGATAGAGAATATATTTTTTAATTACTTTTTAATTATATCTTATTTCAAATACCATCTGCGATTGTAATTATTATTTTTTTATTTTGTAGAAACATTAGTGAAGGCGAAAGAGTGCAGCTAATAATTTTATTTTATTTTATACGTGTTTGCTTCACGAAATGATTTTTGTTTCCTTTTTTTTTTTTTTTTTTTTTTTTTTTGTATAAACGATGATACAAATAATCTCCTATGGTAGATGGACACATTTTTTATAGTAATTTAACTTGCAAGTTTTTGTAATCTTGTGGTAACTGGTTGAGGATTGATTTGATATACGTGTAAATAGACTATTAGTTATTTCTAACGATCTAATGATAATTAATCTCAAATTTGATAAAATGATTGTATGGGAGGGTGGTATGTTTGCTCGAGTTAAGTGTAAGTCTCCATCGTGTACACGAATAAATATATATGTACACATGGTAGAACGTCTTCTTAACGTTACATTATGACATGCGAAAAATTTCATTTGTCATAATTAGAAAAATGAAAATTATAGGCAACTAGAATTTTTATGTATGAAAGAAAAAAAAAAAGAGTGCAATTACTTATTTGTAACTTTCACATTGTTTGACGCTCAGAGACTTAATTCGCAACTGAACATTACAAATGGCTCAAGAAAGAAGAGTCATTTATCATACTCTTCTTTTTGAAGAATATTCATTATTTCACACATTTTTTCATTTTCTTTTTTTTTGTTAAAGCAAATTATTTTTACGCTTTCCTGACATTTTTCTTATAAATGTGTAAAGATTGAAAGTGTAAAGAGCTTTTATAATGAACAGAAATTAAATTTATAATGAACAGTAAAATAATCTCTAAACACATACATATACATATGTTACCAAAATAAAAAACAAAATTATTTCTATTACTACCTTGAAAAAACAAAAATCCCCTTCAACTTTAACTCTTTATTTCGAATAAAAATTGCTTGTAGATCTCAATGTATTAAATTAAGTTATTTATATTATTCTACTTTCTCGTCTTTTACTTTTGTTGAATCTTCGTTCGTTTTATTTTGACCAGTTACCTTTTTCACGTTGGTTTTCCCACCTCTGTAATACTGTTGTATAGTTTTAAGAGACAACAAAACGGGAATCATTGCCGGTAAAAATAAAGGTGTATATACGGCATATCTGAAAGAATGAGTAATTACAATTAAGAACGATTTGTTGACATAGAAAATTAAGTAAAGGAAGGAAAAAGAAAGAATGGCTTACTTTTGGTCTTCTGGAAAATATAGAAGTGCTAACAAAGTTGGATCGGAGAAAGCTTCTTCAGCAGTAATAAATGCATCTTTACTAAGCATAAAACCATTCATAAGATCACCATTTTTAAGGAGTTCGGCAGAACGTTCCACTAAATCTAGGGCAATCTTTATTCTATTTCCTACAACATCAGTAATAACGATACGATTGATTTCTGTGAGAAGTTGAGCTAATGATTGCAATGTTAACTTAGCGGAAGTTAACTGCTCCATAGCACGAACTCGCAGCAAAGCATCTACTTCCCAATCACGTGATTTCAATCCAACCAGTGGTACTACAGTTACACTGCTTATAGGCTTCTGAAATTAAAAATGGAATATTTTTATTGATTAATTAACAAACTGGGTTTCTTTTTCAAATGAATTACCATTTCTGGAATGCCTAAAAGTAATCTTAGTTGTGCAAGAAATATCCCGATGATAGTGGCTTCGTCGGGAACAATGGTAGTAACGTTACCATATGCTGCAGCTTCGCATGCTTCAGATGGAGGATTCGCGAACACAACACCACCCCATCTAATATATATATAATAATTATTAATATTAAGAGTGAGAAAGAAAGAGAAAAAATATCTCTTTTATAAAAAAAAAAACTACGTACCTTGGAGATAGAAATGCTTCGACGTCACCGTCAGTCTTTAATTTGTGGCCTTTACGTGCATAAATATGTAAGGGAGCATTATCACATGAAACTACATATGCTACGAAATTTATACACGGATGAAGACTCACTTGAGATGCTAGAATAAGATAATTCATGGTTTTTTTTTTTTAATATAAAGAATCAAAGAGAAATATCCTAATATTTCTTTTAATAATTCGTAAAAGTAAAGTTTTACCTAATTTTTTTTCTAATGGTGTTACAATATGAGGTAAAACATCTTCCACCAGAGCATAATGTTTACCTTTCCAGCTACTGTCGGGAACAGTTATTAGATTAACGCTTAGTGGTAAGAAATATAACCACTGTGACTTCACCGAAAAATTGCTTATCATCGATAATTGATCGAGGTATGGCTCTATGTACTCTAAATAAAATAGACACATTTATTTATGAACATTTGCTATATGTGTATATAACAATCGTCTATGTGAATGATTATTTAATATAATATATACCCTCAGACATCGCCTGGAGATCCCAATTGATTTGTAGTGTTTCAGGATCGGGATTCACCAAAGTTATCAGAACATCGTATGCTGAACTTGCAGGAAATCTTCGTCTATTTTCTTCGTCGAGACTGTAATTAGTTGGATTTGTAAGAGCATTTTTAGTAAGATCTAACGACTTTTCACGAAGGATCCATTCGGATAGTACTTGTACTAATTTTGCATTACCTAAACAAGATTTTGATCGTTTTAACGTTATTTACTCACATTATGAAATATGAAAATTATTGTTGAAAATAAGAACTTGCTTGTTTCAATCGAGAAGTATATAGTTCTTTTCGAACCAACGAGTACAGCATCATTAAGATTTGGGGATTCTAAGAGTAAAAGATTCCCTACGTCCAAATCGAAAGTAGAAGCAATTTTTTCCAATTCATGATGGGCAAATGCGAATGCCAAAAGATTGCTAGATACCACTTGATATACAACTTCCAAATCGTAGATCTCTGAAATGATACAATGACGTGATAAATTTTAATAAATAATGAATTCTGCATGACTAACGGTTAATTACGGAACTGATCAAACAATCTATAATATTATGTGCATTATGTATGTCAAACATTAACATATATAGATATCTCTTTAAATTCTATACATGAAATTCAGCACTTGTGGCATACTTTAAAAGAGGTCAATGTCAACAATAGACCTATAAAAAATTCCTAAGGCTATTCTACTCACGTATTTTAATGGGAAGTTAGTTTCGAGTAACAAGGACTCTAATAATTTAAATATACGATTACGATCAAAAGAAATATCTAAACATAGTAGAAAGAAAATACCACTATCTTCGAATGTTCTTCTTATTTCTTCAGTTAGTGCCGTAGCTCGTTCATCAGTTAAAGCAGCAACAATGATCTTCATTTTGATTCTAATTTCCAAATTTGATAAATCATCGATTCCAGAGTAAGGAAGTGCCACCCGCGGTACAGTTGTCATGTACCACCATAGTGGTACTCCAATTCCTAATAGTATCACCGCAAAAGAAATGCTGGCATATATTCTATACTTTTCTGTAAGAAAAATAACATAGGATTACAAAAGGATATTCAAACTCTTACATACTCTCGATCATACATTAAACCAATGATTTTCAAAAAATGCGCTGCAGTGTTTCAGGGAGTCGCGATTTCCCAACAAGGCATCTCTAAATATTCTAAAACTTTCATAATTTTATTTTTAATTTCAATTCGATGTAGTAGGATACGAAATTTTGCGAACTTGGTGCAAATTATTAACTCACTTATTGTTCGTATTAACTGCTTACAAAAGCATCTACAAAAAAGAACACGTTTTATTTATTCTGCAAGGCGAATTTGTTAGAATTTGATATAGGGTGTTTTGAGAAAATCTGGGTTTAGGAAGGGCGCCGAGAATAGAAAAATTTTAGGAATTTTTTTGCATTAAACCCATAAATGATATACAAATTGATATATAATTTGTTTGTTTTTATTTGGATATATAATGCAAAATCTATTTGAATAAATTTTGAAATATACAATCAAGATTTCAAGAGATAAGACCATACTATTAAGAATTTGTTGATAGCATTAACATTTTTTTTATTAACTGCATCGTTTGAATGATGTGATAACGAGTATGCTCGTCAAACACAGAATATGTTTCATTGTAATGGTACTATACCAAAATAGCACTTGATTTTTTTTTTGAAATTATTATCAATTGATAAGCTACAGGCATAATAAAAAGGAAGATACTAATTTTTGAAATCTCCTAAATCATTTACAAATATCTTTTTTACTATAACACAATTAGCAGAAACAAAAGTATTAATTATTTTTTGACGCATATACATTAGTTATATTTATGATTGCAACCAACTAATATATTTTTGTTTTTTTTTCTTACGTTGTCAAAAGGCATTGAAAGGTGAAAAGTAATACCTGTTTTTTTAAACAGTAATAACCTTCGAAATAATTTGAACTAGATCCAAACCGGCTATACATTTTCTGGCACTATCCGAAATGCAAATGTTAGTTAAGTGTCAGTGTCGAACTTGAATGGTAGCCGTGTCTGTTATTTTTGATTCAATTAGAAATTAATATAGAACAATGTTCCATTCAATTTTTTTTTTTATATGAAAAATGACTATTTTACCGTGGATTTTAAAAATGAATAAGAGAATGTACAAATAAATCCTTTGTATGTTGTATAGTTTTTGATATTTTATCTTTATATAGGAGATAGTGGTGATATCATTCCAAAATTTGTCGAAACGAAATTATAAAGTCGCATTTACACGGCTAGAAAGTGTGGTGTTGATTCATTATATTCTTTAATATCCATGATCAATCTAATTAATTAATTAAAAAAAAACAAATTAAGGTATTGTTGTATTTGTTTATTCTAACTAAACGAGTGATTAGTTCTTAATGTTAACAGATTAGTTTTAGATAAGTTAATAAAATCTACAAACGCTTTATTTTATATCGAATAATATTTGAAATAAACCTACGACTAGATAATGCTAAACATGCTCAACTTTAATTTAAAAGAATGTTTCATCATTCGAACAAAGATACACCTACGACATTTTAATGTCAATCTTTCTCTTAATTTATCATATTCGTTATCCTTTCATACTTATCCTACTGTAAAGTATCATTATGTGATAATAATGTTTGTAGTGAAGAAATGATAATAATACGTGTAATAAAAGCATTAATTATTATTCTCGTTTATTTTATTGACTTAATTGTCAAAAAAAGAAAAAAAAAAATTAATTTTATATTAAACCAATCGTTAATACATAATTAATAACTCGATATATTTTTTATCTTTATGATCAAAACGAAATAAAACACGTTTAATATTTAAATCTATTTGATTATCTGTTCAAATTTTTTTTTCGTGTTATTTCCTCGTTAATACATGTGTATATTACGTAATAGCAAACGAGTTCTAAAGGAGGATGTTAAGTTATTTGAAAATCATTTTTTTTTCTTTTTCTTCTTTTTTTTTTATATACAAAATAACATTTTAATAATCTCGTATAAATCCAGCATAAATAAAAGTCGTTCATTATTTTTCTATGATTATATAGTAAAGACATACCATGTATTTTGAAAAATTATCTGATATATGAATGAAATGTCTAACAAGAATGTTCCTCTTTGACAGAAGACGAATATTATCAGAGGATTGACAAATAAATGTCTGGAAAGGTAACTCGAATTATGCATAGAAAAGAAGATAGATATGCAAATAGGTAATTTCAAGGAAAAAAAAAATAAATTGTACGAACAATCGATTGCATGTTTATACTGCAAATTACAATATAATTTTCCTATTTTCAATACGGAGTGTTCTAAAAGTAGTTTTACCGACAAAATAAAAATAAAACAAAAATAAATCAACATTGGTTTATTAATAAAATTACAAATACGCGTTTTTCATTTCAAAATATGAATTTTCAGTTACAATGTTGTTAAAAATTATGGGCTCATGATACTGACGTTCCAAATACCTGGCCCAAAAAAGAAATATATAATTTTTCTGTTCGATAAAGCGATTTTTGGTATAGATTGCATAAATATAGGAGTATATGTAAATAAGTATATTGATTGAAATGGAAGAAAAATAAAAAAATGTTAAGAGCTAGAGTAAAGTTAATTTCTTATGAATGACCTATTGTTTCGAGGATGCGTTACTTTCTCATATGACTAAAATCGTACACGTGAAACGAATAACAAAAGTGAATAATTTAAATTAATTGAATGAATACTTCCTATTTAGAATTCGAACACGTAACAATAATTAATGCGAACAGAGTTCATGCGCGTTTTTATATTATCGAGTTAGTTTGAAAACATCCGTCTGACGACAAAGAATAAAAAATAAACCATAAAACCATTCTCCTGTTAAGTCATTCTTTCCAAACCAAAATTATTTAGCGTCTTCGATAATAAATATTTTCCATTAAAAATAATTACATTCACTTTCTTCCTTAAGCAACAATCATTGTTATTTTATTAGCATAGTCTTTTAACGGGATCTGGGTGTGAAGGAATGTAGTTTTATTGCTTCTGACGATGAATAAATAGATTGTGATTACGAGCTCAACGAGTTAATGTTGGTATTACCTAAAAAAGAAGAAAAGGCTAATCGATGACAATGCATTTCTTTATATCTCTTTGACCAAATTACCAGTTAAAGTGAACAATTGATAAATGATATTACTATAATTTCGAGTATCAGAATAAACTTAAAGATGACATTATATTGCATTATGTTCAGTTAATAGTTATAAAAAAAAGAGGATTATAAAAAATAAATGAAAATAAAGATGATCTTAAAGTTTCATAAATTTTGGAATTTTCTTTTGCAAAACTTTAAAATAATAAATAATAATTATATATACTTAATTATAAATATATATAATAACTTCGTTCGCGTACGAAGTCAAACTATTTAAAAAAAAACATAGATAAAATTTAATAGTTTTAAAATAATTCAAGAGATGATAAAGAATTGTAATTTTTCACGGTATTCACGTATATTTTTATGAGAATGAAAAATGTAACATATATGTTATAACGAATAAAAAGTATTAGCAAAAGGAAATAATAATATTAATTAAAATGCGTAAAATCATACACATATATAGATAGTTTTGTTTTAATATTGTACACTTATATATTTAGATTTTAATCTTGAGAAAGATATATTAAATAAAAATATTAAATAATAAATCGTATATATATACTTTTTACAGATTTACAGAGGACATACATAAAAATGTGTTCCAAGTTTTTCTCGCTAGGTAGAATAAAAAAAAAAAAATAAGAAAAATAATTTACTTTTTCTTATTTATAAAAATAAACAAAAAGATCTCAATTTAATATATCATGGGATTACGGGTTTCTTTCTTGCGTGAAAGAGTAGGAGCTTTTCCTGCTACGTTTCGGAATGGTATGGTCATCTTTCTAGAGTTTCTTATTTTCTTTGCCCTTTACTTAGAAAAAAACGTCAAAAGAATGTGACGAAAGGTTATCAATGGAATCCATTAAGATATAAGAAACTTATAATTAACAGCTGTCCCATTAATGGTTCACATTGTTTTTTTCAATGAAATAAAAGTAAGAGAGTAAAAGAAAAAGAGTGAAAGAGTGGAAGAGAAAGAAAGAGAGAGAGAGAGAGAGAGAGAAATAAAAGAGGATAAGAGAAAAAGAAAATAGAGAAGAACGAGTTAAGAGAAAGACAGAGAGAGAGGGGTGATACTTGAATCGTTCGTTTAAACTCTGGTGGTTTTGCTTCATGTCTTCCAGTGTGCTTTCAACTAACGGAAAGTTAGATCGTACTCTCAATCGTCTTCTTCTCGTTTTATCGCAAATGTTTAGCTCTAAGTGCATTCTTCTATTTCTATCATAAAAAATAAAGGAATCTATCGTTTAAAATTAATTAAACAAAAAAAATAAGTTTAATAAGTTTATAATTATACTGTTTTCGAGGAATACATCGATCACACCTTATGATCATTTTTTAAGTTTCATTCATCATGATTCTTCCTTCGTCAAAATGTATTCCTTATAAATCTGTAACACTGTGCTGATGTTTTTTGTTTTTTAGAAGAAGAATAGAAAATCTTGAAAGACAACATTTTTTCAATCAAATTTTGGAACCAGTGAGTTGTTACGCGTGGTACATATTTTCATTCTTCTTCTTCTTCTTCTTCTTCTTCTTTTTCTTCTTCTTCTTCTTCTTTTTATTCTTCTTCTTCTTCCTCTTATTATTGTTGTATCGGAAAAATGGATTTTTATTTGATTGGATTTTCTTTTCTTTTTTATCTTCTGCTTATGTACGAGGAGAACTTGTTTTGAGATAACCACTTCTCTCGATCTTATTAGAACCACTATTATACAAATGAATGAGTATGGGACCCATCTTATCGAATAAAAATGACGTCATTTAATCATAGAATTTACTTGTTGTCACAAATATTCTGTGCTAACCTTCTCTCAGCAATATTTAATGCTCGGAAGAAAACAAAACAGTAAAATGAGACATATTTTATTTTTGATTCAACATGCAACGCGTAATTCCTTTTGCATGATATGTATACATACGTGCATTAATCTGCAGAGGATGAAAATTTAACCCTTTGCACTTTCAAGATCGTATGATTGCAATACATCACATCGTCTGTTTAGTTTTACTCCATTACATTTATCTATTAAATTATGTTCTATCAGTATACACGTGCACTTATTTTATAGCTAAAGACGTTAATATCTTTGAACGTAAACAAAATATATAATTTTATATTTCGATTTTATCCATTATAAAACAAACTTTTCTCTCTTGCACACATACATACACACACACACACACACGCTCAACAGTTTATTTTTATCTTTATCCTTAATAAAATATTCTGAATTAAGTTGTACTTTTTTAAATAATTTCAAAATTTTTATAATACATTTTCTTTTAAATATTGTATACCAATTTTTTTTTATTAATATTTTTTCAAAAATAAACTATCTATATAAAAAGTTAACACCAAGTTGTCGTATTTCATATCTTTTATTTAATGGTCAATAAAACTCGAACAATAAGACGCAAAAACCTATTAACGTCCGTTAATGATAATTCATTGTATAATCATTTTTTATCGGTATTTTGTACTTTAAAATCAATTGCATAATCTTTATATCGATCATTACTTTCCTTATATTTATTTTCATGAATGATAATACATGTACATATATACAACATTTCATGCAATTAACAATTATCATTAGTTTATCAGTAATGTTTATTTCATATAAGCGAACCCTAAATTATTCTTATCAAATAATACTCTTTTATTTTAGTAAAATACAATGTCTACAATTACGGTGGAACCCCATCCAGAAATTACCGTTACGACGGCCAGAGAGTAAGTAATAATTAATGGTAACGAAAATTAATCAATTTTTTTTCTTTTTTTTTTTTTTTTTTTATAAGAATATTATTAAAATATAAAAAACATTTTAGGAACGAGTCATTGGGTATTCTACTTATACGATTTGTGGCAATATATTGGAAATCTTTTATAATTGTACTATGGCCACTGATCCTTTTACCATTAGTATTTATCGAAACTAAAGAGGTTCGTAATATTATTTATACAATTTAAATAAATAAATATAATAGTATTTATATAACAATACAGAATATGCAAATTACGAGAAGAATACAACTTGATGACTAGCACAAATTTCGCTATACATATTCATATATCACCATTCATTTTTATTGTGATTATAAAATTAGTACAATGTACGTTAAGGCTTAATTACTAGATATCAGGTTGCCTTGATACCTTATAAAAGTAAGATACGAAATAAACACATGACCGTTACGTAGTATACGCAATATTATGTAATCGTTTAAAAATATTTCATAAAACCCATGAAGTATTATTAATGGATAATTCAAATAAATTAACGATTTTCAGTTCGGTGAAACGGTAAAAAACAACTTTATGAAAAAATGAAAAACATTTTAACCATCCATTACTCATCAATATAAAAAATGCAATAATAATTATATATATATATATATATATATTTATTATAGGTATTGGCGATGCGATGTTTATACGTGGTCGCCTTGATGGCAATGTTTTGGGTAACAGAAGTTCTACCATTACCCATCACAGGTCTCATACCCGTGGTATTTTATCCTCTAATGGGTATTATGAGCACTAATGAAACTTGCCTTTGTTATATGAATGATACCACAATGATGTTCTTTGGTAGCTTGGTCATCGCCGTTGTTATTGAAAACTCTGGTCTACATATGCGTATTGCTCTTTTGATTATCAAAATGATTGGTTGCAGTCATAGAAGGTGACACTATGTTTTTAATTAAACATCGTCAGTATCATTGATAATATATCAATTACAATTATGAGGATATTATTAATGATGAAATATTTTCAGACTGACTTTAGGTCTATTTTTCGTGACGATGTTCATTTCTATGTGGATTTCTAATACCGCATCTACCGCGATGATGATACCGATTGTGGAGACTGTACTTATAGAACTTGAAGCAGTAAGTTAAGTTCATTGACCTTATTACATTATTTGAATTTAATTAATACGTCCAATTAATTTCAGCAAGGACTTGGTGATATGTTCATTCAAGAAAACGAAACCATTAATAATGAATCAGAGACTTTATCTGCGTACGTAAAATTTTATTTATATATTTTTTTGTTATGGATATATCCGATAATTTTTTTTTGATATATTATTGACTTTTAATATAGTACAAAAAGACCAACACATAGTACGATGGTGTATTATTTGGTAGCAGCATATGCTTCAAGTCTCGGTGGTATTGGTACAATAGTAGGAAGTGGGACAAATTTAACTTTGAAAGGATTCTTCGAAACGTAAATATTCTTAGCTTTAAACTCTGTAATAGATATGTCATTTTAATTTTCTCAATTTATATTTTGAAACATTCTATAATATGTTTATATTTCATTTTTCTTAGGCGTTTTCCAAATAGTCCAAGTATAAGTTTTGCTTCTTGGATGCTTTATTCGGTACCAACAATGTTACTGATGGGTATTCTCACTTGGCTATGGTTGCAAGTAATGTATATGGGTTTATTCAGGCCAAAAAGTAAAGATGCTAGAGCGATTGATATCGGCTCGCAAGGAGAACGCGTTGCTAGTGCAGTAATAGACAAAAAATACAAGGAACTTGGACCAATTTCGTGGCACGAGTCTATAGTTGGAATTATGTTTATAATTGTAGTATTACTTTGGTTCTTTAGAAGTCCTGGATTCGTTAAAGGTTGGCCATCATACATCACGAATTTGTAAGTATAATTTTTTATCGTTTAATCGCACCAACTCTCGTGACATATTGCATAAATTACGTTTAATATATAAATATAATAATGACTGATTTTTTTACATCTTGCAAAATTACTCTAGCTTTATTTTACAGGCCAGTCAAGGATTCAACAGCAGCTTCGTGTTTGACAATATTGTTCTTCATACTTCCAGCAAAACTTGACTTTCTGCATGCCTTCGATAATGATCCAAATAAACGTCCTACGAAACCATCGGCTGGTATGATAACATGGCAAATGATACATAATAAAATGCACTGGAGTTTGATACTGGTGCTTGGTGGAGGTTTTGCTATATCAGCTGGTAGTAAATCATCTAAACTATCAGAAATCCTTGGAAATGCATTAATAGGATTGAATTCTATACATCCAATAGCAATATTAGCTATTGTTTGTATATTCGCAGAAACTGTTACTGAACTCACTTCAAATGTTGCTGTTGCAAATATTATATTACCAGTATTAGCAGAAATGGTAAGCAAAATTTATGTCATCAATTTCAATATGGTTAAATTAAATTATTATTAATTATTTTCTTATATATAATTTTTTAGTGTGTGGTGCTACAAATACATCCCTTATATCTTATGCTTCCAGCAACTATATGTTGTTCATTTTCATTTCATTTACCAGTAGGCACACCACCCAATGCCATTGCCAGTGCAGCAGGACATATAAAAACGAAAGATTTTATAATTGCTGGGATAGGTCCCACTATTATAACAATAATTATAACTGTAGGAGCATTTTGTACCTGGGGTACATATGTATTTAATTTAAATGAGTTTCCAACATGGGCCATGCAGAATAAAACAATGTAGATCTGATTTTTATTTTAGTATTATTCGTATTAAAAACTATTTTTAAGAATATATTAAATTATATTATATTATACAAATAATTATAAAATTATATTATACAAATTTTTGTATAATATTATAATTTTCTCAAAAAAAGAAAGAAACAAATAGAAAAAAAGGAAGCCCCAAATAAAATAATATTATATTATTGTTGCTTCATAAAAAAACATTGTAAACAGTATTAAAAAAGCTTAATTTAATAAGCTGACTATATAAATCTTAAATGATAATATTAAAATAAAAGGTAAGATAGATATGGATCCAATTTATTTTCTATAAGAGTATTCAAATATTTTTATATCTGTATTAATAAGAACAATTATATTTATTCGTTCCATCAATATTTAATAAGTATTTGCAAATTGTATTCATGTGTGTATATAGTATAAAAAATCAATTATACCCTGGCTAAAAAAAAATCTAATAAAACAATAGGAAATAAAAATTAACATACAACGTGATCCAATACAATGTTTAATTTAACAATGTAAAATTGAAAAAGTAATATTAAAATATATATCTCTTACCATCTTTAATGGAATCGTGGTCAACAGTTGTAATTTGTTCTTCCATTTTCAGTGCGTTGTTAATGACAAATGTTTATTACATAATAATAATGTTCCTCATTTCATTTCTTTTTCACTCACACAATTAAATGTTTCAAACGTTACATTAAATCATTGACACACGATAAATAAATGGGAAATCATTTAAAGCACAACAGAATATAGCAAACCTAACCTTTGATATGAATCATTTATAAGACGATAAGGGAAACATTTAAATTTATACAATATTGAAAAACAAATTATTAATCCACAATGCAACCGAAAAGCTAATACTTGTTAAACTAATTTATTATTATTATTAATTTCCTACAACACATTTCATCACGCATTAAACGTCAATCTCTATACATGTCCATATACTATACGTTTAGACACGACCACCTGAAGTAAACACACATTAAATTGTTAGCAACGAAATAAGATTCTTATTAGAAATTATCGATATATATCGATAGTAGCAAGTAAGATAATACATATTCTTTCGGTTTTGTTAAGGCAAAGAATGCAGGAGTACATAGAAGCTCACAAGTCTCCTTTTTTATCTAACCAGATTCATCTTAGTTATTACCGGGACCACCAGTAGGCGATAGTAGGTACTTAACGCGATGACGGTACAATACTATCAAAGAATTTAATTTCATTGCAACGATTAATAGAGATTTGATCAAAATAGATATAGAATTCAATTGAAAAGTGCATCTGCGAATTTGACGATTTATATGTCAGGCCATTGTATCACTTGATTGTATGATTAATATAGTTTTCTTTTTGTTACAGGTGATTGTCGTTGAATGTATCATCTAACTCGTTTTGATTTCCTTTTACTTGAGCTTCTAATAATGACTTTTTAAAATATATGTATAAATGCATTTCTGAAGGCACACACATGTTTATACACTAAAAATTAAATATGATTATTTAAAATTCTATTAAACAATATATGTAACTATACTATATATACTACCAAAGAATACAGTATTCTTTGATAGTATTGTACCGTCATCGCGTTAAATACCTACTATCGCCTACTGGTGGTCCCGGTAATAATTAAGATGAATCTGGTTAGATAAAAAAGGAGACTTGTGAGCTTCTATGTACTTCTGCATTCTTTGATTGAAGTATAGCGTAAAAAACACTACAATTGTATTTTTACAGTCGTTTTTACAACAGCAGAAAATTATTTGGAGGAGTGAAACAGATTGTAAGCTTGCAAATATTGTATAGGAAAAAAGAAGTGATCAGATAAGTAAATTGCCCACCTTAACCATTGATCATTTGATATTCTTACCTCTATTTAAATCCGTATGTGTACTAATTATAATTATAAAGTTTATTAACATAAGGGTATTATAAATTTGATTTTATTTAAATACTTATTGTTTAATATCAAGACATGGATACAATTATTATTTAGATTTCAAATATTAATAGTTGTCATTTGGTGTTGTCCCTATTACTTATCTTAAGAATAAGACAACAACGTATAACAAGGATTACTTTTTCCATTTTGCAAAGGAAATAATTCTAATAAAACTTGTAGATTTAATAGAAGTTGTGCAAAAGTAGGTCTATTCTCTGGTTGAAATGCCCAACAATATTGCATTATTTTATAAATATCACAAGGTATATTCTTTGGCTGACCTAAGGATTGTTTTTCAATAATTATATGTTCTAGTAATTTGTTATCTGGTATATCCGAATATGGAAAAGCTCCAAGAGTACCAATTTCCCATAGTACTATACCAAATGACCAGACATCGCTTTTAGAAGAAAATATACGGTCTTGTAAAGTTTCCGGGGACATCCAACGTACTGGAAGTTGACGTATTTTATTTGATGTATCATTTATAGTATAAATTCCATTTCGAGAAAGTCCAAAATCACATATCTAAAATTATAAAAACATTTAGAATTTTATTAGTTCTATTAACAAAGATAAATTTCATAATGTATTACCTTTAAATGTAAATCTGAAGTAAGTAAAATATTCCTTGCAGCAAGATCTCTATGAACGATACCCTTAGATTCTAAATGCTCCATTCCTTTCGCAATATCAAGAGCAAATTCTATAAATTGATTTCTTTCAACTTCACTTTGTATGTTTATTGTATTTTCTTCTTTTTTAGAACACTCTAAATAAATATATCTTAAATTAGTCAATTTCAATTTCTCATCTTTCGAATATGTTGAAGATATAGATAGTGTATTTATTGTTGTATATAATGCTGAAGTAATAATTAAAACAATTAAATCAACAACATATTTCGTAAATATAAAATTCTTTAAATAAAAACAAGAATATAGAAATAAAATATTACATACTTTCCGAAGAATTAAGTAAAAATTCATATTTATTAAAATTATTTATAGTCATTCCAGATTCAGCTTTTTTATCTTTTATTGAGTGCAAATATGCCAATAGATTACCACCTTTCATATATTCTAAAATTATACATATAGATTTATCTGGCGTAATGGAATAACCCATAAGATTAACTAAATGTGGATGTTTTCCTGCCTTTTTCATTATTTCAATCTCCTCCACAAACTCTTGGTATACATCCAATCTATTTAATTCATTTGATAATCGTGATATCTTAACTGCTACTGGTACTGCATTATTATTTATGTATCCAAGATAAACTTTACTAAATTGACCTTTACCCAATTCAGAAGTTAGTTTTAAAGAACTATATGGAATTTCAAATTCATTTGCTTCCTGTTTATGCAACATAATCTTTACAAAATATTGTTTATAAAATTCATTATTTATAGAATTATCCACATAGACATATACATATATATTATTTTCTTACCTCGGTATTGCATTCGGTGTATAGAACGTTATGTTTCCGAAGAATAGAATTCACCCAATTTGATTTACATTTAGAAATAGAATCTATTGATTGCATTCTAAAATTGAAAAAATATATATATCTTTCTATAAGTGATTTTTAAATATAATAAATATTTTTTTTAATTTATATTTCCCTCTATAAATAACTAATATTACCGTGATGTGTATTCTTCCCTCAAAATGAATTTTCCTTCCTTTATTTTAGAAACAATAATCAAACTAAGCAATGTAAATATCATACAGACTACTGCAATAGATATAAATTCCTACAAAAATTATCAAATAATTAATAATTAAATATTCATTTCACAAATTTTCTATAAATACATACAATAGTATAGCTTTGCTTTGATGAATTCTGATCCATTATATCAAGAATGAATGTTCCATCACTACCAAAGCAACCATGATTATCTATTCCAGTCACAAATACTTTGTAACTATGCTGTAACTTATTACAGCGATAACCATCATGTAAATTCCATAAAAAAGTATTAACTTTTGCTTTGGTAATACCTATTTGTGTGATATTATATACAAGAAAACCTGCTTTTGACATTAAAAGAGGTATTCCTATACTGAAATATGAACAATACCATGTTGCAATATTAAAGACAATATATCAATTAAAAGATATTTTACTTTCTAAATGTATGTACTATATCATACCTAATTTTATAAGAATGTACATAGGTATTATTAGTTTCTACGTTCCATTTAATTAAGACATAACATTTGTTAATAGTCGCATTTACACGAGGAGTTGGTAATACAAATGTTTTATTTACGCAAATGCATTTATGACCTATACATTCTGGAACTTTATAAATTACCTAAAATATAGATAGTCTCAATTCATTAAAATCATAATATTTAGAAGATCTATATTCTGTTTATAGATTAATTACAAGTCTACTTACCCCTTGTGCCGTTCCCGTTGGCTTTGTTCTTGGATTAGCATAAACTTCTATCTTATATGAGCAGCTTGGATGAATATACATCTCTGGTACATCAATTGATAACTCATTTTGTGGTAGTAAAACATTAAGTTGACTGTTATTTTGTGTTCTATAATACAGTGTTCCTTCTGGACAAATTGTAAGATTTGATTTTTCACTTGATATACTTGTTACTATCACACTGTTATAATATAAAACTTATAAATAATTGTATTAGAAAATTAACTATGATTGATGCCAATATCACGTGTCTACCTGTATGAGGAAGGTTGTTTATTTTCATTTGGTGGTAACCAGGATATATTTAATTTTAATGATTTATATATATCATTAGAATTTAAATATTTGTCATCTTTTAAAACATATACTGTAATGTTTTTCACATTACCAACAAATTTATTTGTATTTGATGCCCATGATGTATTAATATTAAAAACAAAAAAGATCACCATACATTGTAAAAAGAATGACGAAGTTTGCAATAACATTTTTTATTAATGAAATGAACAATAAACTAATAGATATCAAAATAATATGCTATTATATGTATGTTGTTGTATTAACCAGTAGCATTTATATACTTTACTGAGCTAAATCTAATCCAAGCGTCTGAGAAAATCTTATCTGATAAAATATGCGTTAAGGGGGCAAAGATTTTTTTTTAAATCTTTGATAAGATTAAGACCTATTTAATTTTATTTTATATTAATTTTATTCGATAACTTATCCCTTACATATAAAAATTATCCTTCACATATATTTGAATCCAATAAAATAATAAAGTAAATATTGTTATTGTGAACGATATAAATAACAACTGTTTATTATTAACACATTAATTATATAATGTTATAGATTTTCAAATGGCCTCGGCTGCGATGTCCCCGACTGAGGATGACGAGTTAACACTTCCTCGTGCATCCATTAATAAGATGATCAAGGAAATCCTACCGCACGTACGCGTTGCTAACGAGTCACGGGAATTAATCTTAAATTGTTGTACAGAATTCATACATTTGTTATCTTCTGAAGCCAATGAAATATGTAATCAACAACAAAAAAAGACAATAAATGCAGAGCACATTTTGCAAGCACTTGAAAAACTTGGTTTCGGGGATTACAGTGCAGAAGCGGAAGCTGTTTTAAGAGATTGTAAAGCAGTAGCAGCCAAAAGAAGACGTCAGAGTACAAGATTGGAGAATCTAGGAATTCCAGAAGAGGAATTGTTGAGACAACAACAAGAACTTTTTGCAAAAGCAAGAGAAGAACAAGCTGTTGCTGAACAACAACAATGGCAACAATTACAAGCAGTTGCACAAATGACATCAATGCAACAAACTGACAGCGAACAAGAAGACTATTCATAAGATACAATACAAAAATTATTCAATCGATCATATATAAAGTTTCACCACAACCTATATTAAGAAACATATATATATATAAAAAAAATAGGAAATGTTATTTTTAATAAAAGTAAAAAGTGTATAATGGCACATTAAAAGTACCTTCAATTCTTTAATTTATTTTCAATATAATTTAAAATAGATCATTTATCTGTGTAGTACAAATTAAAATATTAATAGTGAAAAATAAAAACTTATTCCTATTATTATATTTTATTATAAATCTTCTGTAGTTTAATTATATTATCACATTTTTTAAGGCATTAACCTTCCATATTCTGATGATAGATGGCTTTTTTTAATTGCTTCCATAACTTTTGAAACATAGTGATACCTATGAAAAATTAATTATTATATATTATACTATTTATAATATTTCTATAAATGTATTTACCAAGTTTTTTCCGTTAAAGTAGACGGTGTCATTGGATGCCTTGATACCCCGTGTATTTTCATTCTTAATTGTTCAATCAGTTTTTTTTCATTTTCTTGCACATTGGATTCATCTGCAATAACAATATATGATATAATAGATCAAAAATAAATATGTAGATTAAACTTTTTAATTGATAATATACCTTCTGCTGCAATTAATGGTATAAAAAATAAGTTCAAACCACTTTCAACTGAATCAGAACTCATATCTAAACCACTATGAGTTTGTAGCCTAGAACTAGAAAATACTTTATTATAAAAATCCTAAAAAAAAAGTAAGAAAGTGATAGATTGTTTCATACAATTCTTCAAATAATACAATACATTGTACTAATAAAAGATACCTTCATTTTTTGAACAGTACTTGGCATAAAATCTTGTGGATCTGCTTTGTTATGTAAAAACAATGTATGTGGATAATATTCAACATAATCCTGATCCATAGTAGTTGTAGATGATGGTTTTAACATTTCTGCTGTTTGAAGAAACCTATTGTAAAAGAAAGATTTCTTTATATTTACGAAAGATATATAATCTTTTCATTAATAAAATATGCTATACACAAATAATATATTATAAATGTATATTATCATAAATACCTCAGTAGATTAGGATCAACAAACCAATCTTGTACAAATATGATTACATGACACACTGAAAACAAAAAGGCTGTAAATTGTAACGATTGCAATTCTGAATTAGCATCATTATTTACAAAATCAGTTGCACTCTTTTTTTGTTCAAATGACGAATTGTAGTCAACTACAGAAACTGATAGAATAGGTTGTGTGTCTAAGTATATCACTCTATTCTTAGTTACAAAAAAATCTATTCCGCTAGTACAATTTGTACTGCTCTCGTGATGAGACAAATCTTGAACACCAAAAACATCAGTCCTGAATTCATAATTAAAATATTTATTATATTTATAGTTACTTAAAAGAGAACCATATCTATTTAGAACAAAACTAACTTATAATTTGATGTAAGAAGGGACATTATCGTAGACTTTCCGACACCTTGTTTACCTAAACATCCTACTACTAAGAAGTCTTGTTGGTCACATAAAAACTCTAATGCACTTTCGCTAAGCTGCATATTTTCATCCATAAATTTAGCACAGTTTGTCATCTCAATACATGTAGGAATAACTGTGCGTGTTACTAAAAACAAAATATAAATATTGAACTATTACTTCGTTATATTTATACTAACATAAGTATTTGATGTTTTAACTATATTAAGTTTTTATTTAATTATAATAAGAACACTTACTATCTGGAGTTTTCAATGGCATTGTTGAAGTTGAATCTGCTTCTTTTCTAAAATATTAATATATATATAAATTATATTAATGTATAATAATAATATATATGTATATAAGTACAGTAAAGCTCTACTATAATATGAAGTTTGAGTCAAAAGAGGTTAAATCTGAGAAGTTTATAGTTCTTACTTGTTACCATTACGCTGACTTGGTGATACAGCTCTGCTTTCACCTTCTCTAGTTTTTAATATAAATGTTGGACGTTCAACAACTTTTATCAAAGCCCTACCCTCTCCATCTTTACCTTCTGAATCCTTTGGCATAACTGACATCATTTTTAATTAGATTTCTTTGTACTTTTTACACAATATCAAAAATAATACTGCTGGAATTAATTGAAAGATGTTCATGGAACTATAATGAACAATATTTATAATTAGTAATAGAAGTTTATTAGCAAATATTTTGTATTAAACTGTAATTGTCTTACCAAAGTGCGTCAAAGTTCTAATCTTCATATAAGTCAGAATCAATAACAAAATACCGACATATTGCCAAAGGATATTTCTGTCAACGTGTTAAAGGGGTATTTAATTAATTATTATAAAAGTAACAAATAGTAATTAATATTTAAAAAAAAAATAGAGTGGAATACAAATCTCACAATACTTATGAAATAGAATAATATAATTACAATTATGATGTATCTTTTTTATTCCTGCTCAAATTTGTTTAGGTTAATTAAATAATCACTTTTTAAATCACATATTTCTTTCTAATTGTGAATAAAAAAATTCTTGTGTCAAAATTATTATTTTTTAAATACTAGTTGCATCTAAACTGGTTTAGAAAAAAAAATAACCTTACATTTTTCTATATAGAAATTAAAACAGAATAAAAAAAAATACGTCCTTATCAACAAGAATTCTTGTCTATTTTTAAAAACTACGTTTCCGTTCAGTATGAGCCAACGAAGTCAAAAATAAATTGTCGACTATCTAGTAACGTCTAGATACTTCTAATTTGCATTTAATATAATGCAAGAATAGTAATAGTGATAGAAAACCTTCTGACGCGAACTGTGCAAGTTTATAAGTGATCACTGCTAAAGTGATAGTTTTATCTAAGAAATTTAAAAACTTATACAATTAGACGTGTTACTTCATTGTGATCGCATAAATAAGTAAATTTTCTCAACTAATAAACGTGAAAGTAAGAATTTATTTAATTTAATTATTTTTTACATATATTGTTGTATAGATTATAAAATATATAATAACATTTGATACATATATATATTAAGATGACAAAGTCAACTTTAACACCGCAAGAGTGGAAGGAAAAAGGTAATGAAGAATTTAATAAAGGCAATTGGTCTGAAGCATTGAGTTGTTACACGAATGCTCTCAACCTTACAAAAGAAGAAAGTGTTGAGAAAGCTGTTTTTTATAAAAACCGCGCAGCAACGTATTTGAAACAAAAAGATTATAACAAAGCGATTAATGATTGCAATGAGGCATTAAAAATTTGCCCCAAAGAACCAAAAGCTTTGTTTCGCAGATGCCAAGCTTTAGAAGCTTTGGAAAGATTTGAAGAAGCATATAGAGATGCTCGGTATATCATTTCTGTGGATCCTGGTAATAAAGCGATTCAACCTATCATTGCACGTCTACATGAAATTGTACAGGATCGACATAAACAGAATTCTCGTATCAGCTCAAGGGTATGTATTATTACTTGTTTTTCTTATTCATTTTGTTGTACATACATATAACTATTCAAATTTTTATCAATATGTATACATATATTGTGTATTTCTTAAATATGTGTATATGTATCTAGGTATCTCAAATGATTGATATAACTTTTGATCCACAACACGATAAAGAAAAACGAGAAACGGCAATAAATAATCTCTTAGTACTATCTCGTGAAAGAGCTGGTGCGGATATAATGTTTAACGAAGGAATAGCATCTAAAATAATGAGATTATTAAAGCTAGAAAAGAATGAGGAAATAGTTACAACTGCTATTCGTATTGTTGCTGAATTATGTAAAGAAAATATCACTAGAACTGAACAAATTTTAAATATTCTAGGTATACCATGGATCTTAGAAATGATCAATAGTAAAAATACAGAAAGAGTTAATGCAGCTCAATATTGTATGCAGGTACAATTAAAAATAAATTTTGTATACATTTTTATAACATAAATATATATATACATGTGAATATATACATATAAGTATATGTTTAAAATTTCAGATCATATTAAACAGTTATAGTGGAATGGACAATAAACCAGAAACTAAACCTAATAAAGATTTATGTGAACAATATAAGAAAGAAATTGATACCATCTTATCTTGTTTAGTATATAGTACAACAAATAGAACAATTACTGGTCAAGCTAGGGATGCAATCATAGAAATTATAATGCGTAATATACATTACACTACCTTAAATTGGGCAGAACGTTTAGTAGAAATCCAAGGTCTGCAAAGGTTGATGGAAGTGGCTAGTGAGTTAGAAGAATACAAGTATGAGTCTGCAATGGACATAACTTCATCTACGCGTACTATAACAAGCGTTTGTTTGGCAAGAATTTATGAAAATATGTATTATGATGCTGCTAAAGAAAGGTTTAGAAATGCTATTGATGAATACATAAAAGCAAAATTGCTTACACCAGATATAGAATCAAAGGTAATGGTTTGATTTTATAATTTTTCTATTGATAAATGATTTATAATTAAAATGTTTTATATATTCACAGGTACGTGTTGTTGTTGCAATAACAACATTATTACTTGGACCTGTAGACGTGGGAAATTCAGTTGTTGCTAAAGAAGGTATTATGGAAATGATTCTTGTAATGGCAGGTACAGAAGATCCATTGCAACAAAAAGTTGCATGTGAATGTATCATAGCTGCAGCATCTAAAAAAGATAAAGCTACAGCTATAATATCTCAAGGTGTAAATATACTTAAAAAACTGTACCAATCAAAGGATGATTCAATTCGTGTGCGAGCTTTAGTTGGTTTATGCAAATTAGGCAGTTCAGGTGGTACGGATGCAACCATTAAACCATTTGCTGATGGAGCGACAAAAAAATTAGCAGAAGCTTGTAGAAGATTTTTGATTAATCCTAAAAAACAAAAAGATATGAGAAAATGGGCCGTAGAAGGACTTTCTTATTTGACATTTGATGCTGAAGTTAAAGAAAAATTAATAGAAGATCGTGATGCCATTCAGGCTATGATAGAACTTGCCAAAACTGAAGATCAGTCTGTATTATATGGAGTAGTTACAACTTTAGTTAACTTATGTAATGCTTATGACAAACAAGAGATTATACCTGAAATGGTAGAATTGGCTAAATTTGCTAAACACCATATACCAGAAGAACATGAATTTGACGATCCAGATTTTTTAAATAAAAGATTAAATACTTTAGCTAAAGCAGGTGTAACCAGTGCTTTAGTCTGTCTTGCTAAAACAGAGAGTCAAAATAGTAAAGAATTAATAGCACGTGTTTTTAATGCAATATGTAGTCAACAAGAAGTAAGAGGAATTGTTGTACAACAAGGAGGTGCAAAAGTTCTTCTACCTTTGGCTTTAAATGGAACAGACAAAGGAAAAAAACAAGCTGCTCAAGCATTAGCTCGTTTAGGCATTACAATAAATCCAGAAGTAGCATTTCCTGGACAAAGAATCATGGAAGTTATAAGACCATTTCTAAAACTTTTAGATCCAGAATGTTCGGCGTTAGAAAACTTTGAAGCATTAATGGCGTTATGTAATTTAGCTGGTGTTAGTGATACCGTTAGACAACGTCTTCTGAAAGAAGGTGCTTTTACAAAGATTGAAACGTATATGTATGAAGATCATGATATGTTAAGACGTGCAGCTACACAAGTAATAAACAATTTAATAATGTGCGAAGATACAATCAAATATTTCGAAGAAGAAAACGACAGAGTGAAATATCTTGTGATTCTTTGTGAAGATGAAGATGAAGATACAAGTTTAGCTGCATCTGGAGCCTTAGCAATGTTAACATCAGTAAGCACCAAAACTATAGAGAAAATTTTTGATGTAAAAAATTGGCTAGAAGTACTACGCTTTTTGCTTGCTAATCCCAAATCTGAAATACAATATCGAGGTTTAATTATTATATCAAATATGATTAAAAGCTCAAAAGATGTTGCTGCAAAGTTGGTTGAAACAGATATAATAGAAATTTTAATGGCTTTAGTAAAGAGCGATACTGTGAAAGATAAAAAAATTAAAGACCTAGCATCAAAAGCCTTAGGAACTGCTGCTGATTGGAAACTCATTCTCCCTACAGCACCATAATATTTTAATATTTTACTCTCATTACAACAGGAGCAATCATTTTAATGAAAGTGCCTTATAATGTATTCAGTGATTCATTAGAATTTCTTACGCATGTATATTGACACATGTACATAATATGCATTGTACTTATTTCATTTCATTACATAACTTATATTATTTATGCATATGATTTTGCAAATAATAAATATAAATAGATTCCATGCTTATTTGTGTATTATATGGCATTGTTACTTAATAACAAAATCAGATCATTAATCTACAAGAAGTATATTTTGTATTTTTACAAAATTTGATTTTATTTTACCTTTTAAAACTAGTCAACACATAAATTATTATATAAAATAATGTATAACTCTTATACATATGATGAAAATAATATTTATTTCAGTAGTTAGTAAAGTGTATAAAAATTATTTATTTATCACATAGTATGTATATGTACATATATTTTGTTTTGTTTTGTTTTGTTTTAAAAAGATATAAAAACTATTTATAATGATAATTTAAAAAATGGATGATCTAAAGCTTGTTCTGCCGTAATTCGCATTTTATGATTTACATCTAAAAGACTTGTTAATAGTTGGTATGCTTCTTTTGGATATTGTTCAAATGATGATGATATCTAGAAATTGAAGAATATATTTTTCATTAAATTTAACTAATATATAATGCTTTCTTTAACAATCATGGATAAAACAAAACAAAAGAATAAAAATACCTTGTTTTTATAATTACTGGTATGTGGTAAATCTCTGTTTCTTTTTTGTAATTTTTGACATAATGTCATTAAATCAATTCCTGGTAAATTTTCACTAGTAATAAGTTTTTTTCCTAAGTTAATAAATAAAATAAATAAAACATAAAGCAATTGAAAACTAATTTTACAATAATTAAATTTTTAAAATAATTGAAACAAAAACCAAAGTAAAGAAAATATATACATATATATATTAGAAATTTACCTAATTTTTGTGCACAATGTTGTAATTTCTGTGTACCAAATATTGATATTATTTCTGCTAAGGCTGTGCAATCATCAGGCGACCGGAAAAAAGGCTGGGTACCACTCAGGATACATAACATAATTATTCCACTTGCCCAAATATCGATTGCTAAAATTTATATACAATAAATGGTTTTAATATATTAATTGGTATATAATATATTAATCATTATTTTAAAATATAAATTGTTTGTGTAATTTATACCTGGTGTTTGTAAAGAATATTTCAAAAGTACTTCAGGAGCTCTAAAGCCTGGAGTGCCTGCTCGAGGTGCAACTTGGGATCGTTTATTTAAACATAAAGAACAAGTTTTAGGTTTTCCAAAACATACACATTGATCATTCATGTAGATTTTTTCAGAAGCATAAGATACATTTTTGCTATTCTACAAATACCAAAATTTATATGAGAGAGATATTCGACATTAAGTAATAGAAATTAATATGAAAGTAGATTATTTTATAAAAAAACTTACTTCATCATATCTTTTTCTTTTTACAGACTGCACTGTACTATTTAAAATTTTCTGATCATTTAATGTTGGTGGTGTATATTTTTGAGCTAATCCAAAATCAACTAATAAATATCTAAAAATGTTTACTATTATTTAGATTTTTATTTAACAATGGATTAATAAGTATTTATTGTCTTTTAGTATAATCACCTTTTATTAGAGCGATCATATAAAAAATTACTTGGTTTAACATCTCTATGTATTATATTAAATTTGTGTACTCTGCGCAATGCAACTAATAATGCTTTCATGTAATCCCTTGTTTCTTGTACTGTCATATCTTGAATGTATTCCTAATTAACATGTGTTTATTATTAATCAAACTTACTTTTTCATAATAAATTTGCATTAAAAAGTATCATTGCTATAAATATTATGTACAAGATAAAATATTAAACTTACAGAAAATTTATCGTGCCTCATATATGGCATTACAAATACAACAGATCCTTGATGTCTTAAACAACATTCTAAACCAACAACATGATCTTGACCTCTAAAAAATCATAAGATTTTAATATAAAGATATATATATATCAAAGTAATATTTATAGCTATTTATCGTTTAAATTAATTTCCATTAGTATTTACCCAATTTGGTTTAAACATTGCAATTCACGTTCTATCTTTTCTATATGGCAAGTAGGTACCAAATGTTTCAATGCATATTTCTTAGAACCATCAGATAATTTTAAAGTAGCTAAGTAAACAGAACTAAATGTACCCTCTCCAACTTTTCTATGTATATGAAAAATCTCTTTTAACAATGGTATACTATTTTTAAGAGCAATAACCTTTTCATTATTTTCATCTAAATAAAAAGTATCTTTTATTAGAAATTTTTATACATATGCTACATATTTATTTACTATTTTTATAAAACTTATAATTACTACAATATATGTCCTTGCCTTGAATATCTTCTTTTCTATGTGTGTATAAATTTGTAACATCCATAGTATTAAACTAATAAATATATAATTCTTGTATTCAAAAGTTTCAGATAATTAACTTATGATTAACCTCATTTATATTCTGAACGGCCTTTTCAAACATACTTCAATATTTCTTTTTATACTACGTAATACTTGCCAATAAATGCTAAATCGAAAAATTTCAAATTAACTTAACTTTTAAATCTTCTATAGACCGATGTTTTTATAAAATTACTTTTCTTCAGTTTGAATCAGAAATGTGTCAACATAAAGCTCTATAAGTGCAGCTGTGCTTTTGAATAGTTTATGCGTATAAAGATATTCAGAAAAATACATGATAACGATTAGATTCTTATAGTAAAAGATAATATTATATTTGGTTTATTATTTAAAAAAATAAAAACATTTAATAAGTGTAATTTAACATTTAAAATTACTAGGATGAATAATTACTTTTCAATATCTTTTATTTGTCAAAATAATTCTTTGGCAGTTACATATATGCGTCTTATTTAAATGTTATATAATCGTAATAATTGTACTATAAAGACTAAGTATGATTGGAGCTTTCTAATCTATTCTTCATACAAGCCAACGTACAATTGGTTGAACTTCACTTTAACTTCTATGCAATCGCTTCAATGATATTCAACAATCTCTCTTTTCGATCGGCAGTTTAGATATTTAGCATTAAACAGTTAAACAAACATTTGCTATTAAATAGAACAATCTTTAAGCAAGCCAAATAAAAAAAGAATTATATTATTTAAAAATATCATCTTCAAATGAAAAGTAAAACATATGAATATATAAAATAGAAAAGAAAATTATTTTTACTAGGAATTGCGTAAAAATTCTCTCAATTTTTAAAATTAACAATAAACAAAACGATAATAAAAATATAAGAATGTATGAATGATTGAATATACATATTCTGAAATTAAAACGGAATAAAGTGGAATAAACGTACATCTTATGAAGTCACGTGACGTCATTAGATGTCCTCAGAACGTTGTTTATATGTTACGCGATTGGTCGAGAAAATTCGACGCATCCAATCACGTGTTTCGTTGCTCCGCAATGGTCACGTAAACTTTTCAGCCATCTTGTTATTTTCGAAAATCTCGAGGTTGGGTTTCGGCGACAACGCAGTGTGGACGTTTTTCTTGTTTCTCGCTATGAGTGAGTGAAAAAAGGAGTGTAGTCCCTTTTGGAATCTATGAAACAAAGGTACGATGAGTTTAAGGTTTAATGGGAAAGATTGAATAACTTCAACGACGAATGCCACCTTTCTTCGTTGACGAACATCGCAAATGTAGCAAAAACGGATGAGGAATGAGCGAGAAAGAATGAGAGAGAGAGCTGAGAGAAAGAGAGAAATAGAGAGAGAAAGACGTGCGAACGAACGAAGCGAGAGAGCTAGTGTGAGTGAAAGAGCGCGAGGGGGCAGGGGTGCACGGAAGTAGGGGGTGCTGTGTGGGACAGAGAAGAGATGATAAAAAGGCGGTGAGGAACGGCGAGTGTGTGAAACGAAGAACAAAATTATTCGCGCGCGGGAATCAGCAGCGGTGTGTTAATCCTTTTGTGCTTATGATTTGCACGAAAAGGTCGTGATTATCAGTGTGGAACGTGTGTTTTATACCTTTTTTGAGAATCTGCGTATGAGAGTCATTGATGTAGGTTTAAAACGATACTTTTGACTTCGATCTACGAACAACGACGCAGCGGGGAAATCAGACCCGGGCGACCGAAATGCCGCATATTTTCACTGTTTTCTTTAATAATATTTTTTCTTCTATTATATTATTATTTTTATTCTCAATTATATCTATTAAATTGTTTATTTATACCTTTTAGTAATGACGAAATTTGTTTAAGATTGTCAAATGTAGGTTAGGTTGGACGGTCGCAGTGCGGTGACCTCCCTCGCAGAAGTTGGGAATGATTTTCTTCTTTGCATTTAATTTTGTAATACATTATCACTACTAATGTAATTTTAATATACGTTATAAATCATAAAAATGATAATTTATTTTTTATCATTATCGTTAAAGCAATTAGTCAGAGAAAATCATTTGCTGCTTACATCTATTCATAAATTTACTTTAATATATGTATGTTATTTTTGCTCTATGTACACAGAGTTATATGTAATTATATAAAAAAAAATTTATTGTGTTTAGATTAAGTGTATGAAAGGAAGAAAATTTATACTACGGAATGGCAACTTTGGCAGAACAAGCATCCAAATTATTGGACTTTAACCAGAAGTTGGATATAACGCTTCTTGATAATATAGTAGGATGTATGTACACTGGAATAGGTGAGCAACAAAGGGTTGCACAGGAGGTTTTAACCACCCTTAAGGAGCATCCGAATGCATGGACTCGTGTAGATACCATTCTAGAATATTCTCAGGTAATTTTGATTATGATATATTAAAACACAGATATCTGCGCATATATATTTATGGTGAGGTAGATCATCAGATAATATATGTATCAAATACAATTGCAATAGTAATGGTATGCAAGAATGACATGCTTGATAATATTCATATGCAATACAGTATTCGTATTAAGGAAGTAGAATTTAACTTGAATAAAATCATTCCTATAGAGTAGCGTGCAAAATGCAGTTAATATTATTAAACATTACTGTTTAAAATTTTATATAAAAAATTACAAAATTGCTTGTAACAGTTTAGAATATAGACAGATATTTATTAAAAATTCATGTCTATATGTATTGTAGAAATATATTGTATAGCTATAATTCAATTGAACAGTATAATAGAAGATAATTTACAGAGAAACAAGATTAAAGAATCTAATTCAGTATTTATCAAATATTAAGCGTAGAATGTAATAGTAGCAAAATTGCATTGTTATTTTTTAATACTTAAATTTCATAAAAAATTGTAATTTATGATATAGTAGCGTATAGTATTTTTATATGTATATAATAATGTTCAATGCATTGAAATTTTATATCTCATAAAGTAATATATAATTAGGATTTATTGTTATTGAAAAATTGATGAATTCTTTATTTCAAGAACATAGTGGTTTAGAATTTAAAATCGTTAGAATGTTTAATTAGCATATTTACTTTTTTTCTGAATTAATTGCCTATAAAACATCTTATATTAATTTGTGTTTCATTAATAACATTACAAGTATAAATATTTATTTTAGCAATGATTCATATAATGTTAAATTTAGAAGAGATGGTAAAATTCATAATTGGCATAACAATTTATTCAAAATTTACGAGTTTGTTATTTTTCGAGTCTCATTTTGTGCCAAAAGAATATATTTGGGAGATAAATCAGGAAGAATATTGATTATGTTTTCATTTGCTATTTATTTATTATTCTATTTCACCTTTACTACAGAATCAGCAAACAAAATATTATGCCTTGCAAATCTTGGAGCAAGTAATTAAGACACGGTGGAAAGTACTACCAAGAAATCAATGCGAGGGAATAAAAAAATATATCGTAGGCCTCATTATAAAAACTAGTAGTGATCCAGAAACAATGGAAGCTTCTAAAGTTTATCTGAATAAATTGAATATGATCTTAGTGCAGGTAATGCAGTATAATGAATATTAATTATTATTATTAATATAATTAAACAATTTTAAATCATAAACTGTTTTATTATTGAATTATAGGTATTGAAACGAGAATGGCCAAAAAATTGGGAATCTTTTATTAGTGACATTGTTGGAGCGAGTAAAACGAATGAAAGCCTTTGTCAAAATAACATGGCCATTCTGAAACTTCTTTCAGAAGAAGTATTTGACTTTTCTAGTGGTCAAATGACGCAAACAAAAGCTAAACATTTGAAGGATACAATGTGTAGTGAATTCTCACAAATTTTTCAACTTTGTCAGTTTGTAATGGATAATTCACAGAATGTACCATTAGTAGCAGTTACTTTGGAAACATTATTAAGGTTTTTGAATTGGATACCACTTGGATATATTTTTGAAACAAAATTGATAACTACATTAATATTTAAGGTACATAATTTTTATTTATTAGTATTTACGTTCTTTTACTTATACGTTATTACATATATATATATAAATATATATATTTTTTTATTTTTCAGTTTTTAAATGTTCCAATATTTAGGAATATTACACTTAATTGTCTCACAGAAATTGCTGCTGTTACAGTAACAAGTTATGATGACATGTTTGTTGCATTATTCATTAATACGATGCAGCAGTTAGAACAAATGCTTCCACTTGAAACTAATATAAGAGAAGCATATGCAGTTGGGCAAAACCAAGAGCAAAATTTTATACAAAATTTGGCAATGTTTCTTTGTACTTTTTTAAAGGAACATGGTCAATTGATAGAAAAGAAACAGTTAAATGAAACATTATTAAAAGCCTTGCATTATCTTGTATTAATCTCAGAAGTAGAAGAAGTTGAAATATTCAAAATTTGCCTAGAGTACTGGAATGGTTTATTAGCTGATTTATATAAAGATCATCCATTTGTGGCACCTTCACCTTTGTTTGCGTCCAAGAATATGGCAATTTCACATAGGAGAGTCTTTTACTGTACAGTTTTGACTAAAGTCAGATATATAATGATCAGTAGAATGGCTAAACCAGAAGAAGTTTTGGTAGTTGAAAATGAACATGGTGAAGTAGTCCGAGAGTTTATGAAAGACACTGATTCTATTAATTTGTACAAAAATATGAGAGAAACTCTTGTATATCTTACTCATTTGGACTGTGTGGATACTGACCGTGTTATGACGGAAAAACTCCAGAACCAGGTTAACGGTTCAGAATGGTCTTGGAAAAATCTCAATACGGTAATTAATTTTTGTAAAGGGGTAATATTTGTCATAGTTAATATTTCATCAATCTTATATAATACTTTTTTTTGGATATCAGCTATGCTGGGCAATAGGTAGTATTTCTGGTGCAATGCACGAGGAAGATGAGAAGAGATTTTTAGTGACAGTAATTAAAGACTTACTTGGATTATGTGAACAAAAAAAGGGTAAAGATAATAAAGCTATAATTGCCAGTAATATTATGTATGTTGTTGGACAGTATCCACGATTTCTTAGAGCTCATTGGAAATTTTTGAAAACTGTTGTCAATAAGCTCTTTGAATTTATGCATGGTAAGTAATGTATTAAAAAGTTTAAACTATATATACATTGTTAATTATTTATTATATTAACTATTTATATATACATAGAGGAAATAAACATGTATTAATATTCTTTAATAATTATTTTAGAGACACACGATGGAGTACAAGATATGGCCTGTGACACATTCATAAAAATAGCTTTAAAATGCAGGCGACATTTTGTTACAACACAGGTCGGGGAAGCATTACCGTTTATTGAAGAAATCCTTTCAACAATTAGTAGCATTATTTGTGATCTTCAGACTCAGCAGGTAAAGTCTTAGTTTAAGGATTTTATTAAAATTGTTAGTGATGTAAAAAAATATTCGAAATCGTTACATTCATGTTCATTTACATTATATAGGTGCATACATTTTATGAAGCTGTTGGTTATATGATTAATGCTCAAACAGATACATTAGTTCAGGAACGACTAATAGAAAAATATATGCTTTTGCCCAATCAAGTTTGGGATGATATTATATGTCAAGCTTCAAAAGTGAGTTTAATTTTCATAATTTAAATTTAAAGATTAAAAATCATTAATTCTAAACAGATTATTTAATATATATGTTCATTATATAATATTATATGGATTCATTTCAGAATGTTGATGTTTTAAAAGATCCTGAAGCAGTTAAGCAACTTGCTAGTATTTTGAAAACAAATGTTAGAGCTTGTAAAGCTCTAGGGCATCCATATGTGATACAGTTAGGAAGAATATATCTCGATATGTTGAATGTTTATAAGGTAATAATATAAAATGTGATATATGGTTAATGCAACAAGTTCAGAGGAAATGATTTAACAAATATTAATGTTTTAGGTTATGAGTGAGAATATAAGTGCTGCAATAGCTTTAAACGGAGAAACAGTAATGAAACAACCTCTAATTAAGAGTATGAGAGTAGTAAAAAAAGAAACACTAAAATTAATATCAGATTGGGTTAGCAAATCTATCGATCCACAAATGGTATAGTATTATCATTTTTTATAGATTAATACTTTTTAATTTAGGAAGAACACAAAAATGCATTTAAAGAACGTGTTAACAAAAGTGTTCATTCTCATACATTTTAGGTACTAGAGAATTTCATACCACCATTATTAGACGCAGTATTACTTGATTATCAAAAGACAAATGTTCATTGCGCTAGAGAACCAGAAGTACTCAGTGCTATGGCTACTATAGTAAATAAACTGGAAGCTCATATCACAAGTGAAGTACCTAAAATATTTGATGCTGTATTTGAATGCACTTTAGAAATGATTAATAAAGATTTTGAAGAATTTCCTGAACATAGGACGAATTTCTTCCTTTTATTACAGGTAAAAATAATAATAATTATTACAATATCATGATACATATGTTGTGTAATATTATGACTAAATACTTCTTATCAATTTTTTGTTTTTCATTTAGGCAGTGAATAATCATTGTTTCCCCGCATTTTTATCAATTCCACCAGCACAATTCAAGCTTGTGCTTGATTCTATTATTTGGGCATTCAAACATACAATGAGAAATGTAGCTGATACAGGATTGCAGATCTTATTTCAACTTCTAAGAAATATTGAGCAGCATGAACAAGCTGCACAAAGCTTTTATCAGACATATTTTACAGATATTCTTCAACATGTATTTAGTGTAGTTACAGATACATCGCATACCGCAGGTAAAACTATTTTGCATTACTGTCTTACATTGTATAGATATAATATATATATATATATATATTATTTATCTGTTATATTTATTTTTGTATAATATACTTATTAATGTTATTCTATAGGCCTTACAATGCACGCTACAATTTTGGCGTACATGTTTACATTAGTTGAGTTAGGAAGAATACAGGTACCGCTTGGACCTATGCCTGATAATACAATGTATGTTCAAGAATTTGTAGCAAGATTACTCAGGACTGCTTTTCAACATTTGACTGATAATCAGATTAAAATAACTGTACAAGGTTTGTTTAATCTTGATCAAGACATCCCAGCATTCAAAGAACATTTGAGAGATTTTCTTGTAGAGATAAGAGTAAGTATTAATCGATAGTATTTTTGTTATTTTTAATAATAACGTGAAAGAAAATTTTTGTTAATTTGTATCTTTTCTTTTTAGGAATATACTGGTGAAGATGACTCTGATCTTTATTTGGAAGAAAGAGAAACAGCTTTGCGATTGGCTCAGGAAGAAAAAAGGAGACAGCAAATGGCAGTACCGGGTATTCTCAATCCTCATGAATTGCCGGAGGAGATGCAGGACTGAATAAACTGTAATTCTTGCCTAATATTTTGTGCAAGATCAAACGACAAACACTATGATGTAGAAATTATTATATCTGCAACTACTCTCACAACCACCACCACCACCACTACTACTACTACTACTACTACTACTACCACTAGTACAGCCACCATCAAAGTGGATACACATTGCATATTTATTAAAGCCAAGTTTAAAATATCACACTCTTGTTAATGAGGTAAGCCCAAAACATGGTGACTGTTTGTTTGTCTGTTATAGGATTTTAAAAGGAAACGAATTTCTGTTGTGGAAAAAAGTGTGAATGCCTGCTTAACGATGCTATTTCATGTATAAGAAGAGGTTACTTCTCAGAATAAATTATTGACTGATATTTGTGTAAGAGATGACGTTCGTACATCAACTGCCGATAATTAGTGGATAGAAAGAACATGGCAGAATTTTGTAATGAGAAGTTTGTTGCTAAGAGACAGAGTAAACAATTTTTTGTATTAACAGCAACAGCACCGTACATGTGACAACAATGCATTTAATAGTGCTATGTGATAGTTGCATCATCTGGCTCAATGAACACAGTATACTATATGACACTCTTACTTTTACATAGGAGAATTGTGATGTACTGTGCTTTGCGAAATCGTACTCTTTCTACAGTTTTGGTCGTATGAGTCTGTTCTAAAATGAAGATTGATATGTATGCGGAGTCATGTGCGAAAAATTCTGCTTATACATTGTCAAATGATTTTGTTATAATATAGACTCTACACACAGAATTCTTTTTGATTCATTATTAACTTATGATCGCGAAAGAATTCAAATTACATCCTTTTAATTTGATAACTCATGAAATCTTGTCCTAAGAAATATATTATTTTATTTAATTGCAAGAGTATTAATTGATAAATGAGTTTCTCCATCACCTGCAGAAATTAAGACTTATGTTTTACTGAGTTGCTCTCTTATATATTTATTACTGACTTTAGTATCATTTATTATTTAGAGTGAAATATTGTTTTTAAATTTTTTCCCTACATTTTTCTTTTTTTTTTCCTTTATGAAGGCAGCTTATGTTGTTTATTGATTTATATGTGCATATTCTAAAGGATATTAGATTTTAGGTGTGATACATAATTTGATACATGCATTAAGAAGTACAATGGATATATACAAAAATACATGTGATATACAGTTTCACGTGCATATAATAAATACTTGGCCATCAAGAAATAACAAAATGCACAGAGCTATGATAGCAGCATGACTTAATGTATTTAGGACAAGTACAAGCGAACTTTAAGTACAATAAAGGATGAAAAATGATTTTGCATTAAATAGTATCGTCGTAGCAGGCTTTTGAGGTAAAATAAATGTCCTAGATGAATGTGTGTTTTTATCTGCGTGCTGTTGCATTGTAATGGCATTATAGTGCAACATAGTAAAGTGACGTTTTACTGTAATATTATAATATTATGCTGTATATATGATCCACTGCAGGCCGTGAAGTGGCATCTTGTAAATGAAAATTAATCACAAAAATACTAGCATCTGTTTATGCTCCACTCTTGCTCAATTCATTGTATATTTAAACACTTAAAAATCAATGATTTTAAAGATATCCAAGTAAAACTGTTCCACTTATTATTACGTTCCACTTAATATTGTAAGTTACAAAATGGCAACCATTTTTAAACTATTGAAGGGTAACATTAGCTGGAAGGTGAAGTTTATAAAATGTACAATGTATGAATCAAAATTGATGAAATATTTTTTTCATAATTAATATGCAACATATATGTATCTTACTAAATTACATTCGTTAAGTTCATTTACTATTGGGGCCATTAAACAATAAGTATTTGATCTGATTCAGTTAGTTTCAATAATAAGTAATACTGTACCTAATATTCAATCTTAATTAAAATATGAACTCTTTATCTTTTTTTTTTTTTATATTAAAGGAACGTTTATAGATACTTGAATGCTCGTGACAGACAAAAGTTTTTCTTAAAAGAGAGGGGGAGAGAGAGAGAGAGAGAGCGAGAGATAGCGCGAAAGAGAGAGAGAGAGAGAGAAAGAGCGCGAAAGAGAGAGAGAGAGAAATAAAATAGGGTTTTAGAGAGTACATATAACAAGAATTAATTAGAGTTCCAAAGTAAATATAAATGCATCACTTATCATTTTCATTGTGTAAAATTTAAATAACAAGAAAGTATAAATATTTTCTATAAGTATTACACTGTTTTATAATGTGATGTAGGATTGTATGAAGTTGGCACTCTTGATGAATGTTTCAACGTTCTTATTCTTTTTATATGATCTAGCACCTTATATGTGATTCTCGTGTGACTGCATAATATTTCAATGTCTTACATAAATTCAAATGTTATGTAAATGATCTATTGTAGTCTTAACTTATCGATACTGTAAATTACATTATATTTGTCTTGATTCAGTTACGTTTAATAATTGAAAGATTTACATGCTTGATATTATCATATAAAGTATGTTGATGGATCACTTCAAATGTTAACTAAATGTCACTTTTCCATCAATAATTGCAATAAAAAAATAGTTTACTAAAGTGTTTGTAATTTGAGAAAAAAATATATTCTAATTCTGCACGATTATATCTATTCATTCAATTTTTCATTCTATCAATTTTTTTCATTAATTAATATATTCACTACATAAAAAAAAACTCAATCAAATATTAATTAATTATTTCTGTTGATAGAAATTGAGTATGTTTAAAATTTGTATATTACAACAGATTTAGGATATAAGAAATCAGGAATTATATATATGTATGTATAAAATTTCCTGTAATTATTATAATCCAATACAATTTTTCTCTTTTAGATTCACTCAGATTCTATCAAATAATTACATGAAATTTATAGCGGGAGGAAACTATTTTGTTATCATTTAAAGTGATACATTTTATGCAAATTTATTTTCAATTCATTGCGATATATACGAATACTAATACATTTATAAATTAATTATTCACTAAACTAACAAAAATGAAACAGATATAGATATGCAGTTTCTTACATTTTTTAGAATGAAATATCCATTTACAATTTTAAAATAACATTTAATTTAATATCAAAAAAGAATCTTTTTTCTGTCGTTAGCTTTCAAAAGATATATGTTCTTCTGTGGTGGATGGAATTGGACTATAATAATTAAATAAAATAATATAATTTTCACGTGAACAGATTACCACTGATAATTAGTACTATGAAAATGTATCAAAAATATTGTTTTGGTATTTTTCAGTCTGTCACATTTGATAATGTTTATGGTGTTAACTTAAGCTGCTAGTGATTATACCGGAGTAGATCATCAAATTGGCATCAATGCTGCTGTATTGTATTATTACTTTTTGTACGAATTGTATTTATTTGAAATTAACTGAAACCAAGTTGTACAATTTCTCAACATTTATTTGTTCTCTATGCAATCTTGAATTGTAAAAAGAGGTTTGACATAAAAGTATAAGTTATGTAATATACATAACAAATAAAAATATCCATTCATTTTCATTAAAAAAAGAAATTTTTAATTCTTCATATTTACTTGTATATCATAATTGGTGGTTTTGTTAATGTGTATTTTTTTTACTGTTATTCATTATTTCCTAAAAATGTTTATTGTGGATGTATGAATTTAAAAAAGCTAATTATAATTTTTATTCAATTTGGTAAAGTTAGATATAAATAAATACATACAGATTAAACAATACAGTTGCACCAATGACAATTGCGTTATCATTTTAATAAAATATGGAAATTTTAAGTTTTAGTAAAATATGTAACAATGTGTGTGTGAAGAGACATAGAATGATTTTTCTTTGATGGTAATTCTCTTTGTGTTAATGAATACAAGTTTACAAATATAAAAACGTTGAAACAGCCTAAAATGTAAGCATAAAAAGAGTACAATAATGTATGCTCTTTGTTATTCATGAACTCGCATTTTCAATAGTGTACACATTGTAGAAATGTGTCTTTAATCTCCCTGAGCTGTACAATAAGAATATACATAGACTATTTCATTTAGTAGTTATGCTATTTCAAATGTTTCAGCTTATGTTTAGATTATTACTCAGAATATAAGATATTCATTTTGTGTACTAGTATATATTTAATATAAATATCCATTTGATTTTTATTATTAATTCTCTAAAAAAAAGCTGGTTTCAGAAACTTTGCCCTCCACGTAAGTTTACTTAACTTGGGGATGCATTAATAAATAGATTTTGTAATATGTTCAATTAGAATTATTCTATAAGTTGTCAAGGGTTGAACGAATAGTCATGAAAAGCGAGTATAATTATCGAGTGGTACATACTGCGTGCATTGAGAACGAGTGAATGTATTAAGCTAAGAATTCAGTTATTCATGATAATGATAAACTATGTAAAGAGTTTAATAATACTTACTAATAAAATAAAAAATACTATTATAAATACAGTTTATGTGTTTAAACGTCTTATTTATAATTTTATTTTCTATATTTTATAAAGAAATTTTCATTTTTTAATCGTTCGATATTAGAATAGAAAATAATTAACACATATGTATGTCTTACTTTTATCAAATACATTATTACATAGAAATATGTAATATTCTTAAAAAATATTATTAATTGACAACAAAGGTTTTATTTATTGAATCACTATTAAACTGTTTTATCGGCAAAGCCGAAAATCATTTTTTATCATTCTATGTCGTCACTCACAACTTTATCGATATGGTACATTACGTTAAACATACTTTCTTTTTATTAAAATTATCATTTTTTAATTCGCGTAATTCATATATATATATATTTTTAATAGAAAATTTATAAATTAATTTATAGAAAGCTTTATATTCCAAGTATATATTACAAATGCACACATTTAATAGGAAAATGCATAAATATATTTAAAATTTGATTTATATTCGATTTAGTACTAAGTAAGTATAGAGGGCGTTACTATGTTTCTGTAACAGTTATTAGTTTTCATTTTTTCGAAGAAAAACCGCTTGCCAATATGAAGTAAGTAATATATATTTTTACAATAAAACTATTAACTGATTATATATTTATACTGAAGTAAAATTATTATAATTATTGTTACACGTGAAGTATATTATAAACGGTGATTTACATCTTCTTATTGCCTTTTCAGAATAAACTTATCCTCGGTCGACCGTTTACACGTGTTTACAGTAAATCTATAAATTTTATATTTGATTACAACATTAAGAAAACGAAAACATGTTAAAAATAAAAGTACAATCTAGTATCAATTGCTGATTCTTATAAATTATCAACTATTTAAAGGTATGCAAATATATCTATTTCTAAATTACACATTTAGGCTTTGTTCTTAAATATTAATTTTCAAATGAATCTCATTGAAGGATATTTAAGTACTTTTTCTTTTTTTCTCTATCCTTCTTAAATTAATTGTAAATATAAAATTTATTATGAAAAACATAATAGGATATTACATATAAATACGTTATACTTACTCGTAGTTTTTATACAGTATAATTCCAATGGGGAGCGTTTTTCCAGAGACGTTTTACAAAAATGTATCCAAAAATTCAACACGGTGTTATGACGTATACTATAGAAATAAGTGACGTAGAAAGAAAAGTCCATCAAAGAAGAGAAGTTCTCCGTGGAGGAGCTTTCATATAATACGAGAAGGGTGCATGCCGCCAATGAATTCAAGCTCCGCCTACCAAGCAGTGGTAGGAAACAACCCCTAAGTATCAAAATCCGCGCAGGACTGTTTTCGACGTCACGATGTGGGCGTAGACAGATCGGAGACACAACCCCTCGAAAGAGAGAAAGAGGAGGACGTAGACTAGCAAAACGGGGGATGTCTTTTCCGCGTCTACCCGAAATCAAATCACTCGATTCGGAATCAGTTCTCTTTTCGAACTTCGTGACGTTCGCGTTGACAAGATCGAATCGAAATCATATCGAGAGAACGAGAGTTTCTATTTTTATCTCTTATTTTTACATATTTTTTTCTTACATTTATATTTCTTCGTCGTTCTCTTAGTTAGTTTTCTTCTTCTTATTATTATTTTTTGCTACAATCGGATAATGGTGCTTTTCTTTTTCTCTCTTTCGATTTTATATATTTTTCATTGTTAATTAGTTTATTTCTATATATTTTTAGTGAATTTTTGTTTTTCGATAACGAGCGCGATAAATCTTGGATAACAAGGAAAGTGTTAGAAACGGTTAACGATGAACCTCCCCGATCAGGAGGTACCAGCTGCTACCGCAAATTTGGGGAGATTGGTATGTTCGTATTAATGATTAATGTTTATATATATATGTGATAGAGCGTATTAAGTATTTAATATTTTCGTTAATTAAATTTTATTAGGAGAAATGAAATAGAATCGAGTGTATTTTAATATTTATAATTATTATGTGATAATGAATAATTAATAATGTTAAAGTAGATTATATTAATAAGAATTTTAACTTCTTCAGGGAGATGAATTTTTTTATGTGAAAAGAAAATGATTTAATTTCTTATTTGACTTCTTCCTTAATTCATTTTATATCAACAGCGATTCTCTAAGCCAGGACGAATTGGACAAACGATGAATGTAGAGGAAAAAGATTTTAACGTATCTTCACATAGTAAAATGTTAATATAATAAATAAATTAAATGTAAACACATATATATATATTAATTTCCTTGAAGAAGTTAATATACAATTAACTCTATGTATTATTGATGTATTAAATTATTATAATTTTATAGTATTTGTTAAGTCGAGTTTACACTCAAGATTTTTTCCAATGCATGTATTTTTGTCGTGTGATTATATTTAGAAAAATATTAGAAATATTCACGTGCCTATACAATATAATTTTATTATAAAGTCTGTATATTAGAAAGAAAAAAATAAAGGAAAAAGAATAAAGAAAGATGTAAAAAAATTATATGTTGAATTGAAAAAAAAAAAAAGAAAAGAATTATAAGTTTATAAGACGTATATTTTTCGATGACAAGTATAAGAAAGTCACGTAGCGGGTAAAATACCACTGGTAAAGCTTTTGTGACCGTAAAGCCACTCAACGTTTACAATGGAGATCATATAGTGAAGCGTAACAAAACATAATGTACTTTCCGAACGATGATCCTCAACTACCAAATTGCCCTGGCACGCGACTCCACGCATCGATGGCTCGTCCCACGGGTGAAACCCCTTTGTGTCTTCTAAACACGTAATTGTCACCACTGCTTGAACCATTGCATCCCCCTTCTGTATATGTACGTTTGTGCGTGCGTAGATATTATATATATATATATATATATATATATATATATATGTGTGTATGTGAAAATCCCCATCATTTTCTCTACAGAGAAAAAGCTTTTAACGTAGGTTGGTCAGTATCGTTACTTTCATTCAAGTGATACATGTTCTATTATCGTGTTAAAAATTCAAACAATTTTTATATGATTAGGACTGTTGAGAAAAATCGTAAAAAATTAAATAATCGTGAAGATTTTTCATTTTAATTGCATTTTCTCTTTGCTTTTTTAAAAGTATTTTATTATATAATTGTTTATCGGGGAATAATAACGAAATTGTAAATTTTAGAATTTAAATGCTGTCGTAACGGTGACACATCTATAATTCTAAACCATGGGTGGTCGACGGTTACCCTATGTTCGAGAAGTATAGAAAAGAGGGGGTGAAAGAGACATCGTAGATCTTTCTCTCTCGAAATATGCTTGATTTATGTTTCTCTATTCGAATAATCAGTCGATTCCCACGTACTTTACTCACGTGCTTGTATCACCGCTTAATTGACTCTTGTGTTCGAGTGCATATGATACCAGTCGAATTTCCCATAAGGGAATCGAAAGGGGGGTGACCCTGCTCTGTTTGGCAGCTCGTAACATATATCTATTCAACAATGATCATCTAAAATGACTTTTTTTCTCGAAGGTGAAAACCTGAACTTACTTTTTTTTTTATATATAAGTAAGACTAATAGTATAAAATATATTTACTTTGAAGATAAGAAACTGTATCTTCTTGTTTTTCTTTTGTTAAGTTCGAATAGAGTACAATCACTAGATTGATACTTTTCTCGGATAGTTGGCCTGCTCGTGCTGACAAGTATTGTTCGTCTTCGAGTGGTTAGGATTGTCATTGTTTTCGCACCCTCTTTTCTCGAACGAAGGTAAAGAGAACATTCGTATATATATATATATATATATATATATATATATATATCAAAGTAGCTAAACTTTTTCTTTCTTTATCTAATTAGTAAAAACGAATGAAAGTAAAGATATTTGGAAAATAAGATAGTCAAGAGAAGAAATTTCGATTTAGATGTTTTATATAATATACAACCCTTATATCTTTTAAGAATATAATTCGTTTCTTGCGAATCCGTCGGATTCAAATCGAACGGATCGGAGGTCAGAAATCTGTTTTCGCGTAGGTACCATCGTTGTCTGTAAGATGACTTTATTATAAAGCGAAGCGAAGTGCGCAATTACGAGGGTGGGGTAGTTATGAGAATGAAGGGGGTGTCGAACCCTCGCAAACTCGAGAAGAACGACGGGGTGTTCCCCTTTCGATGTTCATGAGTATCTCTTTTTCACGAATGTTCCAAAGAGATGAACGTGTATGTTTATTCTATTTCTTTCTCTGTCGTATTGCATCGCATATACATACACACACACATATATATATGAACGCGTGCACATCTATCTATATACATACGAACACGTGCGTAACGTTACTCTGCTGCCGTTGCTGCTGCACTGACACTTAACATTCGGTTGGGTCATGAACGCATTCGATGGGAAAAGTCATAGGGGACCATACGTTAAACGGCACGCGGCAATGTTTGCACTTTCCGCTTACGAATCATTACCACGTTAATTCATTCGATTGATTTCATCATTGATAAAAAGAAATGTACAATAGTTCCTGGCTATCATATATTTTTACCTTTTCGAATAATGTATCACTAATTCTATTATTTTTCCATGTGAAAATTGTTACGTTCAAAATAACAATTGTCTTCGTAGATTATTCTTAATAATATCGCGTAAGATAGATAAACGTTAGATAAAAAGAAATAAGTATATTTAATTTCTTTTTTTCTTTTTCTTTTTTGTACGACGAAAGTATTATTAATGATTAAATTTAATAATACCCAGTAAATTAAGATTTATGTCTTGGCACGTGCCACGTAGATTTAACGCCTTACCACGGTCATTAGGTCGATTAATTTGCAAATCTCTGTTAATTAGTGTCGACGAAAAATATTGGAAAGTAAGAACGAAGGAAGAGAGAGAGTGAGAGAGAGAGAGAGAGAGAGAGAGAGAGAGAGAGGTGGATAAAAAAAATATGATAAAAATATCAATCAAATATTTCTCATTTTAACGTTATTAAAACACTACAACTATAATCGGGGTTAATAATAATAATAATAAATTATTATATTATTATTCAAATCAATATATATATAAATATTGTTTATGAAACAATAATTGTATTTGTAACTTAGTTTAACTTGAAAATATTTCGAAATACGTTCTACCTGTTGTGAAACAAAGTCGGAAACCTAGGAAAGGAAGAAAATCAGAACGTCTAGTCAAAATTCGTGATATCGAAGGCGCCCACAAAGTTATCGGAATGCGCGTTAATAACTGAGAATTCCCGAAACCGGTAATCAAGTTTACCACAAGATTGCTCCGCAAGGAAGGACCCATCCAATCATTCACCGGATGTCCTCTGTGCCGCATCTCATCTCTCTTCCTTTCCTTACCCTCTTTCTTTCTCACTCTCATTCTCTCTTTCTCTCTCTTCCTTTCTCACTTTTCTCCCTTTTCTCAATTTTCTTGGCAGGCTCGTCGCAAGCTTGTTTCTTCTATATATATATATATATATATATATATATATATATACATATACACTACACTTTGATTGGTTTAGTTTTATAAAATTGTATACTAAACGATTTTGTTCTTTAATTATTATGTAATAATACTGACAATATATTTAACACTGACTGCGTGTTTCTTTTTATTTCAGCCATCGGAAGATTATGGAAGATTAGCTGTATCGGTTCAAACTACGAGCACCGATTATTGTACACACAATAATTATACTACATCTCAGACGAGAAACGACGAGAAAACGCAACCTGGTAAGGGTAACACAACTTTAAGATATTATTTTTTCACAGAGAGAGAGAGAGAGAGAGAGAAAGAGAAAGAGAAATTTCAATATAAAATCCAGGTAAAAAGCGGAAAGACGTAGAACTAGATAGGACAACATGGTTTATCGATTTTTCAAGATGAAATAAAAGCTGGTGAACAAAATGGAAGGAAGGGGAAGGTAAGAGCGAAGAAAATTCTGTCCCTCTCTCTCTTTTTCTCTCTCCTTCCCTTTTCATTTTATGGTGTCTCTCTTCTGTAAAATTGAAGCTTTTGATAACATCACGTTGTTAGACTGCTTCTTCTTGCGGCTGTTCTATCAGGTCGCGAAGTTTCTAACATGTCTTCAACCAATATACTAGTAAACGTCGCGAACACATAAGAAAAGTGTATAGACGTAGAGGGCTCGATTAGAAACACGCATAAGATGTATGCGGTAGGAGGAACGAAGTGGGATACAGAAATAAAGAGAGAGAGAGAAAGAAAGAGAGAGAGAGAGAGAGGGAGAGAAAGAGAAAGAAAACACAGATCGACCCCCGAAGAGAGGCTGTCACTCGCAGACTGTCGAGTCGATATCTTTATATAGTCGCATCAACGACGATATTATTTTCTACGGTTCGTCGCTCAGGATTATACTATATCTTTGATGGAGAAACGATGTGGTCGAGTCTAGCAGGCAATTATAGACAAAATCATCCTTTCAATTGCCTTTTCATCGATAGAATGAACGGTCTACTGAAGTTTACGTTCATTGTAGTACCAAACTATAACATCTAATGATCAAACGAACCACGTGTAGGTTTATCATAACTATGTTATCATATCTATTATATTATTACATTTAGTAGATTTCGTTGTATACATTTGTTCGATTTCTTATATTTCAAGATCCTTGACCCAGTAACGTATATACTAGATATTGTATATATTTGTTTCTTTAATTCAATAAATAGGAAATTATCAACATTGAAAGAGTCTCCCTTGCGAGGTATGTTCTCATAGAAACAAGTATACAGTAGCGTAAACGTGACCCTCCTGTTCGTAAGAGCCCTATGGAAATCTGGCTTCAATGATTGACACTTTATATCTAGCATCGGCACGCTGTGGTGTGAGACGGCAGTCAGGATGGACCACCTCCGCCTAACTCAATCACCACCTATAACGCCGCAATTTCTCTATCGTAATCGTATTACGCCCTACCAACCGTTCCCATTCATTCTTCGGCTCTTGTGATTCTGCATTGAAAAATATTACAACGTCAGAGAATTTCTGGGTGGGGAGAATCGCAACCGCGCTAAGTATGTTACGATTCTTCGATATTTTTCAATCATCGACTAACCAAACCCCCTTTGAGATTTTTATTTTATTTAAAATATCAAATTATTTACTCTTAATCGTGTTTTTGTTTTCTTTTTTTTTTTTTTTCTTTTGATTGATTTCTTTTCTTTTCTTCTTTTTTTTTCTTGAAATAAAATGTATTCCATATATATAAAAATTGATGATAAAGACGTCGAATAATAGAATAATGTGTCGATGTTCTTGTTCCTCGTTGAAATTCTTTTTCATTGAAAGGATAGTCGATAGCAGTAGTATCATTATCTCTAAGCAATGAGCTGAACCTTAAATAGATTCGATTCGTTGGACGGGATTCTGCGTACGAACAAAACAAAGTTACCAACGAGTGGCTACCCATGGCGAATCTTGAGATCCATTAAACGCACCCCACGTCATACGGTGTCCTACAATATATATTCTTATGTATGTATGTTCTCGCATCGAAGGGTTCGTTTTTGCTTCTGATTCATCCCTTCGCTTTCTTATTCACTGGTAGGTCTTCTCTCGCACGTCGCCATTTTTTCTTTCTCTGTAATTATTTTTCTTATTCTTTATCATTTGCACTCGTTCATTAGACTTTTTTTTCAGTTCTTCTCTTGCTTTTGTTATTCTTTTGGAATATAACTGAATTTTTATTAAATTTCTAACATTGTAATTATATATATATATATTAGTTTATTATTTTGTTAATTAAATATTAAATGTTGTTTTATTTTGTGTTCCAGGAAACGAATTGTATCCTTCTCAAGATTATACGAGACAGGAATCTTGGCTCCACGATGGTAAGTCATAATAATTATAATAATTTAAAAGTTTGTGTAAATATTTTCAATTAACATATAATTAGAAATAAATTAATAAACTTATAACATATAGACTATGCATATGAAATACATATTGCAACTAGGTTTTCATAGCCTGGATAGCTCAGTCGGTAGAGCATCAGACTTTTAATCTGAGGGTCCAGGGTTCGAGTCCCTGTTCGGGCGTTTTTTTTTTCTTTCTTTTTTTAATTCTTTTTTTATTTTTTTTTTTTAATTTCAAAGAAAATATAATAACAATCAGGCGGCTACTATTGTCAGCTATTAGTTCAACAATTAAATTGAAAAAAGAAGCATATTATTTTTTATCTAACAATTTTTAAGAGAATAAAATAATTCGTTATATTATTAATTATATAATTTACACAATATATCTATATATATACATATTGTAAAAGATAATAATATTTTTAAATTCGTCCATACATTGTTGTTGATTATTTTGTAGACATTAATTAAATAATAATCATAGAAAATTTACATTTACGTATACACATACATGCCACGTGCAATTGACGACATTGTTTATATGATAAGTAGCTCTGAAAGTATTATTATAATATACCTAATGAGATATTACATAAAAATTACATATGATTTTTGAAAGTAAAGATTAATAACTCTTGTTACATCAATACTATTTAAACGCGTTACTTTGCTAGATAGAATATCGTTGAGATCAATAATTCGAACATATTCTAAAGAAAACCTGACCCTACTAGTGTTATTTTTCTAATTGAAGTTGAACGTATCAAAGCACCATTAGAAGATTAAATTCTAAAAATGACAATCAGTACCACGACGTGCTGAGTTGTTCGTTCATCTATTGTAACTATCCAATTTTTCGAAGTTACGTTTTATTTTTTCTCATCGATCTACAAGCTATTTTATCAAAAGTGCTATTAACCATAATGAAAAAAAAATCTTACATAGTTTGTTTTTTTTTTTTTATAGATGTGTTACGTATAAAAGTTTAGATCTTGATAGAAACTAATTAGGTACGATCATTTATATGATTTTGTCGGAATCGATTATATGCACCGTTTAACTGGTAACAACATTAATTTTAATTAGTTTTGATTAACACTATAGATATAACAGTAATAGACGCGAAGGGAAACCTGCGACAGGGTTTGAGAAACGCGTGGCACACACAGAAACGAACGAGACGAATTTAGTATAATCACTTTGATGAAATCTACCGTCTTATCGTTGCATACGATCAATATTTATTTTGTATGCACGTGTTATCTTCTCACAATCAAATAATATAGATAATATTTATTCAACTATTTATCAATATATATGGTGGTATCATATCAATATGTTTTTATTTTACAGGTAGCAGTTGTGAAACAGAAAATAGCGAGCAATACGTGCCAGAATTTCATCAAATACCAAGTTAGTGTACGATATTAGAAAATATATATTTATTTGTTAAAATATATTTTTATTTGATATTTTTATATTAAGTCATCGATAATTAAAAGCATCGAATCGATACATTCAATGTTACATACGAATTACCCGTTCACTTCGACTTCGTCGTAAGTAGATCTACAATTACCGCTATTTCTAATTTGAAGGAAGTTAATTTCTAAATGAATCGATGCTTCGTGGAAACGTGATAGACTCCTATAACTAACATACGTACGTTTACGCACTAAATTGACCGATCTGCATGTTGGGTTTAATAAATTCTAATAGGCATTGCATATATTCTAACATTATAAATTCGAGATATTAAAGAATATATTAATAATTATGAAATATATACAATATATTTTAATTAATTAAATTTTCATAATTAAATAATTAAATGTCAAATATTTCGATCATTTTCAAACATTACTATCTGAAATATAACGTTTTGATATCTTCTTCTTTTAACATTATATATATTTTAATCAAATAAAAACTACTAAAGAATATATACCTAACACATATACGAAGAACTAATTGATGAACAATTTCCTATGTTTAAACAATTATTGTGAAATATGTTTATTTATTTATTTGTTTTTTTTTTCAAACATCGTTCTTTAAAAATATTCCAATGAACTCAACTAAATATTTTGAAAGAGATATAATATTGTTTGTCTATTTTAGTCTCTCTCTCTCTCTCTCTTTTTTTTTTTCCTTTTGCACCCGCTCTCGCGTTCCTGAATATTCACTGCGTAGACTTCAGGTAGGGTGGAACGAGAAGAGAACGCAGGAGTTTTTATTAAACCAACGCGTTCGCTCGCTCGAGGGTGATTTCTTCTTTCCATTTTTTAAAGCGGGAGAGAAAAATCAACACTAGTGCTTCAACATAGGCTGATCATCGATATCGGATTATGCGAGTAAGCACTTTATATTAAGCCAGAGGGCTTTTCTTTTTTTCCTTTTTTCTTTTTATTTTAAACGTATCTACTTATATTAACATGCGGACCAGTTAAACGATCGTTTCCTGATTAATATCTTCCAGGTAGATTTTTGAATGAGTGAAAGAGAAAGAATACAGAGATCATATATTGAGATTGGAATTTTAGAAAAAAAGAAGGAAATTATTATTGAAATATATATGATAAATTAAATATGTCGAATTTAATTTATTTTTTTAACTAATTAAAAAAATGAAATATATCTCTTAACGATTTTTATCATTTATGGTATTAGACATATTGTTTATTTGATTATATAATTTATCAAAGAAAAAGGAAAATGAAAAAAAAAACATTAGTTTATATAAACTCTCTTTCTTTAGATTTATCTATGGGACATGGAATGAGTACAAATTCGTTGAAACGTATTATATTGTGTGATTCATATCATAGATGGAAACGTTTTGTTCGTTTAAATAACCGGAGGGATCATTATGAACATATTATTACACGTATCTCACTTCTCTATAGAATTTGCAATTCAATATTTGCCAGATTAATTTAATTCGTCGTAGATATATTTTTAATATTTTTATGTTTGTTCTATAATTGACTCGTATATATCTTACGATATTCTTAAATCATCTATGATCACATTTTTACCGTTAATTACATGTAGTGAAATAATAATCAAATGAATAAGTTCAACGTATTCATTAATTTGATCTTAATGTTTGTTATTTTATGTTATGTTAACTTGTTGTATCATTCATAATACAAGCAAACATGTTTGACGATACGCGTTCGAATGACCAACCCACAGTTCGAGGGGTAGTTTAAATAACGAGAGGGATGTATAAACACGCCCAATTACATTGAGGACTAATCGGATTTGCTTTTTTCGATGATACCATTTTCACTGATTTCCTTCAAATTTATTATAGTTATTTTCAAAAAGTATCAATGATTACAAAAATAAGTTATTAATATTTATACAATATATTAATTTTGTATAAGTTTTGAAATGTAATTTTTTAATAAATTGAATAATCATTTAAAATATCAATGATTAGAGAAGAAGATAATAATATTTAAATTAATAATACTAAATGTAGAAATATAAATTTTCTACCTTTTTTTTTTTTTTTTTACAAATTTATTATTCATTTATAAAATAATTCTATAAAGATCTGTTATTATTCGAAATAGTTTACATCATTTGTAATGATCGTAATGTATTACACAGAGGTGGTTCATCTTTCAGGCAACTGCCAAATTTCTCCACGAAAATAGATTACAATTTTGGTGCAATGAATTTAATAACACAAGTTAACGAATTCATACATTAATAAAACATATACCACGTATACGTTTGTGTATATAAATTTTCTATTTTTCTATACATAATCATTTATAATGAATAATAATTTTGTAAATATATATCTAACACACCACCACCACCACCATTATATTATACATATGTTAAGACAATTGAAAACAATTTTGTACGAGATACTTTATACGTACATGTATTGATAACAATTTGTCGATTTTATACTTTCCTCTTTTTCCACTCTCTCTCTCTCTCTCTCTCTCTCTCTCACTTTCTCTCTCTTTCTCTCTTTTTCTCTTTATCTCGTAACAGTAAACTTCCGATGTTTACAAATACAATGATCGCCGGAGGCCTCTGACTTACGCTTCCCACGGCTGGAGTCTGTTTGATTTATAGAAGGGCCGCGCCCCTCGTCCGCGCAAAATCGTCGGCATCCCCCATTAACTTAGCCCTTCAATCCCCCTTCGTTCCCTTGCCCATGTGTCTTCAGGTCTTCTCCCTTTTTTTTCCCTTTTTTTTTTTTCTTTTTTCTTTTTCCTTCTTTCTTCTTCCACGTGCCAGAGCTGCAACGATGCGTCTTCTCTTCCGGTTCTGGCACGTGCGTATAACTGAAGTTGACTTTCTCCTATTATCATATACGTCTTCCTATTTTCTTCTTCTTTCTCTTTCTATTTTCTAGTCTCGTCCTATTTTTTTCCCTAGCAAAAGAACCCAATAATCACTGTTACGCACTTGATAAACGATAATTATATGCATTCGAACGTAGGTTGGCCCCATTTTTAACAAATTCATCGAATACATTCATCTTTTTCTTTTTTTACAATTTAACGTTTAGATAAATAAAATTATATTGTTTTTTTTTGTTGATAATATATTAGATTGAATATGAACAAAAATTGTTCCTTTTATTTTCAACGAAATACTGCAATTAATTACGGCAAGAATTTTATAATGACTCGGCAGAATGTTTCATTTGAATATATTGCGAAGGATTAATATCTGTTTGTGAATTATTATAGATACATATTTGTTTATTATCTTTAAAACGCGTACAAAGTTCGTCCAAAAAATATCTATACGAATTTTACTTATGAATGTAGAATCAAGAAGTGACGAAAAATAATAATATAATAATAATAATAATAAATGATATATAAAATTATTATCATATTAAATAAATAAATATAATATTGTGCAATATTTATACAATTTTCTTTTTTCTTAAAAGTGTTAATATATGTTTGAAGAAGTATGAATGTTTCGAACAATTTAATTATTGATAACTAATGAACGAACTTTTTACATAGACTTCGAATGAATTTTGTTTGTTTTTTTTTTGTTCCAGATGGTTGCGTAAAACAAGAATCGGTGAATTGTGAAAGATCCAGAGAAGCTCTTTACCATCCTCAATATTCCGTTTCCGTCGCACATCCATCTACGCTTAATACTAATTTTCTGGATATAAATCCTAGTACTCCAGTTGATTGTTTCGTGTGAGTATGTTACAATAATGTATTTATATTGTTTTTGATATTACGATTATTTTTGATTACAATACAATGGAAAATTGTGTGTATCATCCTCTCATTGTATTCTTAGAAATAACAGGTTGAGCCCGCAGAAAAGTGAATCTTCAAAAAACGTTGCTGTAAAAGAAGAACCGACTGATAAGGGTTATCTCGAGCCGGTTTCTGTGTCCAGTATATCGTCTTCAATAACTCCAACTTCTCAGAACGGTAAGATTATACAAATTTTTATTTACTTTTTATTTTTTATATAACAATTTTATGATATTCTTGAATTATATAATATATCTTTTCTTTTTAATATTTTTTATAATATTCTAGTCTCTCCAAAGTATATGAAAATCTTAAATTATCTTTCAATGTTAAAAAATCAAACCATGACAAATTTCAATACAAAAGATTCACGCACCATTGTTCTTTATACGGGTCATAAATAACTGGAATAAGAGGGTGACGATTCTACTATACTATCCATTTATTGACTCATCATAAACCGAGACTAATATATTTTCTATGAGAAATGTTGTCAATGTTATCTCCTCGTTACGGTTAGTTTTTTTTTCTTTTTTTCTTTTTTTCCTTACATCCAAAATTCGACAGAAGTTTTTCTTCTTATTTTTCTTTTTTTTCCAAAGAAAATACAATGAATAATCATCGAATATCAAATATTTCTTATATAAAATGAACAAATTTTGATAACTTCCTTGTGTAAAAGGAACGTAAGTTTCTCTCTTGAACGGTGAATAAACTCATGCATTGTTCTAAGTATGCATAATTGAATAATTGAAGACTGCTTTCAACTCGAAAGCCGTGGAAAGCGTCTCCTAGAATTCAACGAAAGCTGCTGGGCAAAGTACAGAACTCCAGATGCTCTCCCGTGGGAGATTGAACGTCGAAAGCTCTTTCATGGTCCAGTAGTAAAATGTAACAATTCAAATAAGAACGAATAGATACAAATTTTCTAAAATATTCCTGTCCCAAAAATCACAATTCTCTCTCTTTTTCTTTCTCTTTTCGAGATATTAAAATCAGATGATGCGTTAAAATATTGATGCGATGAAATGTCTCAAATTATTATTATTCAAACGAAATATAAATCTAATGAAATTATAATAGCATTCGACAAGAAAAAATTATTCGTTTATTTCTATTTTGTTTCAAAAAATTAAATAAATTTTCTAATCATACGATAATAATACTCATTTAATTAAAATGGAAAGTGATAAATAAGGTAAACCAAGACTACAGATGACTATGAAAGGTTGAAATCAAGGTTTGCAAGCTCATGCTCCGTAATCCGTACGATTAGTCTTTACGCACACGAATATAACGAATCCTTTAGGAACTCGTTTACTATATCTATCCACCGACACGATGTGTATCGCGATACCCACCTACTTCCAAGTCACCAGGGAATTTTCCTACGGCCTCTCTTCAGCTAATTCTCCCTACCATTAACCGTTTCAATTATTTAGACGTAGTTTACGGTAATAATAGGATGAATCTTCTATCGTTGCTATCGATGATAGCTTTTTATTCGTGCTATTTCATCGTGTTCAAATTCATTATGGAAATAGGAAAAGGAAAAAAACACAAACTATATATATATATATTTTTATTTTTTTAAGAAAATTATATATACCTAAACTTCCATCGATGATCTTTTGATATGATTCAAATCAATTCGTGTGTTTATTTCGTGTAATAACATGTGTACCGATACACAAACACACATATCGCTCTTCCGTACGTTGCAAAATAATGAACGGAATAGTAATAACCCGTTAATGAATACCAATTGTCCGTGTTCCAGTAATTAATCCGTACGATTCCTGAGGATTACGAATCTGCGATCGCGATTAGTTTTACATATATAGATCGATTCAGTACTTAATTCATATCGAATAGGTATATCAATGCTTATCTAGCGAATGCACATTACGATAATTATAGACAATATTCGTTATTATGACGTTATTATTCGTTCTTGGTGGAAATTATGAAAAAAAAACAAAAAATGAAAAAGAACAAAAAAAAAACGTATTTGACGTTGGTCCAAGACAAGCCATTTGGCGAGCAAAGTAGATGTAAAATCGTGCTTGCATTATTAATAGAACGCAGCGCCGGAATTCGAGACTGACAATGAGAGGAAGAGAGAGAAAAAGAGACTGAGAGAGAGAGAGAGAGAGAGAGAGAGAGAGAGAGAGGGAATAGGAAATGGGGAGGGTGAAGAAGGGTGAAAACGAGCGATACCTTCTCTCGTTTCTGAGAATGGACGAGTGTAGGCCGTCCTCTTACGCGAACAACCCTCGTGTGCGCCGCCCCTGACCACCCCTCGTCTCGCAACCCTTTACCTACCCCAGTGAGCAGCAGAACGCCGCCAGTTTCATCAGTTCGTGATTAATTTTAATTTAAAACCACCCGCAAAGCCTCTGGTCCCGCTCTCGCCGACCTAGGACCAACCCCTTTCCATCCTCACTCTCCTACCCTCTTTCAAGAGAGAAAGAGAGAGAGAGAGAGAGAGAGAGACAAAGTGGTAGATTAGCCCTGGAGCTTCCATTCCCTTCCCAAAAGCTCTTCTCTTCGAATACCCACGATCCAACCGACGTTTACCCTGGCAGGTAAAGCAAAACGCCAGTTATAGTTGACTTTCGTGAACCTTCCTGTTAATTCTCTCTGTTAGGCTCTGTGGTATATAATAATGAAACGAAGAATGATATAACGTGATCACTCTTATTACACTAAAACAACGAGTGTAATATAGAATCTGAATAAAAAAGTATATATATATATAGATTAATTACGTATATTATATTAATTGTACATATTTTAAAGGAATATAATAAAGTTCAGGTATGCGGTTAGTATTAAAATATAATGATCATGCAGTACGTTGCCTTTTTGATAGAACCTTCGCGAGGTCAGGATATTTCATCGTAGCAACGAATACGTCTCGGCATCGAAGCTTTCTCAATTTTTCAATATTCCCCTGCACGACTTGAAGCGTAACCGGATTACGGTTCGAGAATGGCTTTTTTGGGAGCGATGGTGCCGGAGTAAAGGGGGAGAATGAGGTGGAGGAGTTGGGGCCGGAGTCGGGAGGTAGCAACGACGTTGGTGGTTGCGTAGTCGTTGATGGTGATAGTGGTGGTATGGTGGTGTAGCCTTCGAGAGCATAGCACCCGATTAATATACATATCGCACGAGCTGTACGCGGGATTTCAGAGGTACCACGACGCCAACGCTATCCGCTTGCTCGTCAGAGCAAGCCAGAGCAACCCCGTGGGCTTTGAATATCAACCAATTTCCTGCCGATATTTGTGTGACGAGCACTTCACCAGCGACGGCGCGTGAGTGCAATCGCCAATACGTTCCTCTACGTTTTGTCTTCCTATCTTCCCATCCTCCATAACGTTTTTTCATCTATACGGATCTTCTTCTTCTTTTTCTTTTTCTCTCCTCCCTCTCTCTCTCTCTCTCTCTCTCTCTTTCTATCTCTTTTCCTCTCTTTCCTTTTTCCTCTCGTTCGCGTAGTTAACGATCAACGTACGAGAAAAGAAACAATGAAAGAACTATCGGAACGTACATCTCTCTTAATGGATTATATGATTTTTTTAGTAGCAGAGATTCTAACCGAAGCTTTTTTCTTTTACAGTAAACAGTTTGATTTATCCACAACAACAACAACAACAACAACAACAGCAACAACAGCAACAGCAACAGCAGCAACAACAACAACAACAATATGCAATTGGTACCCGAGAAAGTAGAAGTTCACCGATACCCAGTCGACCAGCCAGTGCTTTTTCCGGTACATCTCAATGGCAACCACCTATTTCAACTCAATCAGATAACTTTTTACCACGACAAGAAAGTTGGACGTCCGATGCTTATGGTAAACGTAGTATAACTCCTACTTGGACAGAATTAGGGGTTCAAGTGGATTCGAGAAATTCGTCGTGGGAAAGACAAAATAATTGCTTGCAAAAACGAGGATCACCATCATCCTCGTGGAATTCTGAATACATTAGTAAGAGGCCATCTTCGACTAGTGCTACAACTACTTGGAGCGACGTGACTGTTGGATATCAACAACAGAGACGTGGATCTCTTCAGCTTTGGCAATTCCTCGTTGCTTTGTTGGATGATCCAACGAATGCACCTTGCATCGCCTGGACCGGTCGTGGCATGGAATTTAAACTTATCGAACCGGAAGAGGTCAATAATTTTGTAATATATTTTTATAATAATTTAGTACCGAGATCAACTTATTAAATCTGTGATCGTTATTATAGGTAGCACGTAGATGGGGCGTTCAAAAAAATCGACCGGCAATGAATTATGACAAATTAAGTCGTTCTTTAAGGTATTATTATGAGAAGGGAATAATGCAAAAGGTTGCAGGTGAAAGATACGTTTACAAATTTGTATGCGATCCGGAAGCTTTGTTTAATATGGCTTATGGTACCGGAGGATCTCCTGCACTTACTACCGAAGTCCATAGTAGTATGGTAAGAACGCACACAGTGTCAGGAAAGACGTGCACCACAAGTGACATCACTGAACTTGGTAAACATTCAACAACCGGTTACGGTGATGCTGTTCTTGCTATGTATTCGAACACGGCTGCAGGTTGGTGATCAAAATGTTTGTATTTATTATGTATTTCTATTTGTTAAGAATTCAAGAAATTTTAACGAATTATCGTAGTTTATTATTTATGAAATTACTTGTAAAAATGAACACTTATCATGTACAACAGTTTATGGACCATCTACCTTACATCATCTACATCAATACTTGGGTGCTAATGAAGATTTTAAGACACCAACGACTAGATATCATGCGCATTACTCAGCGCAATACGATAATCATCACCACCACTATCATCATCATCATCACCATCATGCTACTTCAGCTTATTCGGAAACCTTTATTAACTATGGTCGGTTATCGACATTAGAACATCCCCTTGATGTTAGATCTCAAGAACAACCAACTAAAACCTCGTACAATCACGAAGCAGAGAATATCAGTAGAGAACGAGAGAATTTACCGATCAGTTACGACGATACGCAGAGATCACAGTTACCACCACCGTCGGCAACTACGGAAACCACAATATTGGACAGTAGTACGAATTCTAAAATCGAGCAAGTATCGTATGCTTGTTTAGGTGTTGGTAGTTGCGTTTGTTGAAGAAGATATATAGAAATTTCTTCTCCATCTCGAAGGTTCATCGATCACGAATTGAATGTTTTTTGTGAAAAAAAAAAAAAGAAAAAGGAAAAATAAGTTTCCCTCATTAATGAATTTTTCGTAGATCCACGTGTAAATATGTTAGTTGTTTTACGTAAAATTTCGACGAGATGAGAACTACACGATATACTTGTTTAATTAGAAATAATTATTTATCGAAAAGAAAGGATTGACATTTTTAAATAGAAAATTTCATTTCTTTTTTATTTTCTAATTCGATAAGAAGATGTGTTGTAATTTATTCTGTAAATAGAATGATATAAAATAAATTCAATTTTAGCAGGCTTTATATTATTCAAATTAATTGTAATTATATTTTTTCTGTGAGGAATTAATAATTATAATGAAATGAAAGAGCCTCGAAAAATACGTACATATGAAATAATAATATTTATCGATATAAGATGAATTTTTTTTGCCAAGGCGCGAGGTCAGATCGGGAGTATGTTTTCTTCGAAGTTAAGATCCGCGGTCATTGCTTAATATGACGTAAGTCCCACGGCATCGTACGGAGGTCGAGTGTATATTTCGGGCTCTGACACACCTCAGGACATGTTTATATTTGCGTCTCGCTCTCTCGCGCTAGGTTAATATAGCGTCATAGCTATATTTCCCCACCCGCATGAGAGCACAGTGGCAACTATAGTCGGTGACTTAAGTTATACGGTGATGGGTTCGCAACTGTCACTCCGAAGACAAAATGCGTGGAATCGTACATTCTGATAGTGGAATTTGTTAGAGTGATATCCTCTTCGTGATTTTATCGACGAATCTATTTATTTTACTCGACTAGTGTATTTTATTGTTAATCGTAAACTTGGTAAGTTTACTGCTATCGTGTAATTGTAGAACTCTTTCGGTAATGTAAATATATATGTTTACAAAAAAAAAAAAGATAACGAAAAAGAATTATACTTGCATTTAACAGTGAATAACTTTTACATATGTTTTTTATATGTCACAACTTTTTTATTTTTATAATTATTATCGATAAAATTCTTATGTTTCGTACTCGTTTATATTCTCTATTAGAATATGATTCCGTATTATATTTCAAATATATATAATATTTTTAGATTTTACAGAGTGGATCCTATTTTATACGTATCGTTGTAGTATTTTTTTCTTTTCTATTTTTTTTTTTAGGATTTAGTTTCTACAGTAATTTTTATGCTATGCTATGAATCACACACACACAAGTACAGTTTGTCGTAGCTCACTCTGCATATAACATGTTTACGTACACATTATAATCGATTGTGCAAGATTCATAAATTTATACGAAAATTAGTCTTTCAAGTACTTAAAATGAGTCATTTTTTGGCTGACTTTATTCTTTCTAAAGATGATATAGTTGACTCGTGAATCTTTTTCTGCGTCATTTAATAATATTATAAAATTAAATGAAACAAATTCGTTTCAGTAAACGAACGTTTAAATTATCGTCATGGCTAAAACGAAATCTTCCGAAATAGAAGAAGGATCAATGGGTTTCAAGGATAAGCAAAAGGCTTTGGATACGTTGAAATTTCTCGATGGTCGTGATATAAGTTATCAATATCATGTTATAACCAGCTTCGTTAGTCGTGTTAAGAGAACATTACAAATAACGAAGGACGAGGAGAAACTATCCAATTTACGAGATGCTCTGAAAATATTCGAGGATTGGTTAATCGATTACAAGGAAAATAATCGTGGAAAAGAAAATCTTGCATATTTACCGATCGATACGATCAAAGCTTATAGATCACTTGCTAAAAGATACGATATAATCGACGATGAATTTTACTTGTAAAGTTTTTTATTTATCTAACTAGAAAAATTGATACTTAATAATAATATTATTGGGTTGTCCGGAAAATTCGGGACGAATTATAAATATATATATATATATTTATAATTCGTCCCGAATTTTCCGGACAACCCAATAATATTANTTTATTTATCTAACTAGAAAAATTGATACTTAATAATAATATTATTGGGTTGTCCGGAAAATTCGGGACGAATTATAAATATATATATATATATTAATTATATATTAAATAGAATTAATGATTATTCGCGAACGGTGTTTTTTGAAATATAAAACATATTACTAAATTAAAAAAAAATAATACTACAATTTAACAAGTTTCATAAGAAAATACAATAAAAATAAATATTTAACTTTCCGGACAACCCAAGAAATGTATCTTAATCATTTATTATATATTTATTGTTTTTTTTCTTTTTTTCATTATCGTAGCGCTTACAAAAAGGAAAAAGGGGATTACAAAAATTTACGTACATCAAAGTTAAAAAATAATGGGATAACGTGGGACATTGAGAGAAATCGTAGATTGAAAGAGATCATAGCTAATATCAGAGAAAAAAATATTCAATGGTATGAGACAGATGTTGGTGATCTAAGAGGACTTCCAACGAAGGAACATGTAAGATGCATTATGTTAGGATACAGTCCGGATCCGACAAAGTTGAAAAAGTTGATCACAGACGTGGCATCGAAATTCGGTGTTATGGATGATGTAGATATGGAAATAGAGGAAGAAAACACGACGAAAAAAACGCAGAAGAGAAGCCATGACAAGGACACATCGAGTAGCGAAAGTGATTCTAACGAGCCCGATAAAAAACTTGCCAAGTTATCTACTGACGCTGAACAAGAGAAAAAGGAAGATAGTGGACTTAGTTTTAAAGATAAGGAAAAAGCTTTGCAAAGTATCGAGTTTCTCGAAGGACGAGATTTGAGTTATCAGTATCATGCAATTGTTGGTTTGGTTAAAAGGGCCGAAAGGGTAATATCGTGTACGAAGGATATTAATAAAATCAAGAATATGAAGGAAGCTGTTCAGGTTTTTGAGGATTGGATTACCGACTATAATGTAAATGGTAAATCGAAAGATAATTTTAATTATTTATCGATCGATGTTATTCGAGCCTTTGAACCTCTCGCTGAAAAATATGATATCGAGGATAAAGAATTTTTAAAGTAAGTCGTAAGCGTTTTATCGAAACATTGTGGATGTAATTGGATCATTTATTAATTTTTTATTCGATGTATAGGGCATACGAGGAGGTAGATGGAGATTACAAGAAATTGAGGACGGTAAAAATCCCAGAATCCGATTTAACGTGGGATAGGAAAAGAAATAAGTTTCTTCGGGCACTTGTCGATCGTATGAAAGAGAAAGAAGATAATTCTTGGTTCCAAATTGATGGAGATCTTAAAAGTTTACCTACTAAAGAACACACGCGGTGTATTATGTGGGCTTACAGTCCTGATCCTACGAAATTAAAAAAACTTGTGTCCGTAGTTAAAGAGATATTAACGTCTACAGAATAATATACTATAACTAATTATTTATCCAGTATATCTAATTAGTTAACGTATTCAAATATACTTGTTACTAAAAATATCGTACAGTATATATTATATACTATATGATATTACATACATATGTATACAACTAATTACAAAACAATAACTTAATTTTATTTGCAGGTCAAATAATTAACATAATTAAGGATAATCAAAGTCTGTAATATTTATAACATAAAATATAACATTTAAAGGGTATCTTTACGAAACTACAATATCCGTCAAACGTCTGTACGAATTTTGAATATCCCGCCATTACTACGTAGGCAGCGCCATCTTGTCGATATTACGGCGCGCTTGATAAAGCAAGATGGCGTTAAATGTCGAGTTGGTTTTTAGAGCGGCGAGCTCAATCGATAGTTTTTATTGCCGTCGCTGACTCGCGAGGGAGGGTGAACCTCGAACACAGTTTTGAGGTTAGGGTTAGTGACTCGGTGACACTGGAAACGATAACCGGTGGGTAGCAGTGGATTTTTCACTTGCTCGCGCGAATCGAATAGTTAAGCAAAGAAAAGATTTAAACGTTTTTGTCATTATTTTTAACCCTTTCAAGTCATTAATAAGTGTAAATTGAATATTTTTATTTGGATTTATTACATTATAAGAAAAAAAAAAAAAAGAAAATAAAAAAAGAAAAAAAAATACTGGAGTGTAACTGAAAGAGAAAGAAAGAAAGAGAGATAGAGAAAGAGAAAGAGAGAGAGAGGGAAAGAAAGAAAGATAAAGGTACGAAGAAACACAGATTATTATAAGAAGAGGGACGATTAGAATAAGAAAGAAAAGCGATTGGACTCCCTCGAATTTTCTACCCTCACCCTTTTAGATATAGTCAGAGTACGACGCGCACGAGGGAGTAATAAAGAAAGAAAGAAAGAAAGAAAGAGAGACAATTTCACCGTCTAAGAATAACTCCTGGTACTTCTCTTTCTCTTTTTCTCTTTTCCTTTCTCTCTCTCTCTTTCTCACTCGTAAGAAGAAGAAGAAGAAGACTAAGAAGAAAAAGAAGAAGAAGATATGGAAATAGAAATTGTTCTTCTTGTCACATAACGCAGTATAAAAATCCGCGGGTTTTTTTTTTTTAAAATCAAAGAAACAAAAAAACGATCGTACAATTGAAATTTAATATCCAAGCGATTATTTCAACTCTCGTAATATAAATATTATCGATCAAGGGGGAAAAGAGAAAATACTTGTTTAAGAGAGAGAGAGAAAATAAATAAATAAAAAAAGGAAAAGAAAAGGGATGGTAAGGGGATAAAGAAGCAAGTAAATATCATTTTACATCTGGTTTGCATTGGGTTTGCATCGTGCCGAAAAGAAGGCGCGGAAGTTTCGATTTGTTTCGAATGTTTCGATACTTTAAAGATCGATATCGAACTACTGCAAACACGGATGAGGCGTAAAAGGGTGGAAGTTGTCAAAAGAGGGTCGAGAGGATCTGTGATGTTTGGTAATCGCGATGGCTAGGAGGGAGGGGTAGTGTGAGGATGTCGCAAACCGCTGATGCTGAGAGCGAGACGGGCTCCATCTGCGACGAGGAACGCGTTAGGAAGCTTTTCCAAGCATGCGACGGCGACGGAGATGGTTTTATCGACAGGT